GTGATGGTACGAGTAAGAGAGGAATGGGAATATAAACGCGATAGGTTCCCTATATATATATATATATATATGAGTGCGTATGCTTATCAGCAAGACACTTCCCACCCAAAGAGGAAGTAGGATTGACGTTCGAGGACGCCGGCCTTAAATAGCGTGATAACGCTGCACGCCGTACGCAGCGTGTGTGTTACGTCGATAGGTCGAGACTAAGCGATGTCTAGAAGGTTTCCACGCTCTCGTTTACAAGGGCGCAGGGCTCATAACCTGTTAAATCTAGACACAGTTAGATCCTCAGTCGTGTGCATAACAGACTAAGATTGCTATGTACCTAGTGTCATGAATGTTACCAACTGCATCTAAATTTCGATTATCGAACCCTAAGTCACCTTATCCGATAAGATTAGATTAGATAGATCCCTGATAAGATAAGATGGATAACCGATTAACGATCACTATCTTCACATCACATCTATACTATATCAACGTCATCCATCCTTATCCGTAACCCTAGACATACGAACTCATCACATCCTTACAAGTCCTACGATTAGGCAACGGGTTACATCATAAGCATCTACATGCCTCTATAATCAAACCATAACCGAGAGTACTCTACGAGCTATCTCTCAAAGGGTCATCATCTCTTCACATCACACACCTTCACTTCTCATGACATGTTAAGAGTTACCTCTGTCATTCACCGAATTCCTTACATAAGAACCTGTTGCACAGTCACAGCTAGAACCCCGAACCCCTATCACAGAAGCATCGCTCATAGAGAAGCATGTTCATTACCGAAGACTCTGGAGAACCCTTAGATCCGATCGTACCCGATACATCTCCAGATCCAGATCCTATCCAGATCCTTAGATCTAGATCCCAAGATCCTATCTCTAATCGAGATCCTTAATCACCGCTCGAGACTTCTTATCACAGAACTCTCTCACACCCTTCTTAATCTCCGTCCACCCTGAATAGAAGCAGTCCCTGAGAACCCTGCTTAATTACCGATACCCTTGGCCCTATGAACCCTTTACCCTTCTCTTCTTGTAGTTGATTGGTTGATAAGACGCCCTATACCCTAGGTGCAATGTTATGACCGTATATAGTTATATCACATACCTTTCATACTCAGATAGCTCCGCCCCAATAGTAGTATATAGTCTAGGTAGTAGTCAGTAGTACTCCTTAGACTTAACCTCCTCGTTTCTACGTTATCGTAGGGCCTAGACGTTCCCTCTCAAATCCATCTTGCTTACCTCTTCAGACTGAGTCCTGTGGTGTGATCCATACTCCAGACACCTACTAGTTAGGTTAAGGGACGCTGGTCATAACACCTAGACACAGTTAGATCTATCGTAGGTAGATTATTAGTGTCTGTACATAGTCGGGAGAGAAAATAGATAAAACGTACCCTCAGTCGTGTGCGTAACAGACTGAGGGAAAAGGGAAAACGAACATGAACCATTATATATACTTTTGGTTGGCATTCTGCGGCGTCGCGCTCGTCACGTGCACGTAACGTGCGCTAACACCCTACGACCCAGAGCTTCACTGCCTACGAAGTCAAAGGCCACTAGTCTATGCACACTGCACACGCCATACTGCGAGTCTTCAATGCCAACCTAGGTCCCCTACGACCCAATCCCGGCGTTTACACCAAAAGGCCTCCTTCATTGCCCCTCACGACCTGAAGTTAGATTCGAAGGCCGCCGCCGCCCACTGTCACGCACACATCTATCAGAGCGAGTCACTTTTCATTTCATTCTCCCCATGGAGGTACTCCTCTTCATTTGTTTCCCTCTCGACTGTATGAGCCGGACATTGGATTTATCGCTGGCATGTTTATTTCTTCTTCTCCCTTCTTTCCCTACATAGAGGTACTTTTGATTTGTTTTCTCTTTTGTACGACACAGACACTGGACTCATCTCTGGCATGTACGCTTATTCTTCTCATTTCTATCTCGATTCTCCACTTGCAGGTCTTCTTCGATTTGTTTTTCTCCTTATACTGGTACGAGACTCATTCGGTTTCATCACGGACTCAACTCTGGCATGGATTTTATTCTTTTCATCTCCTTCTCCACATAGGCCTTCTTTGATTTGTTTCTCTCCTTATACTGGTACGAGACTCGGTCGGATTCATCACGGACTTATCTCTTGCTGGATTTTATTCCTTTCATCTCCTCCACATTTACTTAGGTCTTCGTTGATTTGTTTTTCTCCTTATACTGGTACGGGGCGGTCATTGGACTCTTATTTCCCTTATCTCGCGATGTATGTTTATTTCATTGATTCTGTTCCACTAGAGTCTTTATTTTCGTGCATGTACATATGACGATGACAGCATAGCCTTTGAATGCAATTTTCTTCCTTATGTTCTGACTCTGAGTGCGACTAGTAGCTAAGCTTGAGCTCGTATAAATAAGTTGAATTCAACTGACATCTGCAATACATAATCTAACTGCCAGTACAATTACTGGTTGGGTTCTAGTAAATTATCGTTACATCGAACAACTCAAGTCAACAAACTATGTACCAGGTTGATACCACCATAACATCTCACGCGTCAGGATTGACAAACGTTCAACAGAGACATCCCCGGAGACCGAAAATGCTGAAGTCACTTTATCGCGACGATAACGACTACATCTCAGAAATTGGGTGAAGCAACTGGTGCAGGTGTGGTTGAAGGAGACAGACGTGAGGTGAGGAGGTGAGGAATTCCGAATTTAAAAACGTTCGTCTAAATGGGCTTCTTTCACTAGTAGTGACGGAGACTACCTCATTAGCCTTTGGGACTTTTTTGAACGCTAACTTAGCCCACCTGGAGACCGCGTAGAAGCTTTAGCGCAGAATTTCCGGGGATTCTCGAGACACCTCCCGCGGAACGTCGACAAGGGAACGCTAGTCAAGGTGACTTCGACTGAGAAACTGCCGTGCGAATACACACGTCCTGTAGATCCCGTTGTGCAAGGAGACATCCCGATCTTCCTTTGACAAGGGCTATTCTCGTTTCCTAATTCCCTGACTTTGTTCTCCGATATCTAAGATGCCGCATGCGATGGCCTATCGTTGTCCTCACTCAACAAGAAAATACTGAGGGAGGACAATGATTTGCCATGCCAGTGCAATCATCGGTTGACGGTTTACCATTGTCCAATGTAGGGAAACTAAACTCGTCGCAAAAAAAAGTTGGTGACACAAGTGCTCTCGGCGATAGCCCGTTGCAAAGATGCAGGGAGCCAATCCCGTTGCGAAAATGCCGGCAGCCAATCAGGGCAGAAGCTTATCGGGTGTTATCGGACGACATAGTCTACCCTCGGGCCTAGGCTGTTCTTGAAAACCACGACGAGATTTTCGAACTTCACGATACCGGCTTCGTTCTTCATCAACTTCCCGCTGCATGCTGCTGGCGAGTACAGGCGCGGTGGAATGTCCCTCCCGAATACTAGAACTGTGTTTCCAGACTTTCCTCGTACACTGCATCACTTGCCGCGCTGAGGAGGGCTCGCAAATATGTGCCGACGGCTGAAGTACCTGCAGTTCCAGGCAGCTATCTTCGCTAGCCACTATGTCACCTACCGCCTTTCCTCTTCGGTGCGCCATCGTTATCTAAACCCAACGTGACAATTTTATATTATTGGCACAGCATACTTGCTGTTTACAAGAGACGGCGCACACCATGTACTTATCCCTACCTCTTCTTTCATTAATGGGCTCTCTCGTGCTATCCTTGTACTGCTTCTGAGCGCTCCGCCATGGCGGCTTCTGGCAATTCCAGTCAGTGTCCTGACCTTCAAATTTCTCGATGTGGCTGGAGGGGTTGCATTACATTTCTTTCCACACGTGAGACCGCTGTCAGAGTCAGGAACACTCGGATCACCTGCAGGTGGCTAGGGCGAGGAGTGTCATTGGGACGGTTCGGGGTGTCAATGATAATACTGCGGGGATGCCAAGATGAAATCAGAAGGAGCCGCCGGGGCCCCGAGCGCTGTGCAGCGGTCCGACTTGGCGCATCATATACATAAGCCGATATGTATGCATCGGCTTACGACACGTCATGTACGTCCTCTTGCCTTCGGTCTTGATGCCATCGAGGTAAGTAGTGGGCGATTCTGTCAAGGCGGTGCGGGATCGTGGTATGGGCGTGTCAGACAAGCGATAAGTCGTGCACGATTTCATAGACTATCGGGTGGAGTCATGACAGAGATTATAATACCCAGACAGCTGGGCGCAATGTCAGCCGATAGGCTATCCGGATCGATCTTTTGGAAATCCCGTATATAGCGTCCAATCGAGGGCATTGTCCACGTCGCAAACCAGCCTTCATTTTGACTCTTTGCTCGAACTAGCAATCGGGTACCAAAGTGCTGCCAAGCTTGACGTGCGCGCTCGTTATTCATCCAGCGAGCGCTATCGTTGGCCACACTAATTGCGTTCATTAATTCTTGGCTTGTATATATTTCCCGCCCTGCGCAGCCGCTGCAGATTCACGGATCCAACCGTACCTTTTACGAGAAAGACTGTCTCCACATATTTATATCCGAGGTCGAGATGCTGTTCCGAATGAAATGGACAAGTCAACTTATCTCCTTCAAGGTGAACGGTTGATGTAAGGCTCCCGGACCCTTGGCCGGCATCAAGGATGTGGTCATTGAACGAGATTTCACACGTCGTACTGTATGATTTGACTTTTCAGGGTGAGAAATGAAAAGTCTCTCGGTTGGATATTAAGGACCTACATGGACCTATTCGCAGACCCTTCAGCGTTGCAGGCATCGATGAGGAGGATGGGTCCGACCTGGTTGTGATTGGACCTGGTACTGACACCGCCTCGTTAGCCTTAAATATGATGCATGCAAAGTTACTACGAACAATACACAGCGGTACCTGCAAGTTTGGGCCGCATTGTCGTCGAATGAGCGCTAGAATAAAACGATAAAGTAGAACACAATGCCGGAAGGAATTAGCAGGAGGTTCGAAAGAAACTAGGAAGCGACGGTTGAGAAACCGAGCCGAATCGATTACAACATCCCATTATATACCCTCTCTTTCCACTACCAGCGCTATCTTATACCTTGCAAAATCGACTACTGCAACGACGACGAGCTCGCTGTCTTTGACGACGACGACGACAAACCCGCTCTTTAATAATGAAGTCACCGTCTCCTTCAGCCCGGTCACCGCGCAATCATCAATTCGGTCACCCAACTTTAGACCACCATCACTCCCATCTCTCACCTGCTAGTTATCAATTACCGCCAATATCACCAAAGCCTTCTACAACTAAGACCTCTGCGTTCAAAGGTCTACAATCTGTTTTTCAGCGAAAACTGCCCGATCGTTCGCTGTCTTCCAATTCTCTCCGTTCTTCTTATTCCGCTTCCAACGCTTCCGCCACCGACAATAATCACAGCCCCCATCCTTACGCTGTCATGCCTCCTCCTGTACCTGTCGTATCGTCAAATGAACATATAGATGACGAACAAGAATGTCCTGTATGCCTCGAACCTTTGAGCTTCAGCTTCAGACTTCCTGGAGAAAAGCCCCATGTTGTACCAGAGTGTGGTCACTCTCTTCACGAGGCGAGTCTTTTTTCTTATCGTACACAATTCTTATTCTCTTAATCGTTGCCTACAATCTAACCCGCTCATTTCACCATAGGCATGTTTTACTGCAGTATATGGCCCCCCACCTGCGCAATCTCGCTCTACAGTTCCTCGCAAATCAAATCTTGGCGTCTGTGGTGTTTGTAGACGACCTATGAAAATTGGTGATGGTGACAGTAGTAAAACCAATAGTCAGTCACAACTAACTACAGCTACTCCTTGAATTCACATCTCACAATGCCACAGAACTAGCCGCTCTCACTGGCATGGGTGATCCCCATTCCGCTGGAGTCTATCCTGGTCGAGACATCTCGGGGTCACGCACACGTCGCAGCCCAGTACCTCATCAACACTACGACCCCACAGACGACGACCCAATAGACCACGCCGTCTCAGTAAAGTCAACCCCAAGCGAATCCCACTACATCGTCGCACCTTCTATCCAAGTCCGCCCCGAATTTTCTTCCATCACTCGAAATGGCGACGCTTGTCAACCTTTGACTTGCATTGTCGTAATCGAGTTACCTGCAAGGCGTGGGTCAACCCATGTTCCGGGTCCTGTGATGTCGGATACATACGGTGCTCGAAGTGCTCATGGGCACTCACGAACCGATACAGAGGAGATGCCCCATCCCTCCCAAAGACAAAATGATGTTTTGCGACGCCCATCCCAAGCACAGCGTTATGATTCATGTCCCGAGGCTTGGTCGCCTAATACCGAGGCTGAGTCTTCCCGTTATGCGCCAGGCACACCGCCGGAAGAAGAATCACCATTCAACGCTATCGTTGAGGATCTGCGCAACCGAATAATCGATTGGAAAGGTCACGCGTTGTCCGGCCTCGGTCCCCTCCAAATGTACGACATGCTCTCTGTCCGCCGAGATGCCCTTGTGCGGGAGTTCTTCGTATACCTCTTCAAGGAAGCCATCATTTGCGTTGTGGAGGAGAAAAAGCGGTCTCTTGGCAGGTTCCTGTCGTCACCAGCTTTCAATGACGCCTCGACTTCTGTCTCAGGGTCTAGCAGCCAGTCCAACAAGGGTGTCCTACGCCTCAAAGGTCGCATTTATGTGCGACATATCAAACGCATTACTGCGAGCACAAGCGGAGAGATGAGCCTTACAATTGAAATGGAGGATGAGCGACTCGACTCCTTCATTCTCGTTTTCAAAGACCGCTCTGCCATGGATGCTTGGAAGAGCCAGATCCAGGGCCTCGTAACATCCTTCCAGCATCAAGCATCGCCGCCGCAGCCGCCTATTGACCGTGGCCTTGACATGGATGAGTTCGGAGGCTCAGCAAAGGCTGCGCGGATGCTCAGCGGGTGCACTACGTCCACTTCGCCAAGCACCGTCGACAGTCTTCTCCAGGGCTCCTCACGTTCTACAATGTCCTCCTCAACCTCCCAAGCTTCTTCCATGCCGCAACCCAGACAAATGCACTCCAAACTCCAACCTCTCGGTGAGGACGATGTACTTTCCCACTATGACACGCATCCTTCCGGCCTAGTCGCACCACATGTATCTGCTGGACCCTCCAATTCACTCGCTCCCCTGCCACACCCGCCACTTGATCTCATTCTTATCGTGTCACTTCCTCCACCGAACGCTCCCCGCAGCACCGCCGCGCTCAAGCTCCGTGTTATCAAGGCATCGCTGGACTTTACCCTTGCTTCTCTCGGAGCCAAGGACCGTTTGAGTCTCGTGACTTTTGAAGTGGGGCCTGGCGGACGTGTGCGCAAGACACCTTACCTTTGTGTTGGAAAGGCGCACAGCCGAGGAAGGCTTTCCAAGTTCATTGATGAGATTGGACGTTCAGATGAGGGGCAAGATGATGAGTTCTTGGTGAGGGCCTCCAAGGAGGAGAAAACGGACGTTGTGACCGCGGTCAACCATGGTTAGTGCTTACTTATTCATCGTCACTTTCTGCTAACTATACGTCTTAAAGGTCTCGATGTCGTGCTTCAGCGCAAGTCCCGTAACCCCATTTCGGGAATGATCCTCGTGAGCGATGCAGCAGACAGCACAAGACGTGCACAGATGGATCTCGTCCTCGCCCGTGCCGAAGCTGGAAACATGCCCATTCACTCGTTCGGCTATGGTCGCTCGCACGATCCTGCTTCACTCTGGCTCATGTCGAACCATACCAGCGGGACATACACCTTCGTAAAGGACTGGTACGACCTGCGTGACTGCCTCGCCGGTTGCGTCGGCGGCATGATGTCCATCGGTCTGCTCAACATGAAGTTGCACATGAAAATTGTCGACGGTCAACGCTTCCGCATCCGCAAGGTCTCTGGCGGGCCTTCATCTATCCTCTCGACGGATGGCCACAACGTCGACATCGACGTCGGTGAGCTTCGCTATGGCGAATGCAAGGAGATGCTCATCGAGTGCGAGCTCGACAACACCGAGACGCGACGTCCTTCTGCGCAGAACGGTAATCGCGCGCTCAATGCTACCGATCAGTTCGTGCAGAGCATGGGTCTTGATTCCTTAGCCATCGATGACGGTGCTGATCTCGTGGATGGCATGATGGACAGGATGATTGATGAGGTTCCTGTGTTGGAAGTTGATGGGTCTTTCTATGATCCCTCCGCAGCGAAACAAGTTTCACGTCTCGCGCACCCTGTGCTCTTGACCATCACACTGCTTCCTCAAATTACCCACGCCTCGCCTAAGCCCGTCAAACCCTCAGATCCCGTGATCGTTCGGCGTAGAATGGAGCTTCTGGCATCTGATATGATCACGCGTGCTCTTGTCCTGGTTTCGAGGAAGAATTACCCCCAAGCGCAGAAGATCATGAATGAGACCAAACGTATTTTGCACACCGTACTGCAAAGCATCTCTAAAACGCTCCCTCCGCCCAATACCGAAGGTACTACTATGCGTAACCGCAAGGATATCCTCACTCTCGCTGCGGTACGCGCAATGCAGGCCATACTCCAAGACCTTCAGCTTTTGGCGGAGGCTTTAGAAGAAAATGTCGAGCTGTTTGCCCATGATCAACGGAATTTCGGTGCACAGCAGGTGCGTGCATGTTTTTTTTTGAAGTTTAGCAGACAAAACTGACTGGACCGTGATTTTAGGCTATGATATTGCGTGACCAGAAAAGCTGGAGTGGACGCAGCGCCACCGAGCGCCTGTTCTGGACCATGGACAACTCCATAGAGCTGGTTTCTCGAAGTACCGATTGGGTGGCACGCGACTGATAGTAATACCCCGTGCCCCAAGGCGTGATCTCTTTTTTCATTAATTTTTTTCATATTATGTTCGATGGTTACCCTATTTAATCTGTACATGCTTTCTCGTTCTGTCTGTTCTGTTTTGTGGTTCTATTATATGTGTGGTTTCCAACCCCATTCCATTCCTTTCCTGCGCCATCGTCCTTCGAATTCCTTGTCCTTCGTATCACCCAGGTCTGTTTCTGGATTCCATAATGTACGCCCCCTCGGTCACATCCACTGTCGAGACATACGCCTTGTGATTTCTCTCCCCACCCGGATGTTCCGTATTCCTTGTTTGTTACTTGCTTGTGCGACTTCTCTCATCGTATATCCACGCCCGCTTTGTCTTTGGCCCAAAGGTGGGAGTAATGTAGTTGATTTATTACGTAGGAAAATCACGAAGCTTTTTATCATAATGATTCCATCGTCATTGTCATTATAAGGAGCGTAACTTAAGTATGGTGGGGTGCGGTATGATACAGTGCGTAGGTGTGTTTATTCGTAACCCAGTCGTTGGCGCTCTTCGCGGTCACGTTCGAGTTTCGTGGCTTTGTTTTCGGTCTCGGTGAGGATGTCGTCCCATGCTACGAAGAGTTCTGAGAGCGCATCCACCTAGCAAAAAATGCGATCAGTTAAAAAGACAAGACTGGTTGATGCTGATAAACAAACACGTACATGTGTAGCATGTCTGTCGACAAGAGCTGCTATTCGCTTCTCCAACGACGCAGCTAGTTTAATATCCTCCTGGTGCGCCTTCAAAAGCGCGTCCAAACGAGGTTGCAATACCTCATAGTCTGAGGGGAAAATGAGATCCTGGTGAACTCTTTGAAGTTCTACAAGACTTGCCTGCGAGTTTTCCAGCTGCTGTCACGCCTTTTTGTTCCAGCATTTCGATCTCGCGCATGTCCCTATCAGCAGCTCTAATTTCCGGCTCCATCTCTACCAGCAGCGCTTCCAGTTCTTCTGGAGACATGTTTTCATACGTCGGGGCTGGCCCAGGGAGCACCCCCGACAGAGCGAATGCTGCAGTCAGTAGATGGGCATGCAGGTCGTCTACATAGGATGAACGCGTCAGAACGCGAGGAGCGACGTGTTTCGGTAACTTACATTTGCTCATGAACTTTGCAAGACCGTCGTTGGACTGTATGACGCTATCGAGTCGCCTTTGCACGTCCTCTGCTAGGCGAATGAGGGTTTCACCGTGTTTAAGCTCTGATACTTTGTCCTTGCCCTTGCGATCCCTCGCATCCTGCCGCACACCTAGAAGCAGCGCTTCGAGCCAGCGGAGTCTCAGCTCTAGTGATAGGGCGGGATTTATGACGGGAGGCGCGGGTGATGGTTCCTAGCTGTAGTAGAGGCGTCATTGACACAGCAGCAGCCTGAGTAGGCTGCTCAGCGGACAACTCTGACTGAACCTCATCCAAAGGTTCCACGAGTTCCTCGAAAGATTGTGAAGTAGATGCGACGTTCATTTGATGTCCAAGTTGGCCGGGCGGGGGAGATGATGGGGGTGTAGAAGATAATATACGGTGTCGCTGGAAATCTCCCAAGAATACGCTCCCGATGGGTGACATGGAGACAGACGGTCAATCGTGAGATATTATCCTTGTATCAATGCCTGGTAGATCGTGGAGTGAACGGACCCAGTAACTTGGGTTGTTCGATGTAACGATTTACTAGGGCCCAACTAGTGCTTAATCGTGTACCTACAGTTAGATTATGTATTGCATTTGCCGATGTCACTTGAGTTGACTTGTAAATAATTTATACGAGCTCAGGCTAGTCACACTCATGACTCAGGGAGTAAGAACATAAGGAAGAAAATTGTATACAAAGTCATCGTACATACGCGAAAATGAAGTCTAGTGTAACAAAATCAACGAAATAGTTAACATACATCACGAGAGAAGGGAAATAAGAGACCGTTGACCGTCTTGTACCAGTAAAAGAGAAATCAGATCGAGGAAGAAATCTACATAGTGAAGGAAATGAAAAGAGTAAATATACATGCCAGAGATGAGTCCGTGATGAAACTGAATGAGTCTCGTACCAGTATAAATCGAAGAAGACCTACAAGTGGAGAAGGAAATGAAAATAATAAAATCCATGCCAGAGATGAGTCCGTGATGAAACCGAAGAGTCTAAGGAGAAAACAAATCAAGGAAGACCTATGTGGAGAAGGAGATGAAAAGAATAAAATTCATGCCAGAGTTGAGTCCGTGATGAAACCGAACGAGTCTCGTACCAATATAAGGAGAGAAACAAATCAAAGAAGACCTATGTGGAGAAGAAGATGAAAAGAATAAAATCCATGCCAGAGTTGAGTCCGTGATGAATCGAATGAGTCTCGTACCAGTATGAGGAGAAAACAAATCGAAGAAGACCTATGTGGAGAAGGAAATGAAAAGAGTAAGACACATGCCAGAGATGCGTCCGTGATGGAACCGAATGAGTCTCGTACCAGTATAAGGAGAAAAACAAATCGAAGAAGACCTACAAATGGAGAGGAAATGAAAATAATAAAATCCATGCCAGAGTTGAGTCCGTGATGAAACCGAATGAGTCTCGTACCAATATAAGGAGAAAAACGAATCGAAGAAGACCTGCAAGTGGAGAATCGAGATGGAAATGAGAAGAATAAGCGTACATGCCAGAGATGAGTCCAGTGTCTGGCGTCGTACAAAAGAGAAACAAATCAAAAGTACCTCTATGTGGGGAAAGAAGGGAGAAGAAGAAGAAATAAACATGCCAGCGATAAGTCCAATGTCCGGCTCATACAGTCGAGGAGAAAACAAATTAAGAATCCCTCTATGGGCAGAATGAAATGAAAGTGACTCGCTTCGATAGATGTGTGCGTGAAGTGGCGGCGGGCCTTCGAATCTAACTTCAGGTCGTGAGAGACAATGAAGGAGGCTGTCTAGTGTAACGCCGGGATTGGGTCGTAGGGGACCTAGGTTGGTGTTGAAGACCCGCAGCGTGGCGTGTGCAGTGTGCATAGATTGGTGGCCTTCGACTTCGTAGGCAGTGAAGCTCTGGGTCGTAGGGGACCGTGTTGAAGGAGGCCATGTGGTATTGTGCGTCGTCCGGATTGGTCGTAGGGGACCACCATCGGCGAGGGTGTGTGATGCGTAGGTGTGTGTGCGAGTGCGGAAGCGGCAGAATCCAACCTCTTGGGCGGTAAGCTCCAGGTCGTAGGGGACAGAGGAGGCCGTTACGTCGCGCGTCAATTTGGTAATAGGCTGTTGATGCGGAGGATTTACAGGGGGAGAAATTCGAGTTGAGCTGCGGCGCGCTTCGTGACCCGAATTAGAGGGGCTTAAGTTTGGAGGTGGAGGACGGAGGATCAGGATTCAGAGAGAGAAAGCGCCGCTAGGACTTAAGGCATCCATAGAGTTGGCGAGTTCAGGAAGACTCGGAGGAGGGTAAGGACACGTAGATGTTGTAGGTTGGCAACTAGAATGAGCGGTTGAAACGCAGATGGCGAGGGGAATCGTTGAGTGTCAGAGCTTGTATTTTTGCGACTAGGGTGCTGATCAAGCATAGTTCGTTCTGGTTCGTAAAAATCGTAAAATCGTCCTGGAGACCCAAACGTTAAGTAATGCAGATCAAGTTGAGGCTAGGTCGCTTCTTACCTCATGGGAAGTGCTGTCGTCACCGAGGGTAGAAGTGTTTGAGTCGATAGACGCGAAGGGTAAACTGCGCTAAACTGAGAGGGATATGCAATAACACGCTGTACTTATACTCCTAGGTTATTTGAAATGGCGAACGGCGCAATAAAGTTTGAATAAACACTCGATCGCGACGCGTCAGTCACGTGCTTGTAAAATCAACCAGTATATAAGTGGGGCACCGACGATATTTGGCTAAGTACCTCACTACATAGTGGACGAAAACATAGCTGTGTCTGTGATCAGTCCTTCTAGCGGGCGGACGGCGCCGGATGCCCCCTCGAGCTATGCGTAAATCAGACGTGATTCTATCGTAGTTGTACAAAGTAAGTTAGACCTATTCAATTAACGCGAAAAACATATGTAGCGTCCAGGCAAACTGATAGTACACATAAATGTCAGTGGATGTTACAATGATTTAAACTAATGCAGCGGATGGAGTGAGATGAGATGCTCGGATATTGTATATCAGTACGAGGTTAAAAACCATGCTCTGCTTGAACCTATCTCAGATGCGGAGACTTTGACAACGCACCAAAGGATCCGATATATCATCATTTTCACCGAAGATCAAGATACCGTACTCCGTACGTTTGTGCGGGAAACAGTTCGAGCTCCGCGACGATACGTTCTTTGGTGGGTATTCTTCTGAACCGGCCATCGTTACAACGCTCCAGCAGCATTGCAAAGAACGGGTTCTTAAGTCGTTGCCGAAGGAGCGACATGGTGATGTGGTATACATGCGAAGAGTCATAAGACAATCGCGGATCCCAGGTTCGTGCCAACAGATAACGAGATGGGGAACGGTCAAACGTCTTCAAGGTCTCGGAGGTGACAAGACTGAATGTCCGGATGCCGTCTGCACCACAATAGTATGACCCCGAGTCCGGCGTGAAGTAAAGCCACAGCACTTCATGCACAAAGCACGGCACAGTGATGTGGATTTCAGGGGTAAGAGTGTATGGCCTAGGAGGCTTCTCGAGCAGTTTGGCAAGGGGGATCTCGCTTCCTTCAAACGGAAAGCTTGCCGATCGTTTGACCGCAAAAATGCTCTGACCGCTTACGGTTCTTGGAATTTGTGGTGCGCCATCGATATCGTAAGAGGGAGATCGAATGGCCGCACGGATGGGAGACCCATCACCGCTTAGCTCATCACTTGTGTTTTGACCATTACGAACACGAGACGAACTGGACATAGGCATGTGAGCACAAGCACGTATTTCAATTAGAAATTCTCACCTCCTTGCCCTGCGGATAGCCCCTTTGAACACATAGACGAGCTTTGCAGCCAATGCAAAGCTCAAAACAGGGTAAGGGAGGCCGTCAAACGACATTTCTGTGAAAGCAGTGGCTGAGAAGCATCTTGGGGAGGAAGGAAGGCAACTATTCAGGGTCGAAGGCCGTCCGACCCAGTCCAGAAGAGTCGCATCTCCCGTGCGCTTCATGATCTCCACCAATAGTCGAGAGAATGCATGGTCACCCTCTCCATAGTTAACAGGCATTGTAATTCCGAAAATTCCCATCAAGCAATATGCTTCGTCTTCCTTCTCTTTGGTCACTCTATCGCGTGCCCATCTAAGCTTCTCTCGAGGGTGCTCGACACTCGGAGAATAGAACTTGAGATAGCTTTTCTGTATCCCAGTTGCGGATTCTAGCGCAACCAAGATCTCAGCGACCTTCTTGTGGTTGAATGTTGTGTGTTGGGAAAATGGGGTCCAGTCCCTCTTGTAGAGCCGGATGACCTGGGCAGCAAGCAGTTCCTGAAGAGTCCAACCCCTTCGGAACCACTGACTAAGCAAAAGCGCCTGAACGCTGGATTCCACGACGTCAGACAGGTAGATGATTGTCAATGCCGACCGGCGATACCACGAGAACATGGAAGAAATGGACTTTTGAACTTCGGCGCTGCTGCTCTGGTCAATGCAGCATGTGTCGATCCATGCCCAGTCAAATTTACAATTGCGCGCCATGTAACAGAAATTGCGAACTTTGTCGAATCTCGATGCGAGAAGGTTATAGACGCCCTCCTGTGGGACATCATTTGAAGCCAGGTTCGTCATTCTCCCATCTGTGTGAGAGCATAGCATATGCAAAAAAGCGTCGGACCACTTCAACGATGTACTGCTTCTGTTGCAGCGTAGCCCTAGTGGTGGTAAGTGTAAGAAGTGAGTGATATTTATCTGATGCTTCGAATTTCGTCATGAGAGCGTTGCTGCGTGTAGATTTTGCCATCTTGAGTGTTCAGCAACTGGATGGGCATGTCGCGAAGTATTGATTCGGCAATGGATCGAATCGCTTGCTTGACTTGCTTCTCACCCACGCTTCCAGGCGGGAGGTCGTCTGATGGGTCGCTCCGTGCGGTACAGAAACTCTGCGATCGTGTTCATATGTCAAAGCATGTATCATGCACCAAGAATACTAACCTCAACCGAAGATTGTCCATCTTCCGTCTGAAACATCTTGGTGAATTAGATTGTGGTAGTCGACAAAGAAGCAGATTGATCAGCCTCTGGCTCTCTACCAAGAAAAGAAACTTGTAGATGGGAACAATTTATCATACCTTTCCGTAAGTCCTTGATGAACCCAGGCGCCCAGGAACATGTGGCACCTAGTGACCATGCGGTGCGGCCTTGACTCAACCCTTGATATAGCTGGATAAGTTGAGATCCTGCACAACGGGAAGGAATGGGGGGACGAACACTCTATCCTCATATGTGAGTACCTTCGAGGACTCGCGTCTGCCTTGCAAATTGGAGGTGGTCTCTGGGAAGGTGCAATATGCAAAGTCCCATTGTACCAAGTTGGAGACAGTTGTCTCCAAGTATTATTACGAGAAGCGGATCAAGGCACATCAAAATGTGATCGGAACTTCAAGTGATCTACCTATAGAGACTTTCCCGTCAGAGGCAGGATGATGCTGACGCAATTTTGTAACATTGCCTCGAGGAGATTCGAGCATGGAGATCGAGGCAAAGTGAACGATCTAGATCCGCACACCTATAACTAAGAATTTTCACTCTCGGAGCAATTTGAATTTTGGGCTGCAGCCTGATCAAGTGTTGCAGTTTCGCAACGCAAGGAACGATGCAACAATATGGTGCAGTACAGCAAGGGAGACAAACCGAAAGGGGGACGGGGACGAAAGGGGTGGAAGCATATGAGAAAAACCACACCACCGACTCGGAAGACTGACGAAATAATTGATATAACGGAATTGACAAGGCAAGGAGTCCAAGGACAAGAACTCTGGCAATGGTATACCATCATCAAGGGCACCAGGCTCGCCGTAAAGAAGACCTCTCGCACCACTGGCAACAGTTGGGTTCCAGAAAGCCGAGCCAACTTCCCCGAAGGTGTTGTTAAAATCAAGTATCGTTGGTAACAATTATTATAGATTAAGAAACTCAGAGTACATCGTAATGATCATGATAATCATGGTCATCACCCAGGAAGACTAAGTATACATGACGTATATATACAACACTTCACAAGACCTCATTCTACTCAAACACTCTCCGACATTTCCATCGGCAGCTGGCTATACCCCTCCTCCACCCTCCCCCTCTTCACCGATCTCTCCACCGAATCCCACATGTCGTGCAATGCATTCATCCCACTCTCAAACAACGTCTCCCCAGGCACCATCTCCCCAGGCATCACGCTCGACACAGGCCGTCGCCACCACCGCAGCATCAGCGAGCTCGTCACGACGCTCACCGACGAGAACGCCATTGCGCCACCTGCCAGCATCGGGTGCATATATAGTCCAAAGGGCAGGAACACACCCATCGCGAGCGGAATACCGAGTACATTGTATATACACGCCCAGACGAGGTTTCGCCGGATCGTGGAGAAGATGCTGTGCGAAAGGTGTAGCGCAGCGACGACATCGAGGAGATCGGAGCGCATGAGAACGATGTCAGCGGCTTCGACGGCTACGGAGGTCCCGGAGGAGAGGGCGATGCCGACTGTAGCAGCTACGAGGGCGGGCGAGTCATTGATGCCATCGCCGACCTGAAATAATAAGATGCACAGGTCAGATTCAAAACATCAAAACAGAACAGAGAGTGACATACCATTGCAACACCACCATTGCCTTGCTTCATAAGATCCGTAACAAGGGATGCCTTGCCTTTGGGACTCATATTGGCCCAAACGCCCTCAGATTTAATCCCCACTTGTCTGGCAACCGCCAGCGCCGTGACCATTCCATCACCAGTCATCATGTTCACCTCAATCCCCATGGCCCGCAGTGCTTTGACTGCCTGTGCAGATGAGGGCTTGGGTGCGTCCGCCAAAGAAACTGCAAGCAGGGGTAACGGAGCAGAAGATGCCCGTGACGAAGAAACGAAGATCACCGTGCGACCAAGTTTGCTCTCTTGAGCCTCGTAGTTCGTCAAAATGGAAGGGAGTTGTGCATCGTTGGATTGTGTTATGAACCGCGCGTTTCCGATATATAAAGTGTAGTGGGAACCAGATAACGCGATAAGGGCTTTCACACCAGCGCCAGTCACGCTCTCGAAAGACTTCATGTCTAATGCTGGTGTTTGGACATCGGCACTGGCAAGCAGACTCTTGCCATGAGCAGCGATGGCTTTGGCCAGAGGATGCTCGGACTTGCCCTCCGTCACAGCAACCATTGCTATGATAGCTGCGCGAGTTGTGATGCCATCGCCACATCTGAATGACAGAGATTGAGAACCGACGTTGTCGTCAGGCAGGAGCTCGGAGGAATCCGGTGGGGGTACCCATGACATGCCCGCCACAGTGAGCTTTCCCTGCGTCACGGTACCTGTTTTGTCCAGCACGATCCGCTTAATTGACCGGCTGGCCTCCAGCGCCCTGCCGCCCTTGATAAAGATCTGGTTATTTGCACCCACACCCGTGCCAACCATGATAGCAGTTGGTGTACTCAGTCCCAGAGCACACGGACATGCAACTACCACCACCGATATGCACATCTGCAGACAAACTGCTAGCCGGCTCGCGCCATGGCGTTGGAACATAGCTGGGAGTTTATCCTCGCTGATGACATTCGAGACCACCATCCACGTAGCGAAGGTGAGTACTGCGAGCGAGATGACAGCGGGAACAAAGAAGCCCGCGACACGGTCCGCGAATGCCTGAATTGGTGCTTTGGACGTCTGTGCCTCTTCGACGAGTTTGACTATTTGTGCGAGCGCCGTGTCTTTGCCTGCACGAGTCACGAGCATGTCAAAAGTCCCGAGGCCGTTGACGGTGCCCCCGATAACGCTGTCTCCGGGCTGTTTCAACGCCGGAACAGGTTCGCCAGTGACAGCGCTTTCATCCACGGTGGATGACCCCCGGATGACCGTCCCGTCAGCAGGCACTTTGTCCCCGGGGACAAGCTTGACGGTATCCCCTACTTGTACCAACTCCGTGGGAATGCGCTTCTCTTGCGTACATGCTGGTGTATCTGTGTAGATCGTGGCCATTGTTGGTGCAAGGGCCATGAGATCTGTCAGAGCAGCACTTGTCTTGCCCTTTGCGCGGTTCTCGAGATAACGTCCGAGAGATACAAACATGATGAGCATAGTACTTGTGTCGAAGAAGATGAAAGGACGGAAGTCAGGTGTGGTGTTGAACGCCGCAAAGACCAATGCAATTAATGAGTAAAAGTAGGCGGCAGAGGTTCCGATCACGACCAAGACGTCCATAGTCGCGGTACCATGTTTAAGTGCCTTGAACGCATTCCGATAAAACTTTTGACCGACCCAGAATTGTGCGGGAGTGGTGAGGGCAAGGAGAATAAGATCGCCAAGATAGATACCGTTAAATATATGAAAACTGATGAAAGGTCGGAGAAATGGTATGTGCATCGCGATCATACTGAAGAAGAAAACAGGTACGGCGAATGCGAGCGCCCATTTGAAGCGGCTGGCCCACTCTTGGATCTCCTTAGTTCGGGCAAGTGACTGTTTTTGCGTGGCATCTTCTTGATCTGACAATATGGCATCGAAACCCATATCCTCTATGTGTTCGACCATTTCCCGAGGGCCGACGAGACTTGGTTCGAACTCTATCTTGGCAGTCTCGGTGGTGAGTGAGACGGCAACACTAGTAATGCCTGGCATCCCGCGTAGGCCAGATTCTACAGTCGATGTGCACGAACCGCAGGTCATACCGAATATCCGCAATGTAACCATATCAGACCGCGCCATCGGTATTTCCGTGGCATCAAATCCTATATCTGAAATTTCCTGCCAATAACGATGAGGATACACCTGACGTAACAGCGACGAACTAACATTGACAATCTTCTCTGGCGTCCATACTGAGGGATCATACTCGACCACACCCCTTTCAGCAAGAAGTGCAACTTTGATTGAATGTATGCCGGCTTGTGACCTAAGCATGCCTTCGATAGACTACGACCAATGAGTAGACGTACGAAGGGTGGGCATAGTGCAAGCTCACCTCTACACATGCACCGCACGTCATGCCCTCTATACGGAGTTCACATTTTCCTAAGCCATCATCCTCCACCTTAGCGGAGGCAAGGGGTTCATCATCCACGAGAGGAAGTTCGACATTCCCAAAAGCTGTGAGCTTTGTCCTTTCCAGAGCGCTCGACACAATGCCAGATATGATGGACATGCTTCAGGTAGCCGCGAGGGGCAAGTGACTGGTGCACTGTAACAAGTTGGACCCGTTCTCGGATGGGATTGAGTGCTTCAGAGAGAGTAAGTAAGCGCCAACGCTGCGAATTTTGGCGGCGGGGTTACTTATAGGGCAACTTTGAGACTAAAACGTCGGACGAACCAGAAGGCTCTGTAAAGAAGTCTAAGCTGTTGCAGCAGTCACCGCATTTTATGACGAGCAACGCCAGCGCGCTATCCCTTGTGAGGTCTTAATATCTTACGTCATCGTTCCCCGGCCATTGGTCCACGTCTCCACTGAGGCTTCCGTTATCCGGATCCAGTCCCTTGCCTTCTACTAAGGCGAAGAAGATTATATTATGATCAGATCAACATTGTCCACCTCCAACATCGAAATTGAATGACTGTTCTCCAGTTCCGTCTTGGCGTATTGACAAACTCCAGCATTCCCACTCGACGAGCGCCCAGCACAGGATGTAGCGGGAACCAATTGAAACCGTCCATTCAACCTCGAGCAGCTGTATCCCCCTGCAATCGCTCCATAGCTTGATGGTTTCGCTGTCCAGCTCATCATCATAGAACGCACTTACTGGTTAGCCTGACCAAAACATAACCTGACCTCAGAAGATCCAAGCTACACCTTATATCTTAAACTTGCACCGTCTAATCAACGTTTTCGTACGTCTTCCCTCGGCATAACGTCGCCCATATAATTTCTAAACGCACTACCGAACAAGTGGTACTTGCCCGAGTTGTTCCATTCCAACTTATAGTTCCATTTAGTCAATGCGTCATTGGGATCAATATTGTCAGTATTTATCCCTTCTCTCGCTCTCTGGCTAAATATCAACAGTTCCTGGTGATCATTATTGGGAGAAGCTGTCCCAGGTTGTCATCAAGGGTGCTGAATATGACTCCCGCGAACGCCAGCCCCATCAAAATGCTTGAAAGGGACACGGTTGGACCTTCTCAACTACATCTACGAGTTATTAGACAATGGAGAGAAGAGCCGACTCGTTTGACTGCATGGCACAGCGGGCGTTGGAAAGTCTGCTGTTACGTTCACTGTGGCTGAAAGGATGAGAGGTCTCAAAGTGACAGAACGGACGAATATCGAAAGCGGCTCGCGGGAACATTATTTCTTCTCGCGCAAGCACACAATACGTTGCACGACTGCCAGATATATATATATTTGCGACGCTTGCCTGGGTTCTACGCAGTTGGAAAAGCTACATCAGACGCGCTTCGTGATCTTTGTAAGAAGACTCCTCCGCACTCACCTAGAGATATCCGAGGCGGCTCAGAGACCGGGACTGCAGAACACCTCGCAGGATTCATACTCAAGGATCTTCCCTCGGGTGAGACAGGCAGAAAGCTTCTCTACCTCACTGGGGATAAGAATCGTGACCCATTGCCGAGGATTCTGGAGTCGGGAGGTGTTATATTACATAAACCCTCTCCAGGTCTATGCCACACAAGGTTTCCTCAAGAGCTATTGCTTGCCTTGGAATATGCCAAAGGAAAGTGTTTTTCAGCCTTAGATTTGCACCACCCTTGAGATTTTTAATAGGGGAGGGTTTATCCTGGGGATGGATTGTCCACTTCGCCCCTTCAGTAGCTGAATTCGTGACGCCAATCTCACGGACCCACTTCGTCCTGCCTGCGGTCAATTCGAGCGTGGAGGATTGTGGTGAACTTTCGGGGCATCATCACCTAGTCAAAGTTGCTGCGATAGGTCCCACTACGGAATCCTTTCTCCAGCAGACTTTGAAGTTGTCAGTCACAATAACCACAAGAAATCCCAACGCGGGGGATCTTGCTGATGCGGTCCTTCAATATGATAGTACAATGACATACGGCACTTAATGTATACATCTGCTTGTCACTACTGCAGAACATGCTGCGTATGCTACACAACCTGAACGGCGGCGTAAAGTTGGTTCTTTCGAGCTATCTCACTGTCACGGCATGAACTCTCCACTGATGCGACAGGATTATGGCGTCTCGTCGACTCACTTGCTACGTGGAAGAGTGTGTGCGATAAGGGGATGGGACGGCAAGTGAGTCGACCGGATGATTATGCCACATATCATTGATTCGATGAACGCAGAGTACTTGCTATTCTACGCAACGAAGTCTTCTAGGAATCCTTGTACATCGCAAGCAAGGATGCCAGGCGGCTGTGTTTGCCTCTCGCCGATCCTTCCTTTGGAATACACCTCGTCCTGGAGGCTTGAGGGACGACGACTCTTCTGTGATAACGACGAAATGACCGTTGAGGAAGAGTGCGCCTGTGCTCTGTGATTGATAGCAGGCGGTACAAATGCGAAAGCGTCGATTTGGGCGTTGGTCATGGTGGACTTTGAGAAGACAAGTACATCAGTTGCACCAAAGCGCATGCATACATGGTACATGGATTCATGATCACTTACCGTGCATGATATCGTGCATGGTGCGCACCTCTTTTTACTAGTATGTATTTTTACTTATGCGGCTCTTTGTATGCAGTCCTATTCTCCCGTTCGCATTGCTCATCCGTTCTTGTTCCCATGCCCACCTGCTGCTTCGTACACCCACATTCTGCCTTGATCCCGCCCCTTCATGTACATGGATTCCCACTAGTGCGATATTGTGTGGTATTTGCACCTGCTTCAACTTGAAGTAAGTACTAGGTCACAGGGCACCTCGCTCTTTCAAAGTCGAACCAAGGCCACTCGATGAAATTGTACAGCCGCTTGGTAACTTGTCCACAACGTATCCAGATCTACGGTGAGCATCCCGTTCTTTCCCAAATATTTTTTCTAAGCAAGTTTATAGAGAACCAGCTCAGCTCCGACACCGTAAGACTTCTCAACCTCTAGGCTCCTCTCAGAAGAAAGTAAATAACATGCCACTGCCTGGTCCCCCAAAACTTCGCCGCCGCCGCCAAAGTGCTTATCCCATCTCCAATGGTCGAGCATCTGATCGAGGCTTCGCGTGTCCGAGTTGTGCCAGCAAGCAGAAACACGACTCACTGCCACTACATCTCGCATTTGAAGATGAGCTACCACGCCGGTGAGTCATGGGTTGCTGTAAGTTGGTCAGACTGCCGCATGCGCATAACCGTTACACCAAAAGGTAGAATATTGAAAGCTTAGCTTTCAGTATCAGCGACAGTATATATACTGAGTATGGGAACTCAGGTAAGCTAGCGTGCTTACAGTTGCGCGATAGGTGGAAGTACTGACAATATTTGATATCATGCCCGACTGCAAGCCATGTGCAGACCTCGTTAAGGAAGACTACAGCAAAGATATCTTCAACGGCTGTCAACAGTGCACGTGTAATTGTTCGAGTATGGCCGGTGAGTGGATATGGAGGCCTCGTGGCAGCATCGAACCCCTCGAACATCCGTCGCCAGCAGTAGCAGCTCCTCCCACTAATACCAAGTGCTTCACTTATGACATGTAGTAGAAGCAATTAATGTGTCCTGGACACTACAGAGACTTCCTGTGACTCGTACAAAGTCTTAAGCTTCAGACACTATCAGCTCTTCATATTGCTTCTACTACGTGTCATACACATATATTCTATGGCAAAACGAAATTGAAAAAGTCAACAATCAAATTCCCGGAGCTCAAACTGCAGTTGCAGACATCTTCCAAAACAAAATCATAGAACTCTTGTGCATGAAATGAGCCTTCAACAGCGTGTGTTACAAGATAGCCGTCTATGGTCATGGCAGTGCATAGCGAGTAGCGGTCTCCTCGAACAAAGACGTCACAAAGCTGTGCACATTGTCCATAGTGTAATCGTCCATAATGGCGCGCATAAGTATGCTCGTTCTTATTAGTTCCATCGAGGACAACAAACTCCGAGCCGTCGCCAACAAAGTCATTCTGAAGACTATCTTTGAACTCCTCTCGACGGACATTGTCGTGTTCAGACGCAATTTTCCGGAGCATTTTTCAAGAAAGGCCAACTTGTTTGAGATTGCAAGATAAGGATGATGAGCTGATGGTGATGTTGTGCTCGACTGCAAGCCAGGTGCAAATTTTGTCGAGGAACAGGTCTGATTCTTCAGCAAAGAGGTCTTCGACTGCCGTCATAAGTGCTCGCGTGATTATTCGTGTGCGGCCGACAAGTGGAAAAGGGGGTCTAGCAACAGTACCGAGGTCTTCAAACATGCTTCGCCAACGAAAGCAGCTGGCCCGAGAAACACCGAGCACTTCACAGATATATTCGACCTCCTAACCGTGATCCCAGAGTGTAAGCGCACATTCTTTCAGATCTTCGCTTATTCGTCGGTTGACCATGTCGTACAGGCGATGGAGAAAGGTCAAACTTCGTTGTTTTCGATATCTGCTGGTGTCAAACGTCGTCCCCGAAGCAGAGCTGATCACGAGCAAATTGACGGTCCTGCACTGGATTACCTAAGTCGTCACACGTGCCACCAAAATTCCATGAATCTCATTAGTTTCGCACACTGCTGTAAGTATCAGCATTTGAGTCCAACAGGGTGATGTTTGTTACTCGTTTTATACCACTACTATCATCTCACACAGCTGATTTCCCCATCTTCATTGCACTTCTATCGATGGATCAATTTGTAATCAAGAGAAGTCGCATGGATCTCCAAGACCCCAAAGACACTCCAAGTACATCCGCAGACGATACATGCCATCGATTTGCTGTGGCAGATCAGCCTTAACTCACATCGGGAGCACCAACACGTTTCAGAAGGACTTGTTGGTAGTTCTCCCATGTAGCAATGAACTGCAACAGCATTAAGGTCCCCGTTTAAAGCGTGACATTACAGCACATACCTCTTTCTGTCTGGATATCATGCCGTCCAGGAAAGATTGTAAAGCGTTCTTGAAATCCTCCACGCGCTCCTGCTCAAATCTCGTCATTTCAGATTTTATTAGTTTTGAGCACTGATCGAATTCGTGCTTGGCGTCCAGAGCTCGACGTTCAACCTGACTAGCCATAAGAATGTGTAGATAACACAAACAATGATGATCCCACCTCTGATATTTGGCTGACGGTGTGACTTATCCGATCCGTAGGCAAACGACCCTGAGCTCGAAGTCGTTCATGGTTTTGCTTAACACGGCGGACGTCGGCATCAGCATTTTGCCAAGCAGTGTACGTTCGCATGCGAGAATTAAAAGCCATCTGGAAGATAAAATAAGATGAACGGGTTTAGGAAGCAAAACCTGGGCAACTGACTCGAACAGAGTTGATTAACCTTGAATACTCGTCCGCTAACGGCCAATTAATTATCGCTCGAAACGGAAAACTAGACTTACCAGTGGCCAAAAGAGTCATCACGTCCTGTTGTGACTGAATGGTCTGAACTTCCTCAGCCTTGCGCTGAACGTCAGCCATGGCTTCTAATGATTGCTCCAGTTGCTTCCCAATGTCAGAACCCGACAGGTCAGTGATCGCAGTGGCGAACTCCCCAGTTGCAGCAGCCAATTCTGCAATGCAATCAATGACTGTACTGACATCACATCAAAAGGCAAAGACGCACCGGCTCGCTGCTTCGCAACAACCTCTATTGACTTCACTAATCCGCGCAGCTGTGACTCGAGGCCATCCAGATACGCGCGCTGTTTATCGAACCACTGTAGGAATGTTAAGTCAACAGCCGTCGTGAAGAGCGAATTTCAGGATGAACCTCATCGGTTTCATGAAACCGCGGACCCGCCAAGGTTTGGCCGATAGATGCCATGAGCCCTCCCCTTTCGTGCGAAATCTCAGCCTTCCTGTGTTTGATCTGCATGGCGCTCAAGACAAGCAAACTTAAGCAGCAGGATCATATTACGCACGTCTAAGGAGAAAGTGTCACTTTCTAGGAACAGCTTGAGATCAGGGTCCTTTGCCAGCACTGGGTGATTGACAATCTTTTGGATACATTTCTCGAGCGCCACTCGCCGTTGCTGTACAAATGTTTCATCGAAACGTCCAAACGGATTTTTCTCTGGTGCAGGAGGGACAATGACACCCGGGTTATTCATTGAAAGGGTCTCGTATAGCCATAGGAAGTCTGAATATCGACGTAGCACAGAGAATACTGACTTCTGGAAAAGCAGAGAGGTCGTCTAGGATAAAGATATTTAAGGGATGTTATCAGCAGCACGAAACAAAAGCAACTCACTCGTGTATGCACGGTATACATGGTGAACGATCGAATGGGGTCACCCACGCGCTGTGGGTCGTCGACCGAAATGACGAAGATAGGAGCTGATGAATCACTGCTCATCGCAGTAGGAGCGGGTGAAGTTGCCATCTGCTGCGCGGTAGGTAAAGTGATTCATAGTCTATTGGGCAAGTACTCACCTGAGGAGAGTTTATCCTGTCTATACCCTTGAATTTAGCAGATTGGCCTATCGGCTTGTCATCATCGTCCTCCTCATCGGCTGTAGTGTTTATGACAGGCGAAGGAACAGGCGGCAAAATGTCATGTGCTCCCCAGTCAGACTGCCAACCCCGCTGAGACTCTCCTCCCACTGCAAGACTTGCAAAGGACTGATCAGTTGCTGGAGAAAAACTCTGTTCCAACGGAGAGATGACAGCACGCTCTGGGCTGTCAGAAGGAGTGATAACTTCCGTAGAGGAAAGTATTGTGGATAAGGACGGGGATGGCTCCTGGTGAGGTGGTGTTGCCGCTCTGGCCGGCTTTTCATCATCAGGAGCGGGCGATTCTGATTTAACTTCGGAGACGGTCGTTGTATGGTCTTCCGCGTTAGATGTAAATATGCTGAAGCCAGGTGTACGTGGGAAGGTAGCATCTGTCGGCGCTGTGCTATGTTCATCATCATGATCCTCAGCAGTCAGTGCAGCCGCATCCAGCGGGTCAACTGCACTGTTCTGGTCGCTGTGCCCACGATCGCCTGTGACATACGACTCAGTCGTAGGTGTAGCGCTAGTACTACGCTCGGGCTCGTCCTCGAAGCCAGTCCTGTAGTAGTCGAAATCATGATGTGTTGGCCCCGGCTCAGTGTGCGAGAAGCCGCTGGACCATGGGTCTGGCGAAGATGAACGTTTGGAAAACGGGTCTTCGAATGGATTCTCTTCGAGGACGTTCCGAGAGGGTGCGAGAAGGTCGTCAAAACTGTCCATGGAATAAAATGTGAAGGCCTGAAAATGGGTGACGCTTGGAGCGAGTTCTAGCACGTATAAGTAGTACTCAATCAAGTTCAGAGTACATATACGTACATACCCCAGCGTCTAATCGATATCACAAAGTCGTCTCGTCACATTATCATACCAGCTACGTAGAGCTTCAGGATATATCCACAACATACTAAGTAATCATATTCCTACTCATATGGCATCCCCTCGACAACATTTCCAAGAGATACCCAATTAGCAAGCGCATTGTCGGCGAAAGCCTGCTCGTCACGAGCGAGATTTTGCACCAACTGGCTGAGCAAAGCATTCTCCCTATTGTGCAGCACCACACGAAGCTCATGCCACATCCTAGGTAGCTTTAACATCACGAAAAATGGCAGTCGTAGACCACTCACGAAGCACGAATAAACACTCTTCGGTTCATGAGTGTAGAGATAGTCGCTTGGTCTTTCTCTATGAGAACAACAACCCGATCAGCGTCCTCTTGCCAGCCGTCCTTCTGAGCAGCCTTGATCCCCTCGAGTTTCATCGAATTCAAGTCAACTCGTTTCTTCAACCGGTCGACATTGTCGACAGACAGACGGTCGTGACGGACGAAAAGATCTCGCATGGTAATATACAGATCTCGCTGACTCTGCATCATAGAGGATAAATACATCAATAAACTATTGGCAATTCACTCACTTTCAGCGCCTCCAATGTTGAGTAGAGCAATACATTCGTCTGAAGTGAAGCATTCAACAAGCAGGAAGACTGGGTAGAGTAATACACTGACTCGTCGTTCCAGTAAATCAGACTGCTGTTGTGTATGGGAAGCAACATGTCTAATCCCCTGTCGCACGCCGTCACACAACTCGCACTCATCTCCCCTCCAACACCGTTCGTTCACCTCAACGACGGCTCTCAGCACATTTGTCAGCCGCGCTAGATCTGCCTGATCATCCGATTCGAAGTCATCGGAATTCGTGGTGCGTGAGGACAGCATTGAAAAAGACCCGGAAACCAACGACGTCGTCGACGAAGCGGGTCCAGATACATGATCATGATCATCGAGAGGAGAATGATGGGAGGAGAAGAAAGGGAATGTGAAGTGAGCCGGTAAATAGGTGCGCCTGAGACTTGAAGGGATCCGTACCGCAGCTGATTCGCGTCTCTTTATTATGCGCTCTGCTAACACGCATATTCTCTGCCACTGCTCTATCAACGGATTGATCTTTCCCCGCACGAAACTTCAAAACTCTTAAGCGGACGGTTGAGATAATGAAAAATTTGCACATACATAAGCTTCTCTTCGAGGTCACTTGGGACTGTAATTTCTTCTATCCTATCAATTCGCTTGCTTGCAGATTCTTCCTCTAGCGACACGGCGGTGTGCTTCCGCCAGTTCTCGAAGGAAGATTCCGAAAGGAACGTCGCAAGGAGACCGTCCTCCTTGATCACCGGATGGTTTCTAAACGACCTTCAACCCCAGTATTCCGAATGAGGGCGGTAGGTACATACATTACAGCGTTCAGAAACCTCGCAAGGCCTTTCCTGTTACAAGCATTTCAGATGTCTTGACTAGCAAACACCATATTTCCACACCTTCGTTGCTCAATAAACGCAGCATCGGCTTGAATCTACATAAGGATCAAACGAAAGATACGAAACGCAACACTCACGCTGCACGCGCTTTGGCGGAAGGGCGGGTAAGAGACGGAAAGGGTATCGTCGAACCAAGCAGTCCCACAAAAACGCAAACTCCGAATACCGGCGATGAACAGGTGTACCGTTCTAAGGGCCACATGATATCAATGTCGAAAGAAAATATAAGAGTGCGCTCTCACTTCAGTGATAATCTCATACACCGTATACCGATTCAAGATGAACCCCTGCTGCCCTTGGATAGTCACCTCCACAGATTCTTGTTTATTCCACCACTCCTTCGGAAGCCCCGACCCCGCCAAACTAGAGGCGGCTCCGCCATTGATCGTCGTTGCACTGCGAGGGGTAGCGAAGTCAGGCCCTCCCCCATTACTTGCTAATCGAGGTACGCTCCACGGGTCCAGAGTGGCCTGTCTGTAGGTCGTGTAGGGAGTAGAGAAAGCTGACGTGCTCGGTTGTAAGGTATCAAGGTTGAGAAAGGGTTCGGGTAAACTGTTTTCTGCAGCGAGGGCGGCGACTTGTTCCACGCTAATATCTACGCGAGTCAACATTGATGTAACTCATGGTTAAGTAAATGAATAACGCACCTTTGCCGGACTGAGCAAGCGCCAATAATGCAAGTGCTACGAAGAACTCCAGCTTGGACACTTTTGGTCGAGAGCTTACGAGGTTCACGATCTGACCTGGGGATGAGCATCATCTGTCCTACAGCCAACCATTGCATCACCCACTTTATCCACAGTCGTCGCAGGCAATCCAGACGTCGACAAGACACGAGACAGAGCATTTACGGACGTCTCTCCGGAGTGTGTTCCATCCACGACTGCAAATGCCCTGTTATATGAATCCGGGATGGTCGCTTCCGCTGTCCAATCGTCACTAGTCAGATGCAGCCACGAAAATTATGTTCAAATACACACCTAGTACAGAGCTAAGAGCAGATGTCCCACTTGGTATGGGCTGCGGGGAAGGTGAGGGTGCAGTGCTCCACGGATCGTCGTAAATTGAGGCGGCCAGCGGATTTTCGTCTACGAAACTGCCTCCAAGCCCGTTGACAGGCGTGGAAGCATATCGTTGTGCTGGCCGCGGTGCGTTAAACATCTTGGCTGCAGTGATTGAAGATGATGATCGTAATGCGGAATGAACGAACTTCAAGCTTCAAGCCAAACAAGACTGCCACATGTTTACAGCACCGTCTAAATTTCCCAACCGGAAGCTAACTATTACTATGTACGATACACACTCGAGCTCAACGACTAAAGTATTTACTGGCAGCTCGCCAGTACGAGCAGCATCAGGTGCATTCCGCTTTGATCCCGTCCCTCCATGTACATGGATTCCTGCTAGTGCGATATCGTGTGGTGTTCACAACCGCTTCAACTTGAAGTAAGTACTAGGTGAGTCACAGGGCATTTCACTCTTGCAAAGTTGTTGAACCGAGGCCACTCGATGAAATTGTGCCAGCCACTCGATAACTTGTCCACACATCCAGATCTACGGTGAGTATCTAGTTCTTACCCAATTATCTTTCGTTAAGCAAGCCCATAGGGAACCGGCTCGGCTCGGACTTCTCAACCTCTAGCCTCCTTTTCAAAAGAGAGTAGATATCATCCCACTGCCAGATTCCGATCGAGACTTCACGCGTCGTGCCATCAACCACACTGCACCGATGTGAAAGCAGAAACACGGTGGTTAAATACAGGTCGCAAACTACTCATACTCACACATTTTCCACAAGGCACGTCGCGCATTCTATATCTTGCATGCAAAAGAAACGACAGTGCTCGCTGTCAGCGTCACTGGCAGATATCGATGCAGCCATAACGGCGAGGACAAAGAACAAACGCATAGGATCGAATAAATCTGAAGGGGACAGTAGGAAGACGCCTTGTTTTTATGTGCTGGATGGCAGAACTTCACGACGATGTAGGAAGAACCTAACCCCTTTCGCAAGGTCTATGGGCGTGGAACAAAATATCTGCTGGGCCTGATATATCATTCAAAGAGAAGATGCTATCACCTATCTGCCCATTGGGCCCTGATGGATGTGACCATTTAACAAAAATTGGACTCCACAAAACTCCACAAGAAGCGATGTATCAGCCTATATTGTAACTTCGCCGTGACTCGGACACAGCTCGGCCCTGTAAATATTCACCACCGTACTCATTTGTCGCTACTGATGAGACTTTGAGCGCTGCTCAATCAAGTATGGAAAAGATTGGGAGCGTTATAACTTATTGCTCCATCGCCAACTACAAGTTCATAAGTGTCTCTGTTACTTGCGCCGCCCTTTACACACCCCTCTGCAATCTAACAACATCTTGGACTCTTGGAAGGCGTTCGTCGCATCATGATGTCGGTGAAAACTGTTAACACAACCCGATACCCAGAGGGACTTGGATCAGACCACACCGTTTCCGTTCTTTTCCAATAATAATGAAGATTAGAGTACTACACCGACCCCCTGTTTTTGCTATTTCTAAGAATAAGACAACAAAAGCCATACCCCACCAATACCCAGCATGATCCCACCTATTTTTGCTGTTTTCCAAGAAGAGAAGAAGAAAATGTCATACGCTTGATGACCCCGCTTGTTTTTGGTGTTTCTTGAGAAGAAAAAGAAATGAAGAATAAAGGGAACAACGCTCATTGTTGTCAGAAGAGAAAAAAAAGGAAAGAAAAAAAAGAAGATCAAAGTGAACGCTGAGGGAAAAAAAAAAAGACCCCAATGTCGATTCTGTCACAGATGATATAGCGACCCTGAGCTTCAGATAAGCGGAGAGTATTCAAAGAGGAACAGGAACAATCGCCTACATGTTTGTCCAACTACCACATCGTTGAGTTTTGTCTCCGCATTGGGAAAAGGCGGAACCTTGGGATAGGCCGGAATCTTGAGGGGATCCACATTGCGACGACGAGGCTGGACTTCTGGAGGACCGCGAATGGGACTACATAGGAGCGTACATGCGGACCACTAACAGCATCGAGTAGAGACTGGCTAAGCCATTGTCGCTGAAGGTCACGTCCTGGCTCGGTAGCATGAGCAGATCGACGCCACCGTCACTGAAGATTGATGTTGTGGAGATGTCTAAGGTGTCGTTGGGAACATCCTGTGAGGATGGCTCAGTGATAGGACGATTCACTGGTGGGCGCGAAAGCCTCCTGCGGGCGTGCTCAGAAGCAACCCCATAAACCTTGTGAGCGGAGGCCGGCGGCGGCGGCGAAGAAAGGCGGGAAGCGGCAAGAGGAGACTGAATGGGGTGTTCCGCGATCGCACTCTCGTTCTCCACGATCTCTTGAGTAGCAGGTAAGGATCCTTGGCGTGATGGTTGAGGTCTAGGGTTGCCGCTCGGCGATAAGCGTTTCTTCAGGCTTCGAAAAATGTTGTCTTGAGCCTTCGGTGGAACGTCATGGAGCGGCTTGATATTCTCTGGTGCTTCTTGGGATGCCATCTCCATTTTCCGGAGCTTGAAGATGTAAGCACGAATTACGAAAACATAGAAGTTCACATACCTTGCGCTTCATAATCGCCTGTGCACTGTTGGCCAGGTCCAGCTGAATACGCAACCTCTCGAGCATAGTACCTTGTTCCGCGAAATCGTGCTTGAGGGTCTCAATCAGGTCGCCCTGCCCCGCGTTCTCCCTGAATAGCATGATGAACTCTTCCAGATGGTTTCCGTGCTCCACCCTGCAATAATCTTGTGCCCGCAAAGCTGACGTGGTGGTCTTCTCAAGCTCGGTTTCAAGTTCGCAGACTCGTTGCTGTAAGAGTGCCGTCGCCTGTTGGTGCTCAAGAACATGAGCGTCATGCTCGGAGAGTAGACATTGGGCTTGCAGTTCCAAGTTACAGAGCATGACAGCGTTCGAGTCCGCCATTCGAGTACTGTGCTTGAGCTCCCGAGAGAGCGTATCACGTTCCGAAGTAAGAGTAGCAATTTGATCCTGATAGACTTTGAAATCCGGCTGGTGGTCACAGCGAGCGTGGGCAGGACGCTGTTCGTCATTCTTGCGATGCGCATCCGAAAGGGCCACAAGAGTCTTGGGCCAACGCGCTACCAGTGTCTGTCCGAAGCTCCGACTTCTACAATGTGGTGCGTAATTTGGCACCGAAGCGAATGGGTCGTCGTCCTTGGGGCGCTCGGAAGCATCATGAACTACGTCGCGTTGCGGTTTGACTAATCTTCGTCCTCGCTCTAACTCGTGCTTCGCCGTCGAGTTCCTTCTAAAAGCCACTGCTGGCTCTGTTGCCTGAGGTCTCGGTCCATGCGCCGCGATGGCATGGACCTCCATCGACCCGCCTTGGCAAACAGTGTCTGGTGGAGATGCGGCCTCGAAATTTTGCTTACTGGTCTTACGAGCAACAGTCTCGACCACAGGATTGCAGATCTCCAAACTCTCCAGGTGCGCAATGTGTTCGTCCTGGTCGAAGAGCCTCGACTGGAGCTTGATGACCTGAGCGCCCTGTCGTATATTCAACTCGTTGAGGTCGCGCAACTTGTAGTCGTAGGCCTCGATGATCTGGGACATCTCTGACTGCATCGCCTTGCGGTCGAGGTCGAGCTGATCTCGGCTATGACGTTGAGCCTTATTGACGGCTGGGGGAGCAGCCTTCTGTTCCTTGTTGGTAGTGACGAGCGAAGCGTATAGGCCCCTGTTTACCACTCTCGGCTTCTGCGTCTCCACGCGTTCGGACTTCAGTTGTGCCCGAAGACGGTCGAGGACGTGAGTCTTCTTTATAAGAGAATCTACGTTGGTGATGGAGATAACCTTTGGAAGTGATGGGTCAGGGTATGAGACCTGCCTGGTGCGGAAGATGACTCGATCGACGAAGCCCGGAAGGAAGGAGCGAACTTTGCCTTTGCGCTGCTTAGCAGGATTGCGTGGTGAGGACTGGGCATCTGGCCTAAAGTGTTGTTCCATCTCGATGGGCATAGTAGAATGAATAAAGGTCTAAAGGATATTGATATGCTGGATACGTGATAAACGTGAAGCAACGATAAGAGACAAGATGAAGAAAGGGTAGGGGAGCTATAGTTCGGAGGCTGACTCGGACGTGTCCCACGGGATACTTAACAAGAACTAACGTATACCAAGCCGCGGATTAATCCAATAAGAAGCCAGATAGATTATCATCTATGTACAAGATCCTGGCGCATCTACTTTTGCCCAATCCACATATCTCTGGTCTTGTCTCACGATATTTCAGCTATCTCCTTTGCTGCAAAGTGCAGTGTCCAAGATGACAACAAGCGCTTCGCGTTGACCGTGTCTCCGTCAAGCCTGCATGACGTGTCAATGACAATCGGTTGCAAATATCAAAATCACTTACCCAGGTGTACCATATGTCAATGGTGTCATGTATAGGAACATCAAGAACATGATGAATGTGAATGCGCCCACCACCACAGGCCCTCGCATGCCAAGATCTGCGAATTCCGATTTGCGCATTTTCGTCCACCGTCCTACGATACTAATCGGGTAATTGATCGTATCAGAAAGGATGAAGCTCAGGACGGAGCCGGCAAGGAGTGCAGACGCGAGATGTGACGGAAGGTAGTGGTGGATGAAAAGCTGCCGACCCATAAGGAAGAAGGGAAGGTAGTGTACAGCCCAGATCAGGAGGAAGAATCCAGCAGAGTTCCACAGGCGACCACGGACAGCTAAACCGAAAGTCAGCATGTGATTCGCCCGAAGAAGATGTCTACTGACCGTCAGGAATGGGTTCAATACCACGACGACGGGCAAGCAGGTCAGCACCCATAATGCCGACGTAAATGGACAGTGCGATGACGCACGTCCACCAGCCAACAATGTTACCAATAAGATAGATCTGTTTTTGAGCTTCGTTTTCTGTCCAGAAACTGATCCCACTGATGAGGAAAGGCCAGTTGATTGGGCCGCTAGCATATGGGTGTGATGATGTGAGACCCGCATTGTGCTGGAGCATCAATAACTGCAGCTCGCCGAACTTTCTGAAGAAACTGATTTTCTTGGGTTCCTTTGGGACTTGATCGGTAGGGAGACCTTCGGGACCTAGATGAAGGTCATTATATCCAAATGCACCTAAGGAAAAATGTACTAACTTTCAGTCGAGATCACCTGATCGACGAACCAAGTAGCGCTCTTTTCCGTGGGGTTCTTGTTGCCGTTGATCTCCTGTTGCTTGAATGCCCACTCCGGCAATTGCTTAGTATGAGTCCACATAGCTACCCTGGTGATGCCATGGACAAGCCTGAAGTGGCTTGATTTACTCTTCCATGGATCGTCGGCGTCGGCGTCGATAATATTCAAGCTGAACAGGGTATCATTGTGGCGTGAGTGATCGTCCTTGGGCCACGTGGTGAATTCCTGGTTTGTCGGCATAAGCGGGGAAGCGACGTCATGTGTAAGTAAGAGTGTTTGAGTATCGACATGTAAAAGCTGGATGACGTCTTCCTGACGGACAACGCGACCACGGCCAGCCTCAGGAAGGGCCTTCGTGGGGATGATCTGCCAGTGGTTGTTGATATCATCATGTCCATAGCCGGTGACCTGTTGTCCTTGACTACTGATGCGACCATCGTCGTACTGCAAAGGATAGCGCTCGGGATGCGAATGCAAGTAAACCTTGGTGTCCTTGTGTTTCATGGTGACAACATCGTAGTAACGAAGTTCTGGAACAGCGAGGTTAGTCGAAAAGAAGACTTATTGCAGCTTGCTTCAGACCTTGGCTGTTTATCAACAGTTCATTGCCAATGAGTGTCTCCTGGAATGCGGGGCTCATAAAAGAGTCACCAGTGCCAGAACGCGTGAGGACGGCAAAGTGCACGTAGAAGAATGATAGGTATATAATGAAGGGAACGGCGATGAGGCCAACGGCTCTTGCCATGAAGTGCTTCCAGAAATGTTCCTTGAGATAACGGTAAATTGAATGCACAGGAGGTTGAGGAGGTGAAGCCTACCATTGTAAAGCCCTTCTTATGGTCCAATATGTCCCACAGGTCAACTAAAACAGCGATACCAATAGTGACTACAGTCAGGATACCGTTTACTTTCGAGCCCCAGGTGCAAGCCATGAAGAAACCAGTAGCAATTAACCAGCTCCACCATTCAACCGTGAATTCCCTAGCATGGAGGACGTGTCAGATCACAATATCTCAGAAGACAGTCATAGCGCACCAATAACGGAGCTTTCGGAATCGGATGTATGAATAGATTGTAAGTGACATGAAGAATATCAATGTCGCGTCTAGGAGAATCAGCCGTGACTGTGCAATGTGTGCGTTGTCTGTGGGGATATGTTAGACACAGACATGGGTCCCACCGAGCTTACGCTTACCAAAGAGAATGATACATGCGGAAAAGGCAGCGATGATAGTAGAGTAGCCAGTTTCCTTCATGATTGCGTATACCACGGGCACCGTAAGACTTCCAAGAATGGCGGGTAAAGCACGCATGCCGACATATGGTACATGATTATCGGTGTAGCTGTCCCCGATGTTGTCGAATGTAAAATGACCGTCAAACCCGACGAACCAGCCAGCGAGTCCGAATAATAGTTTTGCGAAAGGGGGGTGCACGTCGAAGTAGTACTCGCGAGTGATATAAAAGGAGGCAAACTTGCCAAAATGCACTTCATCAAAACTGCCTACATGTCAGGGACCAGACGCAATGATGAAAAGTTGGCACTTACACAACCTGATCTGGTTGATTGATTTTGTAGAAACGAAGCGCAAATGCTATCGCCGTCAGGACACCCACCATTGCAGCACTTGCTTGTGGAGTATCTAGAGCCCGTTCGACTGGGCTGCGGGAGTTCTGTATAACGAGAAAGCATTGGACAATGAAGACTGTGATGCCGGGCAACATACCGGATTCTGGTATATGGCGTGGACGTGGTCATCATCGTCCCGGTCGTAGCTGCTAACGCTTGAAGTAGTAGAGGCCTTTATTCTCTGGCGCGCTTTTGAAGGACTCGCCATTGGGTTAGGCGTGTCAAATCAAGAGTGGTTTAACGTTTAAGACAAGAATTCGAAGAGCTGTCGTTGCTTGTTGAGTGTTCCTGTCACGTGGTATAAGGTATCGGCTTTTTTCTGATTGCCGGGCTCCTCACTCGTCTGGACAATGACTGAAGACAACAGAGAGAATGGTGTTTATACATCTTGTGTAACATCGTCAGGGCCAGTAACTGGGCAGTACATTAATTATGGTACCGGATTTTGTTGCTAAAACACAAGTGGCCACCTATTCGCCCTAATTTACTACTTAGTACTTAGTCTGAATGGTGATCATCGATTTCCTATTAACCGTAACCTGCACAATTTCTCAATGTTATTTGGGTCAAGCGTCGCTTACAACCTTAGCTTGACAACCCATCTATGCTCACTGGGAGCGTCCAACCAGCTCCAAAAGCAGATCCTCTATGCGCTTCTGCCTGTCCTCCATCCGCTCCATCCGCTTGAACCATTGAACCATACTTCCATTCTCAGAGCTCATCTCTTCGGCCTCTTCAGCAGTTTCCGGTTGGATGCTCTGCTCCGGGGTGGCAGAGAGCGATCCCGTACCATCGAATACTTCTTGACGCGTATTGATCACGGGCAAAGGTGGTCTGCGCTGAGCAATAGGTATCGGATCCGATAAGCCGACCGGAGGCCTCACAGATTGCATTGATGCCAGCCTGCGGCGGCTGGCCGGGCCATAACTAACAAGGGGTGCTGGAATAGACTGCGGGTCTCCATCCTTTATGCCGTCCATTACCAGAGGTTGGAAGACCTGTGCGAGTGGACTCATATTTTGTGTCACATCGGCGCGACTTATTTGTGAATTGACACGTCGACGGAGAGCAGAGGTGCTAGATGACTGGGATGCCTGGTGTGTTAAAGGTTCGGGCTGTTGTGGTGTTGGCGGCTGGACATGCATTGATGGCGGTTCAGGTTGTGATCGAGGCGGAGATTGTAGCTGGGATTGCGATTCCTTGAGAGAACGAGTAGGACGAAGCGAAGTCTGATGGTCTGACTTTCGAGACGGACGCCTTTGAGCCATGGGGCCCACTGAGGGAAAGTCGCCATAGTCCCGAGTATCAAGTGCGCTATTATCTATTTCTTCTTCCACTTCAAAGATCTGAAAAAACGTCAGAGAAGTTCCTTGAGAGCAAGGAAAGCTCACTCACGACGTCAATATTGCTGGCTGAACCCACCAGTCCCTCGAAGAACGCTGCAGTGACGTTTATGCTCAAATGAAATGTCTATAAATTTAGTATGACTTACACATCCGCTTCAAGGGACGTGCCAAAACTTTCTCAGCAGCAAAAGCGATTGTTTCATAAAACCCAATCGAGCCATTCTTCTTGGACTGACCTTGATGGACGGTCAGGAAAGAGAACAAGTAATAGAGGCTCTAATCACTCACGTTCATACCACGCGATTATAAGTAGGATCGGGAAATTCGTGACTCTGAGCCAATCATCTAGCAAAAGAGGATGTAGTATGGTGAATGATCACAAACCTGATCATGAAAACGTTGACCTGGATCGTATTCAATCTGCTAGTTCCAGGGGCATGGATCTAGGACTCACTTTGTGGAACCACCTCGGTGATAGTACATAGCTTGAAGGAAGTAGAATGCAAAGAGCCAGTAAGTTGATCGGAGGCTGATATGAAAATAACGAGTCGGCCTTCACACTGGTTGCGAGATGTCAAGAGGCACACAAGCAAAACTTCAAACGTCACTTGCCCCTCAACCGTAGACACGACTCTTCTGAACATTGCCTGCGTCGAAAAATGGATCAACTTGTACATTATCGTGTTGAAGGTTTTACCTCCGCTGCAGCGTCCTCATTGATCTTCGCGAAAGTATTCGAGAGAATCTACGCCAATGTGTTGGTGTCTCAATGACTCAAGCTCGTCACTTCTTTGTGAACTTACAGAAACAAGGACTACGAAAAATAATTAGTAGTAATATTACGAGTGGCGAACGCAGCTCACCAGTCAGCAATAGTGTATTACTCAGACATGCGTAAGTGATCATGAGGATAGGTCCGAAAACAAAGTCAAATTCAACTGACGAGATAAATTCGTGATTGCGATTCAGCATCAGAAGAGGGAGAGCTTACAGGCTTTGTCGAAGCCACTGGCATCTAGGCCGAACCACAACTCAAGCATCCACCACGCAATTGTCCTGTAGAAAATTACTAACTATTGTGATATTCAAATGCTGCATACTTACCCTGCTGAATATCTGGCGAGAAAACAGTCAATATAGTTGGTTTCATCTCACAAACAATATTACCCACCGGGCGTGATTCCGGCTCAACCTAGATCAACAGAAATAAATATAGTCATGACGTATAACCAAATGCACTCACGTCCAGAGAGCATACAAGAATCCGCAAAAACAGAATGCAGCGATCAGCATGAGAACGACAAACTGCATCATCATCGCACGTAGAGATAAAACCATTAAGTTATTCTTGAGTGTGACGAAGGCGAGCCTAAACAACATATCTCAGTGTTCATAGGCGCGGCTAATGGTTTAAAGGAGCACCGTGGAAACATTAAGCATGCGATGACAGCGAGAAAATCCATTCCAAGGTCCTGGGCCCAATGTCCTGCAGGATACAATCTGTTATGTAGGACGAGCGAGGGCGACGAAAGATTGACACACTATGCCTGTACACGCCATACAGTCTGAAGAATGCGTAGACGCAGTATGTCGTTACTAAAGAGGGTCGTAAGCAAGTCATAAAACATCCCATCAGTTAGAGTACCGAATGCTAGATCGAAGCCATTCTTTGCAAGCCGTCAATCACAGGAAATCTCTATATGTGGCGACTTTGCTCACCCAGGTGCCCTTGAAATACACTTCAGTCGCATGAGTACATCTGCTCAAGCTCGCAAGTGAAGAGATATACCTGTGATCCCATGCTCCTGCATGGTTGCAAGCTTTTCCAGCGCGAAACCTAGGCCATATACCATAAACAATGTTTCGGGAATGTTGATCTTCGAGGGTTGGTTGAATTCAATAGCGATCACAAAAAGGATAAATAAGACGAGAAAGCTAGTAGGCACCCACGTCAGCAAGATAAAATACACTTATCGTGCCTTACTTGAAGTAGTCCACGACAGAACGGATAGCCGGGACTTTGAGTCTGTAACACTCTGATGAGTTTCGATTCGTGAAAAAGAGGTGCTGCATACCGGTAATGGTCCAGCAAAGGTGCTTTGTGTGGATCATAGAAATGAATGGGCTTGTGTTTGTACGTCTGCATCGTAGTTCAAGGCTAGGGAAGTATATCAACGCGCGATGGCTTACATCGGACAATATCGAATGACTACTTTCCGCCTGGTATACACATTTCCCACTAAGCAGAAACATGTCAGCACGTATAACAATGTGTAAAAGATCGACATACATCCAGATAGCATCAATAACCTTTTGGCATGGAGAACTTTTGGTGAAGCGCCTTGCCTTACTTATGATGGCCATCTCGATTGCATTGCCAACGCGTTCCTCGAGTTCGTCATCGCGATCCTCCCTTGCCATTTCAATGACACGAGGGTCAGCACCTGACCAGACTTGCCATTTAGTCGTCAAGACAAGTGCTAGTTTTAGCATACTGCTTCCGTTGTCTCTCAGGCAACGAATAGCAAGTATCTCGCATAGCATGGCGCGTGTGGAGGACAGCGGCCCCGTCGTCAAGTTCTTCTGATCACGTATGAAATAGACACGGTTAAGGAGGAAACAAAACACGATGGATTTGTTTCCAGCCCGCTGAATCGCGTTGTATTTCTCCTCTAGGGGGCGGACGAGAGTGTAGGCCAAGTCAGGCGCAGTTAGCTGCCCCCGACTATGTCAGACCTCAATTCTATAGCAGAAATAAGGGAATACTGACTGCCTCGATAGTCAGGGGTGTGTCTGCACACATTGTCAGTACATGCACTTTAATATATTTAAGTCGACTTCCCTATGTAGTACTGTTATCGTATGAATCTTAGCGTAGGTTTCGCTGAAAGGTACAAAGAGGCCTACCATGACGTCCTACACTCCAGGTGTTAGACTGGTCTCCCGTAGAGGTGGATTAAAACATACCCTACGAATCATATGAATGATAGGCCAAACGACGATGTCTTCATGACCTAGCAAGGGCTGCGATTCAACCTGAGCTTCTGCCATGATATGATGTTAGCTGAACATGAGGGAGGAGGCCAAGAGGTACTAATTCTGCGTATCTGCCACATTTTGAGCTCCGACAGGCAGTCGGCAGCACGCGTCTCACCGCGCGAACGCGACTCTCACCGACGCCAGATCTTCTGACCGTGACCACCAGAGCCCGACTCTGTATGCAGGCTGTACAACGAAACGCAGGGCAGTCGCCCCAGGTAAAAATTTATAATGCTGTCTACTCGTCGGTCCAGGTTAGTTAGCGCTATTTTCTTGTTCTTTGGTAGTTTGACACGGTCGCGTCACGCCGTAGGTTTATGAGTGCATGGTCCGCGGCATCGCTGTGATGCGCAGACGCGGTGATTCGTTTGTCAATGCGACGCAGATTCTGAAGGTTGCAGGTATCGAGAAGGGTAGGCGCACCAAGATCCTTGAGAAGGAAATCCTGCCGGGTAAGCATGAAATCGTCCAGGGCGGCTACGGGAAATACCAAGGAACATGGTTCGCGCAATTATTAAATTTCAATTCAGCCGTATGGACTGAGCATGCCATATTGTCAGGATTCCACTAGAGCGGGGCCGAGACATCGCTGCGCAGTATGGTGTTGCCCCTCTACTCGCTCCTTTGTTCGATTTCACACCCAGCACGAATAGCCTTGGGTCACTTCCGACGGTGCCCTCAGCCGCATCTCCGCGACCTCTCTCCGCTGCTTCATCCTTCCCAAATCTCGGTACTTCTGGAGGTTACTCACAGTCGGGTCTAGCTCCACCTCCCATCATGCCAGGTTCTGCCCTCCGCCTCTTGAACCAGGGGCGCGCCCAAGGCCTATTCACTCCATCTACATCTTCTCTTGCTCCAACTAGACCATCTACGTACTCTTCGACACCGTACCAGAGTGGTTACGCGCAGTCACCATCCTCAGGAGCAGTGTCCCCCACGCCACCTCCAATGCAGTCCTTGAAACGGGCCCGGTCTGATTCTGAAGTAGTCCCAACTACACAACAGACCCAAAGGTCTTCGCACCCGTTGCTGGAAGCACCAGATATACAAATGTCCGAACGATCACGTCCGCCTTCTGTTGCAACACAAGCCAACGATGAAGATGGCCCATCCCCTGCGAAACGCGCTCGTAAAGAGCCTACCCCACAACCAGACGCATCCCAAGCGTCTCGCAGAACGCTGTCTAGCGCATCGATCATGTCACAGTCAATGGCGACTCTCCCTCCGACTCGCCCACTTTCACGCGTCAACGCGGGTTCGCCACATCCGAACAATGCCGTCTCGCGTCCACCAAGTATATCAACATCTACCAGTGGGAAGATGATCAATGGTGCCGACGTTGACGGCACTGGTCTTCGCTTCTCCACTAAACCTAATATTCTCCGTGACCCTTCTGCTCTTCGAGACGCCCGTCGTGCTAGGCTACTTGCTGCTATTTGCCGACAAGATGATCCGGCGCCCGTACTAGGATCTCTTGCGCGAATTAACACCAGACATGTCTTCCCCCATTGACGTAGATACCATCCTAGACGACAAGGGTCACACTGCTCTGCACCTCGCTGCAAGCATGGGCCGACAGCAGACTGTTTCTCAACTCATTTCAGCTGGCGCAGACATCCACCGTGGTAACTTTGTTGGCGAAACACCGCTCATGCGCGCGTCTATTGACACACACAACTTCGACCAGCAATGCTTCAATATTCTTATTACTTCTCTGCACCCATCCATTCGCACGCTTGACACATCAAGAAAATCTGTGTTACATCATATCATGTATCTGGCAGGTATACACGGACGCGCGGTCTGTGCGCGATATTATCTTGACCAGATCTTCTTGTGGATAGCACAGAACCAGGGTGGTGATTTTAAGTCCATCGTGGACCTGCAAGATGAGTACGGAGACACGGCTCTCAACATTGCTGCGCGTGTAGGCAACAGGAGCTTGGTGAGAACGCTTCTCGACGTTGGGGCTAATCGAGTATTACCCAATAAACTGGGTCTACGGCCTGGTGACTTTGGCGTCGAGGTTGAGGTATGCTACGTTAATGCGGTGTAAATGGCATTGGTGTTGAATTTACGTCCTTCCAGGAGCTCAGTGGTGGCGCACGAGCAGAGGACATAATTGCATCATTACGTTCTGGACCTTCAGCGCCTATTCAGAAGAGCCAGGACATAATTGCCGGTACGGATCATCTTTTTCATGGGCCAATAGCACTCTGACGTCTTGCCCTAGATATGACGTCAATGATCCAGGAGCTTAGTACCGAATTCTCCACTGAGATCAAGGCAAAACAAGATTCACTTGATGTAACGCAAGCTCACCTTCGGGCAGCCACACGCGAGCTTTCCGAACAGCGGAAGCAAATACAGCTGTGGCAAAGCCAATGTGGAGAGCTTGATAAGGTCCACCAACGGATACGGAATCTCGAGAAGGCGTTCGCGGAAGAAGATCACTTCGACTGGACAGGTCGGACGGATCTGGCGGGCAGGGATGGGCGCGAGACGGCAGGACCTGCGTTCCAATGGCGTGGACCTAGCTCAACGATGACGGGGATGCCAGGATCTATGGATATTTCATTTAGCGTGGAAGCAGAACCCCCATCACCTACCGGCGATTCGGTCTCAACCTTAATGCGATTACGGCGGCTGAAACTCTGGCACATGAGGATGGAAGAGCTCATGCAGGCGAGACTAAGGTCTCTCCAGGGCGCGAGCGCTGAGAAGGAATATCAGTGTAAGAAAGTTGTTGCACTATGCACAGGTATCCCTATCGACAAAGTGGAGGATGTGAGTGGTTTGATGGTGGGGAAGTGTACGATGTTTATTTACGGGTTTGAAATTTTCTTGTCTAGATGCTCGAAAATCTTGTGGTGGCGGTCGAGAGTGAGGCCCAGGTTGTGGACATAGTTCGCGTGGCTGGATTCATGCAGAAGGTGAGCTTAGTTTTGTTTCGCTTAATTCAGGGTGGTTCATTGACTCCAATTCAATTCATTTCCAGGTCAGGGATGGACTTATATAATTTCATTTATTGGCTCGGATCGTGAAGATCCGACTTTTCAATTGAACACTTGTGTTGCTCATCGCATCCGTATAACACGGGCTGCCAGGTTAGCCCCCATTTGTATCTCAAGTAACAATTATTATCATGGACAAAGCATTATTACACCGGAACATCCTCTGGAGCGAATAATTGGAAATTGCGATTATAAGTACCGGAGGCGAGCAGCTCTCCATCGGTAGTCAAGTCCACAGACATGACTTTACCCGAGTCGGTTGTAAGCGTGCGGAGTAGCTGCCAATCGTCTGCGCTCCACAATTTGACGTAGCCATCGTATCCGGAGCTAGCGAGATACAGCCCTGAGCGATATTTCCATTCCTGGATGTCGTCCTCAGCGTCATGGCTTTTGTCTGCATCTGCATCTCCAATAATGCCGGTCATAACAACATCTGCGGATTCAGCTTTGGGCTTGAATGGTGGGAGTGCATCAGCACGGAAGAAACGGACGTCGGACACGTTGGAGACATGTGCGGGGATAGTGTACAAGGACTTCAGAGAGCGCATGTCCCATATCCGAATCGTGTCGTCGCCAGCGCCCGTGGCGATTTGATATCTATCAGACAATCATCATCAATGCCCGGAAAGTTGTTGGAGCCAACCCACCCGTTGGGAGAGAAGTCGATTCCGAAGATGCCTTGAACATGACCGTCGAGTACCATCGCTGTACGTCCTGTCCGCAGATCCCATACTCGTCCAATGGCATCCAGGCCCCTAACGGATCCTGTTACTAGAGGTAAAATGTGTTGTAGATACATGAACTCACCCTGAGGCGATTAGTGCGCCATCACCCTGGAACTCGACAGCATAGACTTCCTTCGAGTGACCTTCTTGGAGGAGTAATTCTCTCGAGGTGTTCACATCCCATAGCCGCCAAGTGGTGTCGAAGCTGGCGGAAGCGACATAATTGCCAGAGGGGTGAAATGCTACACGACAGATACGATCTGCATGTCCTTTCATCACAGAGAGTGGGGCATCGCTATCAAAGAATGAGGTTCTGGTGCAAAAAATCCCGACAGGAAATTTTACCTATTCAAAGACCATAGATTGACACACATATCTCCTGCACCCGACACCAAATTGACTAGTCCCTCTCCTTGCGTTAATGTTGCTTGCGGATGCCACGCAACACCACCGACACGATCACCGTGACCTGGGGTTATTATGAGCACAAGAAAACGCTATTACAGCATTGAACACTGACCTCTGAGCGTGCGTATAGTTGTGCATGCAGGCACGTTCCACAGCTTGACGGTGCCCGACCAGCTACCTGTGGCTAGAATCTTGTTATTGGGTGCAAAACGCACTTGCGATATCGGACGCTCGTCGCCAATTTGTGAACCGATATTGCTAAAATGCTGCGGATACTAATGAGGAATGATGTCCTGATAGTTCTGTGTGACTTACCTTGACACCTGCAAAAACCTTCTTCCGTATGTCGATTATTCGCCCTAATGGTATTTTGCTGTCTATTCGCTGCTGGGCGACGCGCTTTTGAGCTCTGCAAAGGACATAACAGGGATATTGTAAGCACCTTACTGAAATCACCTATCGGTAGGTAAAATCCAACCTGGGCAGAGAGAATTCTGCAAGGTTCCTCCGAGCTTGGAGAAGCTCTAGGGAGCCTTCAGTGTAAAACTCCTCCTGTAGTTTGGGTCAGCAATCGCCCCATAAAGTAGAAGCTAGCGGCTACATACCCCTTCTTCTTCACTTTCATCAGAGGATTCCTGTTCCATTGTATGGTCATCGCCTCTTGCCGCATTTATTTGTGAAAGGACATATATGAGACGGTCTCGTCGATCTGCTGCCTAAGTACAAGTCAATCTCAAATCATAGATACAAGCATTTATGAAAACTCACTCGTTCACCAAAAAGTGTGATAGGCTCTCCAATTTCTCGTAGCCTTGCTTTGACCTTATTGTCGTCCGTTGGTACAGCCAAGTTTCGCGCCTTCTTCTTTCGTTCGAGCTCATCCAGGATGACCTTATTCTCCATCTTGGCCCGCTCTGAGCCCATATAGTTTCCATCGTCCATCAACGAGTCGTAAGTGAGCTCCGCCATGATGGAATGGAAGGGCCTGACACGTGGTTCTGGCGAAGAACAGATTTGGACGAGTCCAAAGACTAGTTTGTTGGGAAGCGTTGTTTGGCAAGAGCTTTGAATCCAAACAACAACTATTTGGGGTTATGCCTACTCGCACTCCACCCTAGCACCGACAGCGTGTAGACTTTCCATGGTTCCATAGAAACATGTTTTCATGCTCCCAACCAGACCCCTCGGAATTGTGAAACAACAAGACTACGACTTACCTCGTGTTTCAGAGTGTAAAGGTTACTCGCATGCTACTAATTACTAGCTAGTACTAGTAGCACTTGAACTCGAACAATTGGCTCCTGGCCCAGGCCTCGTTTAGTGTGCATTTCGCCGTATATAATCGTGATTTACTCTCATGAGTAAACACTATAAATTTAATGTTTCGAAGTTTACATACGTACCTTCCATAACAACACAAGCTTGGTGGTCTGGGACATCTTTTACGTTCTCCATTTCGTTTTGTTTGATTTTCCACCACGACTTCTAGTCACAGTTGGTTGTACTTTCTTTCTTTCCTCTGAACCATCATGAGCCAACGCCAGTCAGAAGAGACTCCAGCTCAAGCCAACTCGAACACCACTGGTAGCTCTCCCCAGACCCCACTTTCCGCATCACCATCAGGCCAGCAACGGTCTAGCTCTCCTGCTTCCACAAGTTCACCACACAAGAGGAAAGGAGATGACTACGTTTACTTCGAGCGAAGCACCGATAGCTTTTCATCTGATGCTGTATCTCGTGCAACTGCTGCAAAGCTAAAGCTCGAATCTTACTACAAGCTTGCTGTTGATGCCGCGATCGAACGCAATGGGAGGTGCGCCAGTCGGTTGCTCGTTCATTTCCTCAGTTGACGGTCACCGATGCTGTATGCAGGCGTACTGAACTTGAGCATAGACTTAATCAGGCCATGATACCTAACGAGTCGAAGGAACGCGAAATTCGCAAGTATCGCAAGCTGGAGTCGCAGCATCTACGGTTGCGTCGGACAAAGATTCGTCTCGCGGACTTCCGAACAATTAAAGTCATCGGGAAGGGTGCGTTTGGTGAGGTACGCCCAGGCTGTTCACCTGAGTTTCTTTCTGAACTTACTATTCGATTAACGTGTAGGTGAGACTGGTTCAGAAAGTAGACACCGGGAAAGTCTATGCCATGAAGACCCTCCAAAAGGCTGAAATGTTGAAGCGAGATCAGGTCTGTAGGCACAATCCATGCATTTTACATTTCGCTTATAGAACGGACTTCTAGCTTGCTCATATTCGCGCTGAGCGTGACTTGCTTGCTGAATCTACATCGCCCTGGGTTGTTCAACTCTTTTATTCCTTCCAGGATCCACTATACTTATACCTCATCATGGAGTTTCTTCCTGGAGGTGACCTAATGACCATGCTCATGAAATATGATGTTTTCTCAGAAGATGTGACGCGCTTCTACATGGCGGAGTGCATTCTTGCTATTGAGGCCGTTCATGACCTCGGCTACATTCATCGGTGCGGGATGGCCTCCTATGTCTAACTATAAGCTTCTCTAAATCTGCGTTGCAGGGACATCAAACCTGATAATATTTTGATAGACAAAAATGGACATCTAAAGCTGTCCGATTTTGGTCTCTCCACTGGTCTACACAAGACTACGGATGGAGATTTCTACAAACGTTTGATAGAACCAGACAAACCAAAGGATTCTGCAAGAAACAGCGTCCAGGTCAATGCTATCCATCTTACGATGAGTCGCGAGCAAATTGCTACTTGGAAGGCCAATCGACGGAAACTGGTTAGTCTTGCTCGTAATACGTATTTTATGTACCAATACTGATTCACGTAATGTCAGGCATACTCCACTGTCGGTAAGTGACCGAATGACGAACCTCTCAGTGCTGCTCAAGCATTTCATAGGAACACCGGATTATATTGCACCAGAGGTGTTCATGCTGAAAGGTTATGGCAAGGAATGTGACTGGTGGTCGTTGGGTGCAATCATGTTTGAGTGTGTGGTTGGATACGCGCCATTCTGCTCTGAAAACCCAAGCGATACATACAAAAAAATCATCGAGTGGCCAAACTACCTATACTTCCCGGAGGAGGTTCACCTTAGCCAGGAAGCTGAGCATCTAATTCGCGGGTGAGACTTTGCCTCGTATGTTCGAAGGCGTTGTACTCATTTCGCTTCAGCATGATGACGTGGGCCAACACGCGTCTGGGGGTCAATGAAATCAAAAATCATCCCTTCTTCTATGGGGCCGACTGGGATAATCTACGTTATATTGCGCCACCTTTCGTTCCCGCATTATCATCGATTACAGACACCACATACTTCCCCACTGACGAGCTCGGCAATCTTCCCGATCAGCTCGAAGTTGTTGAACAAGTTGGATCCGACAAGGATCTTGCTTTCTTGGGGTAAGTCGTGTGTGCCAGGTACGCTAACACCGCTAATTCTATCTTGACACAGATTTACGTTCAAGCGCTTCACTGGCGGGCAAGGTCCGTAATGCGATGCACCTGCTTGCCGCTTCTTTGTCCCCACTTGACACACCTGTACCATCGGATCATCTGCTCTGCCGCTCGCTCGCTCTGGATCGATACCCTGTTCGATACCATAGAAACACTGAATTTGTGTAATCTTGGAAGTTGGATTCTCATTTTGTTGCAGACAGCATTGTACATCAGTTGGCAATCAACCCTTCTTTGTCATAATTCGCTCGGTTTGACCACTTAAGAATGATGGGGTTCAATCAAGGCTGACTTGAGGCGGACCTCGTGTCTTACATCCTGCCTGCTGACCATAATTTACCATATTATGCATGCCCTAGCCCACAGACTCCGCACAGAGGCTACATATAAATCCGGAATGCCACTATACAATCGCCATACATCCTCCAAAACCATATTTTCCATCTAACTCCCATCCAGATCACGATGCCAGACGGTGGATTCGCAGATACTTACAGCCCACGCAAGGTTCTCGATGACCCTTCCTTCCGCGTCCTCGCACCTGGAGAGACGCCTGCCCCTGATGCAAACATCGCGGCTTTCTATAACCCCAATCATGAAATTCACCTCGTGCAAAAACCGCGCCCGACGCCAGGGCCTGGGCAAGTGCTGGTCCATGTCCGTGCCACGGGAATCTGCGGGTGCGTGCCTCTATTGTATTATCGCGAACATCGTGTTAACGCGACCTGTGGCGGTCAGGAGTGATGTTCACTTCTGGAAGCATGGAAGAGTCGGTGACTCCATGGTTGTAACAGATGAGGTTTAACTTGATCATTGCGACTTGCTGAGTAGCATCTGACGCCTGTAGTAGTGTGGTTCCGGACACGAGTCTGCAGGAGAAGTCGTTGAAGTAGGCGAGGGCGTGACTCAGTGGAAAGTCGGTAAGTTACCCACTCCCAAATGCTGAAGATATGAAGAACTGATCGCATACCACCTAGGGGACCGCGTGGCAATCGAGGCCGGCGTGCCCTGCTCGAAATCTTCTTGCGATTATTGCAGAGTCGGTAGATACAATGCTTGTCAGTTTCTAGTTCATCCTATCAACAGGCAGTCCGTGATGTATGGTGTCTCCTTACAGGTCCTGATGTTGTCTTCTTCTCCACTCCTCCTTTCCATGGTAGGAATCCCAAACATCTAGGAGTGATGGATACTCAGTCAGCTGCCTTCTAGGAACCCTGACTCGCTGGCACCTGCACCCTGCCGAGTGGCTGCACCGTTTACCTGATTCCCTTTCCTTTGAAGAAGGTTCTCTTTGCGAGCCCCTGGCTGTAGCTCTCGCAGGCATCGAACGTGCTGGCCTCCGCCTCGGTGACCCTACTGTCATTTGGTATGTTCGAATCGAAAATTTTATGCTATGGTCCACTGACTCTCCTACAGCGGTGCTGGACCAATCGGTCTTGTTTCTCTGCTTTCTGCACGTGCTGCAGGTGCCGAGCCCATCGTCATCACCGATCTCTTCCAGAGCCGCCTCGATTTTGCGAAGAAGCTCGTCCCTGGTGTGCGTACAGTACTCATCGAGCGCGGCACGACGCCGAAGGATGCTGCTCAAAAGATCAAAGCCGCTGCTGAAGGCGCCGTGAAGATTGCGATCGAGTGCACTGGTGTAGAGAGCAGCGTGCATTCCGCTGTTCATGTAAGAAAGTGTGTTCTGTCAATAATCTTGCTTACACTAGATTGTACCCAGGCCATACAATTCGGCGGAAAGGTGTTCATCATTGGTGTCGGAAAGAACGAACAAGTGGTATGTAAACGCCCAAATTTTTGTCACATTCAATGTCTCACGATAAGTCACAGTTCCCGTTCATGCACCTGAGCGCCAATGAGATAGACGTTAGCTTCCAATACAGATATGCTAACCAGGTATGTCCCTAAAGGGTTCTGTTAAGAGTTTTGTGATACTAAGGATTTGCGATTAGTACCCTAAAGCCATACGACTCGTCGCTGGCGGTCTGATCAACTTGAAGCCTCTGGTTACGCATCGATTCAAACTAGAGGAGGCTGTGACTGCTTTCCATGTTGCTGCAGACCCTTCTCAGGGTGCAATCAAAGTGCAGATTCAAGACTAGAGCATTATGATGAGTGGCGATCTTGAAAGTTGTAGTATTCATGTACCTTGTATTTGCGCTGCACTTGTGTTGAATTTCATCATGTGGTCGTCCGGGTTAACATCTCTGAGCAGTAATCCACTCAGAACTAGAGAATAGACAGCTGTTGTCCATCCAGTGCGTCGAAGACACGACAAGCTTATGCTAGATTAGTTATCAGACATTCAAGAGTACCACAGGTGGAACCGTGGCTTGCGGCCAAGGGTTCGAGTCTACGTAGTTGAATTGAAGGACAATAAACGTGCAAGCATTCGCAAGAGCCTGGATCCGTTACTTAGTGAATGTCACCCGTGACACGGAGCTAATGAAGTACCAGGCATAAGTCTGAATTTCGGCCACTGTGATTGGAAACAGGTTATATATTTCCCCAAAGTGGGGTATATAGGTATTTCGATGGAAATGTCAACGATACGATAACTCAGGCAGTGACCAGTGCAATGATGCGATACCTCCAAGCATAGACCTATGACCGTCTTGAGACATGAGACGGTCAAATCTTGTTTGACTGGTCGCTTGGTGCGATATTTTGTACTTGTTCAAAGATTTCTCGCTTGCGGGAGGATGCGCGGAACTCCTCTTCGCGTTGTCGCATTTTCTCTAGCCGACGAGCATCATCACGAATGACACCTTGGAACATGTCCTAATGGAACGTCAGGTTTGAGAAAATAAACAACGAAGGTGATCACCTCACGCTCTCTTGCCTGCTGGTAGTGAACTGCCCATATTATGAAGGAGGAAAACGCGAACGACGCAGCTAGCGTCGCTTTCGCTCTAGTTGACATCCGATATGATGGGAAAATGAGCACAAGCCGTATACATAAAGACGGTCAACATCAACAAATAAAAGCTTCCTTCTCAGTCAGGCTTTGACACCATTCACGACGGTCAACATTCTCACTAACCTCAGTGTTCCAGAGCGTCCGATGCTTTGGGAGTCATGAACTATCTTGAAGTAAGTCGAGCTAACTTTCAATTCCATTGACGATGTTTATTTTACACTCTTTCAGGATTTCGAGAACACCCTGAAAGATGTCGTCAACGCAAAACGACTGTCAGCTTCCAAGATGACGAAATTGACTGAAATTGCAATGAAGTCCGTAGAGGTGCGTGTCATCGTGTCACTTAAAGGCTTGTTGACCCAGGCTTTATACATTTACAGCACGACACGAAGCTTGTTGCGATACTTTACCGCACTCACAAGTCAGCTGTCTAGTTCTGCCAAGGTATCGAGTCTCTATGCATTTGATGCTCTTGCACGTGCTGCCCGAAATTATGCCACAAAGCGGGGTATCACGGGTGACCTAAACTCAAGCACTGGGAATGCTGCGACCTTTCTACTCAAAGTTGAAGGCGTTTTGGATGGTCTGTTCCAAGACATGATTACCCTTGATAATGCGGAAGCAAAGGTAAGCGACGATTTGATCCACTTCTCTCTCACACAGATCAGGCCCATATCAGCGACATCTATGTCGTTGGTTACTTTGTATGGTACTCCCAAGCCACGTGACTGCGTAGCCTGATGTTGCTGTAAATGCCTCCACTGACTAGCTCATATCTTCGAGTACCATGCCGCCACTAACGCGTATTGTCACCACATGATTTTCGCTGTCCTTTCTCCCATGTCGGATGCAACTTGGTCTTACTTACTCCAATGACAGGAAAAGACGAAGAAAGTTCTGGATATATGGACCAAATCGAATACTTTTCCTTCGCCGGTTTTGACACGGCTGAGGGAGATAATGGACTCTCGAAAAGGTGCATATCACGAATCAAACATGTGTCCGCTAAGTATTTCTTCTGCTTGTGTAATAGCTATTTTTGCTGGCGTCTTTGCCTCGAATGAAATGAGAATTTACACTGAAATACGATTTGGCTGCTTTTTATGTCAGAATCCGTGAAAAATCCGACGCCTCCCATCGCGCGAGTCGAAGCCCAAGCAGTACCAAAAGTTACCACCCCATCTACTACCCCGTCCCAGAATGCGACACCTCCTCTTCCGGAATCGGTGCAGTCCACACTTCTGGCCCTGCTTGGACAAGCTGCACAAGCCGCTGGGCAGCCACCAACACATACGTGAGTACCTCAAGGCGCTCATTGGAGTTCTAGCGCTGAAGCTGTTATTACAGCCAAACACTACCAAACACCGGATCCGCCCCACCTCTTAGTGGGCACCTAGCATTGTTGCAACAGCTGGCTTTGACAGCAAATGCTCCCAATGGTGGTCCTCCATCGCAACCCTCGTCTGCGCCACAGCACCCTCCCCCATCTCATCTAAACAACCAATCACAACCTTATTTCCCCCCACAATTACATAATAATCACGATCCTAGTAGAGATCCTCGGCAGAGTCGTCCAAACCAATCTGATCACGGAAGAGAGCGCGATGGACTTCCCGATTCCAACTCACGCGGGGGACTCCGGCGTGGTTTTCGTGGTCGGGGCCGGGGTAGATGGGATGACCGTGACAACGATCGTGACCATGATCGTTTTAAAGATAGGGATTGGAGTTCTTCACCACGGCCAAGACGTAGTCGTTCCCGAAGCCCACGCAGATTTAATGGGCAGCGGCCACGACCACAGAGTCCGCCTCAGAGACCTGCAGCAAGCAGAGATGTAGACAATAATTCGGCAACACTCCCTGAAGCGGGAAAAGACGAATTCGGACGAGATATTAGACCGTCTTCTGTCACTCCTCCTCGAGCTGCATCAGTCGATGCTCAACTCCAGCCTCCGATGATTCCATCTGTAGACCCTGTCCGTACAGCGGCACCCGAGAATCGTGTACCTGTATCAGACCAGTTACCCTCGGTAGCTGCCAGTACATCTACACAGAACGCCGAACCTCGTAAATCGAGTTCGGCGCCAGCGCTGCAGCAACCAGGACTTGATCAATTTGATATCACAACGTTTAATTTCACTGCACCCTCATCGTGGGAAGCATTGGGAAAGATGTGGCACAATACTTACGGCGATACACCTTCCCAGGAAGAACTCATGCAGTTTGTAATGGCGGGCGGTGTAGTCGCGTTCGCTGGTCAAGGAAATGCTGTACAAGCTAGTCAGTGGCAGAATCCGAGTTGGGGCACCCAGTCCGCAGGTTATGGACGTGGGGGCAGAGGGCGAGGACTGGCGGCTCGGGGACGTGGCGATAACTTTGGACACGGCAATTACCGAGACCACGGTGGACACTGGGGTGAAGACGCTCAACATTCGGACGCCATAGTCCTTGGCGAAGCAGATGGTGGGGATGAAGAGCAAGCTTACATGGATCTGGTGCAAGCAGGAAGAGATGATTTGCCCAATTTAGATCCAGAAAACGTGGGTTCGGGTCGGATGCAACGAGTGGGCGATAAGTGGGTTTTTATGCGAGAGTCAGGACATGAAGGATCATGAACATGGTGTATGTTATCTCTTGTAATTATCGCATTCTCATATCACCAACATGCATGCAGAGTTTCTATGCCTACTAATCACCAGACAATGTGGTCTATTTCTCGCCAGGATCGGTTGCAGCTGACACCACTGAGTATATACATGTAACACAGTCATCGAAGGATATAATATGCTCCCGAGGTCACAGAGAGCTGATAGCGGTGTTCTAACTCGAAGAACGCTGTCTTTCAGGTAAATAATTAATTACTTGATCACAAAGACATGCCAGTGACCCAATAGTACCTCCAGATCGACGAGACATATCTCACAGTCTTATTTTTTCAGTGCAAGCAACTGGCAGCGGCGAGCCTATCAGGTTATCACCAGCTAATTGACTGTGAACGGTTCTCCTGGAACAACATTGATGCGGGAGTCGATATTTGACAGGTCACAGCCGCAGTCCTTGCAAGACTCACTTCCTGTTCAGCTGGGTGTCGGAGAACGCAACAGGTTCTCCACAGTAGATGATGCAAGGAGCGACCATCGATCGGCCACGTAATTAAATGGCATATTGAACAAGATGGATTCGTTCCTCCATAAACTTTTTGACCGTTGAGTAGGCTGGGACCAGTGACACCCTCTGTTGGTGCGAGCACATGGGGAACGAACACGGAAAGCCGGGCTGCCGCTGTATACGGACATAGTACTAGCACCAAGTAGAGCTAGACTCGGCAGGGCGACGCGCCCAGGCCTCATATCAGACCTCCAGGGGGTATGCCAGCTAGTCATGATCCATGAGAAGTCACATCTCCCCTAAAGATTAGCAACGAACGGCAGGGACGATCCGGAGTCTTGACGAACTTGGGTGACCAGACTTGACCTGTCTCTATTGCTCCCGAACTTGAACAGTCTTTCATTCATGTTGTCTGCAGCCGTCCGACAGGCAACGCGTCTATCGCGCTTTTGCCAAAAAACTCGACACTTCCAGTCGGCGGCAGCGGCGTCCTCGACCGTCAATGCAGCTGAGATTGCCCATTTTTCCCGACTTTCCTCATTATGGTGGAATGAGCACGGGGAGTTCTCGCTACTGCATCGAATGAACCCCGTAAGGGTGCGCTATATCCGGGAAAAACTCCTCGAGGCTACGTTCGAAGACCAAGGAGAGAATGCAAGGAGAGAAATGGAATCAAAATGCGCGGTATTGGCTGGTATGGACGTGTTGGATGTGGGTTGTGGAGGTGGCTTGCTCTCAGAGGTTCGTCATCAGTCTCATGCTCAACATGACATCAAATCGAACATTCTGTGATTCAGAGTCTTGCTAGGCTTGGAGCCCATACTCTTGGCATCGACGCATCAGAATCTAACATTGGGATAGCCTCAACACATGCTAGTGCTGATCCCCAGCTGTCCTCTTCGGGCAATTCGTTTGAATACCGACATACTTCTGCGGAGCAACTCGTCAAAGAGCCAAAGCGGTTCGACGTCGTATGCTCGATGGAGGTTATTGAACACGTAGATAACCCTGTGGCTTTTCTTTCGGCTTGTGCCCAGCTGGTGAAAGTAAGTCTCATTCCGGACACCCTCATCCAATGCAGAAGTGACTCTTACTTGATATCAGCCTGGAGGCCATCTTTTCCTTTCCACGATTGCGCGGACGCCACTCTCCTATTTCCTCACGATTTTGGCCGCCGAACATGTCCTCCGCAAGGTAGCCGTAGGAACCCACACGTACTCAAAGTTCATTAACCCTTCCGAGCTTATATCATTCTTCCAAACCTATCGGTCCTCGCCTTCCTCCTCCAGCACTCCGACGAACTCGGGTGAAATTGGCTCTGGTGGATCTCCCAGACCGTGGATAACACGTACGTATGCTCATGGTCTGCCCACACGATTGGAAGCGGAAGTACGAGGCATAGTGTATATTCCATGGAGCGGAGAATGGAAGTTGATGCCCCGCTCTTCTACGTCCTGGGGTGCCGCAGAGTGCAACTATCTTTTCTGGGTCAGGAGACCATTGGATTCGTAGTATGAGATCTGCGACCTAAATATATCCTGTTCTGCCGCATCACTCTTACACACAATGCTACAGATTAGATGGCAAGTCACCAAGAAAGACTAGCTAGTGTGGCAATTTGAATACTTGCTTACAATTTAAAATTAGTATACGGAAGACTCGTCCGGCAGTAGCACGAATCTAGGACATAAGCCTTTCCCCCCAGACAAGCCGTTGTCTGTGAGCTTTATAGGCACCCGCAATTGCCACCCAAGCAATCCAAGCAAAAGTTATGAAAGTAACAGCAAACAAGACGCGCATTGTGACCGTCCACCACCACGAAACCGGGGAGTGATTCGTGAAGACGATGACTCGCCAACGCTCATGCCACTCAGTGTTAAGCCAATTGAGGTCTTTCACGAGATTCTTGGCCTGTTCTTTCTAGTGAGTCAAAAATTCAATAGCAAGACGTTGTCATCTCCTACTTTCTCTCGACCAGAATCGTATATACGTCGGATATCAGCCACATGTGATCGAATTTCTGGAAGGGTCTGTGATAGTTCTTCCAAGGAGACAAGAGAGTGATGAAGGTCCTCGTGAATGCGAGGTATATGTTCTTCGAGTGCGTGATTGGTACGCTGTGTATCTCTCTGCTCCGCGGTTCAAGTTATCACTTTCATCAGTCACTGTTAGAAACTATCCAATCGCTCACCTTTATTTTATCGAGGGAGTCATGCATCAAGTTGTCCATAGCTCGAAAATTGCTCAAGTTCTCTGTGAGTTTGATCTAGAGGCAAGTGGAAGCGTCAAGAGTGACTGAGCAAGAAACTTGGAGAGACTGACGCTGAATTCCTGCATCTGATTCTCATACTGCAGTATCCGCTTTGACGTACTCTTTGCAACTTCCTCGATGTTGCGACTGCAAGCATGTTGTGCATGATTCCTAATGTTAACGTTCATCAGCCGCCCCTGACTATAAGGTCGCAAGGACGTCAGTGTGCTCACGAGAGGGTGCTACTACGTTTGCTTCTAGGACGCTTCAAAATTTCCTCTGGTACTGGTACCAGTGGGTTGCCCAGCATATTATACCTGAGCTGAGGCTCTTACATAAAATTTAAAGGAAAGACGAAAATGAAAGAAAGGAACCTCGTGTTTTCCGACGGCACTTTTACGTGTCCGTAACTGTAAGACTCTTTGCTAAGCGACGTCCTAACCAATAACCATCATCATAATACAATGCGCATGACCAGGGACAGCTTGCTTCACGCTGCTAAATCTTTATGCATGGATTTCGCATCCAAGAAAGATCCAGATACTCTCATAACGCACTTCTCTACAACACATCAGTGCGTAGCAGCATATGAACATGGTTTACCCATTCTTGCCCCATTTCTGGGTCGTCACTTCGTCGGACGTGACGGAGTACGAGATTACTTCAAGATCATAGCCTCTACTTTGAGCTTTGAGAAGATGGAGTTTTCAGAGTACATCGTCGATCCAGAAGTCCAGAAAGTTTCGGTAAAAGGTCGAGCAAGATTCACCTGGTTGAGCACAAAGCAGAGCTGGGACGAGATATTTACATATGTGCTAGACTTTGACGATGATTGCAAGGTTACAGATTATCAGGTTTGGGCAGATACAGGCGCTGCATACCTTGCCAGCAGAGGTCAGTCGGGCATGAGTTAGGCCTTGCAGTAAGTGGCGTTGATTTGTCTCATCAGGTGCTGATTCTTCAAAGTTTCACATGTCACACCTGCCGCATGCTTCCATGGGATTTAACATGTGCAACAGCGCGTGCACTTGAAGACTTCCGATTGGCTTGAATACCTAGCCTACACCTTTTTTGCCTGGTGTCACCTACACCACTCCTGCAGAATCGAGATTCAGTTACCAGCCAGTACTATGTGGTCCCAGGTCTTATCATTCCCTTCTAAGCTCTCTCACTTTGTTTCCATTTTCACTGTTCTAAAACCTGGTATTGCTGCAGTCTGCAGAACAGCCAAGGATCCCTTTTAGAGGTTCCGAATCACACGCGACGATCCTTCGACACGCGTCTTGGTATTTGTCGCTTCTGCACGACAGTGGTCCTACCATATGCTGGGGATCTCTCGGTAGAGCGACCAACGATGTCAATCCTTTTTTGACAGCAACTCCTGGGGATCTCTCAGTAGAGCAACAAACAATGTCAATTTGACAGCAACTGTCTGTGTCTGCTGTTTATGGTCCGGTGCGCCTTTTTTGACCGTAAGCCACTAGTTTGAAGTTTTCCCGTTTCTATCTTGGGACCGTGATGACTAGGCGTTCGTCTATGATACAGCCAGAGGTGCGCATGTGGAGCACTGAAGTGCTATTCTGAAGCACTGGATGATCGATAAAATAGCATGCAGGCCAAACCCGGTGCATGTCTATGACGTTGCTTGTATTATCCCACAACGCCAGCGTATACCTTCGTAGCTTGCGGTCAATGACATTTGTTTCCGCATGAAGATCCTCCATTACAATCCCTCTTCAAGAAGTCCCAGGAAGTCCCGCCATTCACCCCGGCGTCCTAACCTTATCGCACCTATTGCATTCGTCATGGATTGCTTCCGCCTGCAAACTCACTCAATTTTGGCATTCCAAATCCGTGCTTCCGAGCGATGGCCACTATAAGCATTATTTCTCTTGCTCAAGCATATGCAACCTCAGATGCCTCTCGAGCACATGCGCCAAATTTTGCAATTCTCGCAGGCATGTACCTGATACCCTCGTCGGTCTTTCTGAATCCGCATGCTCGTAGCTTTCAATTAAACCGACTGTGTTCCCAATACGGAAGCCGTCCCATCTTTGGTCTTGGGAACCTTTGAGGCGGGGGAGCGATACTGCTGGTAATCATCCCGAGTCTTGTCATGTGCCCCCTCCCGCCAACAGGGATCTAACTATATCGCCAAATGGTCTGGCGGTGTTCCATGCAGCACCGAGTCACTACCCTGATTTTCGTTCTGATACAGGTGTCCTCTTCTTTTATTAGTAGGACCGGGTCTCTTGGTGCATGTGCCATTAAGGTCACATATGATACACCGACCCTGGAACAAGGTTTTGGTGGAAAGGTATAAATGCCTACCGATGGCTGGTTCATCCTCACCTCCCGCGGTTCACCATGGTGTCTTTCATGCTCTCGAGTCTTCTCAGCGTCTTCGCAGCCATCGGCGGCGTGTTGTCTATGTCTCCTATGGATACGACGCTTTCTGCTCGTGCCACGCCTGCAGCCCCTCACTTCGTCATTTACAGCGACAAGTGGGTCACTGGTGAGAATGGCCCTCCGGCCGTCAGTAATATCACGGTATGTATTCGCCGATGATTTATTGAGCACTTGTTGATTGCTTCTTTGTGTTATTTGGGAATCAGGGGTATAACGTCTTGTGAGCCTTGAGGACAAACATGAAAGTTTCATAGACTGATTTTCTTCAGTGCCCTCTCGTTCTGGCTTATCTCCGGCCCAGCTGATCAAGCTGAAGAGTGGGTGTTGCTCGATAATGCTACACGAGCATCTATCGTACAATCATACCATAATGCCGGAATTTCTCTTATTGTATCCGCTTTCGGCTCCTCGGATGCCCCCACCAGTGGAGGGTATGATCCTACGACGATCGCGAATGATCTTGCAGCCTTTGTATTGGAATATGGTCTTGATGGTGTCGACATTGACTACGAAGTGCGTTTCTCTCAAATATGCATAAGTCCACGTCTGAAAACTGGCTTCGCAAACAGGATTTCAACGCCATGAATGCCATGAATGGATCCGCAGAAACCTGGCTGACCACTTTCACCACAGCCCTTCGTGCAAAGCTTCCGCTGGGTATTTTTTTCGTAGCATCGCGGATGATGAGAACGTACTGATCGCATGTCATAGGTCAATACATTTTAACCCACGCACGTGAGTCTGCCTTAAAATCCAGGGATTGGGTGTGACTAACTTCTCGTTTGTGCAGCTGTTGCTCCATGGTAATTAGAATTAATGATATTTATGTGACTGGGCCGGTTTAACCTCCTTGAGTACAGGTTCTCTACACAGTACACAAGCGGAGCTTATTTAACGGTCAATAAGAACGTTGGATCGTTAATTGATTGGGTAAGTTAAAAAATCATGTAAAATGATGTGAACTCATTCACCGTTTTACAGTACAACGTTCAGGCAAGCATTTTTCTGCGAAGGGTGATTTCATGATACCAACTCAGTTTTGCCGGTTTTATACAGTTCTACAATCGTAAGCCAATTTGCTCCTGTCCTCTGGTTGTCATTGACCAGTTACACTAGAGGGCACGACTGAGTACACTACGTGTTCTGGCCTCATTACGACATCATCTACGACATGGCCCAACACTGCACTCTTCCAGATTGCAGCAGCAGGGGTAACTTTAGATAAGTTGGTGATCGGCAAGCCAGCCACAACTGTGGATGCGACCAATGGCTACATTAATACCACCCTACTTGCCCAGTGTGTGGACGAAGCCTATCAACAAGGATGGGGTACGCTCAATATTCCATATGCTCGTCAGCGGGGGCTAACTATATTCTCCAGATGCTGGCGTCATGGTGTGGGAGGTAAGCTAAGTAAACCTATCTGGTGAAGGTTGCTAATCCGTCGTGTGACACCAAGTTTCCCGACGCCGCAGCGGCCTGGATTAAAGCGGTACGCGCGCTTGCATTCCCAGAATAAGCAGAGTTTCTGTGACTATTCACTCTCTCGGTGTAATTTATGACTATGTGGTTTATAACTGTTCTAATGGAAGTACGATCTTGAAATCAGCCCTTCTGGAAATATCCTGTGTGTAAGTAGTTCAACGCAATCTTAGGTATGTATTCCGGATGCGTCGAACACATTAGCTCAGAAAGTTAGTATGAGTCAGAAATAGTATGTAAGTGTCCGGTACGTAAGTGTCATGTATGTAATTGTCAGGATCCCAAGACAAGTCCAACACAGTCCCACTTCAAGGTCCGAACAAGTGGTGAATCGACAACTAAAAGAGTGTCATATAAAATGAAGGGGACGTCAAAAGACACTGAAGAAGGAGTACGTTTCTGGGACACTCGTCCGTCAGAATTAAACGTCAAGGTAAAAGGTCTGTGAATCAGTGAGTCAGTAAGTTCAGGCAGAGAGTTTTACAAATTTCAACTAACAACAGGTGAGACCTTGTAATCGGGGTTGACTTGGGCAGCATTATAGGTGCCGATGTCACCGACAAAAAATATCGTGTTGTCATAGGCCTTATAAGCGATGATCGTATTTGCTTTATGGCCGTTGAGATTGACGTAGTGCACTGGGGGCATGTGTTAATGATAGTAAGACGACGACAGCAAAGAGGCAGTATACCCTTCAATTCATTAGTTTTTGGATCAAATGTCCAAATGGCCGACTCGTCCGCCTGATTATGGCCCACGGGGACGGGTGGGGAATGTACAGGTGCTAGGAACGATGTATCATGTTGTCATCGGCAATTCAATTTGCGATAGTGCTGCAGGCTTACTTCTGATGACGTTGCCAAAGCCGACAGCTCTGTCAATGGAGCAAAATCAATGTCTGCCCGGAATTTTATTTGAACACCAACGTTGGGGAACCAGGGGCAAGAGTGTCGTTGCTCGTCGTCCCGATATAACAAGATTCAGGAGATGCGGAGTCCCTGTCAAAAGCTTCGTGAATTGTGGAAAATTAAAGGACGCGGAGAACCGTACGACTGACCTGTATGTCGATAAGCCCTTTTCCAGATAGAGGCCTGGTGAACGATACATGCAGGTCCTCGCTTGGGGCACCAAAGTTGACGCCATTTCTGAGCTCAGGCAAATTCGTCAATAGGAAGAGTGCTAAAGTTGGCGGCGTTCTTACATTCCTGAGGCCCAGTTATATAAGTGTCCTAATGACTCGCCATCATTTCTCTTGACCAGGATCCGACCAGTGCACCTGAAAGGCTTGAAACAAACTTCAGTAATTTTTTTACTCAGACTCACTTCTTAGGCGACGAAGGCGACGGGGATTGCCTCGCTCCTGCGCCAACAAATCAGTTTGGAAAAATGTGAAACATAGGTCTAGAATGTACCAGCTGCTGTTGGTGTCCATGCATAACCTGGCAGAGCGCGGCCAAACTTGGGAGGCAAAACTGGCAAGCCACGAGCCAGCCGCTGTGCGTTCGTCGATGCTGCAACGGCACTCGAGACGGAGAGAACCAGTGCAATGACACAACTCAGCACAAAAGCCCGCATGACGGGAGGTCAAGACGGTGGCGGCCGTTGTGGTTTCTTGAATGTACCTTTATATACGATCGAGTTTTACCTTTCCATGTGGGTCTGAATCACTTTATTGGTGTCAGACAGTCATAAAAAAATGACAGACGAACCTGAGAGTGATCGAGATCCCTCTGCTGATCGACAAGTCGACCCCCCTTTGTTTCAAGCCAGGCCACCCACACACGGTAGGCCTAGGCCGACGGGCGCCAGTGCTGGGTGTCCTCATGACTCGGAACCGGGTGCTTTAGGCCGTTGCGTGCCTGCAAAACACCCGAGAGTCGTCAGTACATATGTTACAGCTCGATGGGACTACGTTGGATGATATCACCAGTGATTTTGTAGAAGATGTGGTCTCGAACCAGCCTCTCGCAAATTGCTGAACCTATTAGCAACTTGGTTAGGATGTCCAGGCTGGTTCGAAACCATAGGGTTGTCCGATAGCAGCCTTGCTTCCCCAGAAATTTGAATTCATCAGTGACAGAATACACAAAGTGCTTGTAGTGGCTGCTTTCGTGATCAGCATTCCCCAAGGTCAACACGGGGTTACAAACACACCATACATATACCAGCCAATTGCAAAATAGACACCCTGCTAGCAATGAGGGTCAAGGGTAAGGCGCCATCGTAAGGTCATCCGTAATTAAATATCGCACCCAGGTCCTAAGTGCTAAACTAGAGTATTATACGTCTTAATGAACAGTATGGTAGTGATCAGTAACAAGTGAGCAAAAGCAGCAGATATTTTAGTGGTGTGTCCGTGGGATCTTATGCCATGTTAGGGAGATTGGTGCAGGTGAGGATAGTAACAGACGAGAAAAAACAACGTTCACTGAACAGTACATCCTGATGATTTCTCGGTTCCCCGTTTCTTTTGACGGTCAGTTTCGTTGGGCAGTGTGCCCGAAATGTGGCGTGACGGAGTGTCCATATTATCATTGGTAGTGGCAGGTCACGACATGAACAGGCATGGGTTTCTTGTCAGGAACTGGCGGACGTTGTGGTATGGTGTCTGTATCGGGCTCAACTGTGGAAAGGACTGATTTACGGCCCGGGTCTTGTCGGCTGGACTGACTGTCAGCTGTCCACGTGCTACTAGCATTAGGGGCTGTACTATTGCTTGACAAAGAATGCGGTCGCTCGTTGGATATCATATTCGGCTGGAGCTTAGAGGGTTTTCGCTTGGGAGTGACATCATCGTGAGACAGAGGCTGAGGGATTGGTGACGGCGACGTGGAAGGGGGTGGTCTGTTCTCTGTTGCTAGGGAAGAACGGGAACGTTTGAAAGGATTCAGGAACTTGTAGGCAATGGGTGAAGTGGGTGAGGGCGATTGTGAGGGCGTGAAGTCCAAGCTTGGTCGTGGAGAAGGCGTAGCGAAGGACACTTCGGAAGGAACATTTATTGATGAACGAGGAGGATGCAAACCATTCAATCCGTCGAGTGAGATACCAGCGTGGCCTCCTTGCTCAGCGTACTGTGCATAAAGCAACAGTTGAGCGCGGAGGTCGCATGTGGGAGGAGCTTCAGGAGCACACATTGAGTGAGTGATAAGATTACACTTGTCACAAATGACGGCGCTCCTTTTGATGCTTCCCATACACACTCTGCAGACCATGGCTACAAATATGATCAGCGATGCTAACGATCAGCAGATTCGGGCTACCCACGTTTCCCAAAGGCGGTCCTGATGAAGGAGTGATCCCTAGGTGTGAATAGAGTCTCCTCCGGAAGAGACATTGGCGAAGTTGGCCCACTGGATAATCTACATCTTGGAGACTTTGATGACTCCTCTTGAACCGAAGCCACCGAGACGGGAGAATCGATCCTGTTTGCATCCATTGACGCAAGGTATGCAATATCAATCTTTTGAAGATCAGTGCTGACACGCCGAAGAAAAGGTATGCTATCCTGGGGACGAAGCTCCTAAACGAAATCGGTTGGCAGAGCCTTGCATGCTATCCGGAAACCCACGAACCTTGAGCGCATCCCAATTTTTCTTCAACCAGGGGTGCTCGCACAATCGCTCAGCATCAGGTCGCATCAAGGGTTCCTTCTGGAAGCATTGCTGAAGAAAGTCCTTCAACGGTTCCGAGCATTCTTCAGGTATTGGCATCTCGTCCTCGACAATGCGGAACATGACTGCGTCTACATCAGACATGCATCCGAAGTAATGCTCATGATCATACCTGTCATGGTGTTGGTGATATCCCCAAATGGCGGACGTCCAGTAAGAAGTTCAACAACTGTGCATCCCAACGACCAAATGTCAGACTTCGTTGAAGCCCCTTTGAGCTCGATGACCTCTGGAGCCATCCAGTTCGGTGTGCCAGCGACATCCTTCTCTCGCTCTATAGCCTTCAGGTTCAAGGAAACACCGAAATCCGAAAGTTTAATATTCCCCGTCTTTGTGGTGAGGATGTTCGCCGCTTTCAAATCGCAGTGGACAACATCGCAGCGATGCAAGTAATGCAAGCCTTCAAGAATCTTGACAACATAGCTCGCCACTAGATGCTCGTTCAACTTGCCGAAGGCTTTCAGCATCTGGCCCAACGAGCCACTCTCAGCATACCTGCATCGAGCCTAGTCACGGAGACGTCCGACGAGATCATAAAGACTGTACTCACTCGAGAACGATGTTGAGATATTGTTCATCTCGAGCCATTCCTTCATACTTGACAATGCTTGGGTGTGAAAGTCTTTTCATAAAGTCTACCTCCCTCATAAGCTGGGCGACTTCGTCCTCTTTCAGGCCTTCTAATCGGATTCGTTTAACTGCCACCATTTGTCCGGTTGTCAAATTCAGAGCCCGATACACTGTGCCGAACTGTCCGCGGCCGATGCAATTTCCGAGTTGCTTATAAAGGTAAAGTCAAACTGTGTGTTAGCTTGCATAAATAGGAGAACTTACGAAGTGAGTCGCTGGCTTCCCTTCTTCCTTGACTATTACACTCTGCCGTACGGCGCCTCCATCCCCGGAGTCCCTTGATAGCAAATCGCTCGCACTTGCATTTGTAGATGCCACCCCCAAATTGACCATGCTTTCGTATCGAGACCTCTGGGGTCTGCCCAACTCATCGTACGAAGTCGGGCGACTGCATCTTCGAGCTCGGGGATCTTCAACGTCACTCTGGAAGCGACCACGCACACGGGGAGCATCCTGGTTCTTTGTGATATTGTTCCTGACAGGAGAATCGGGAGACGGAGTAGCACGAGCACTATGTTCCCCCGACACGGCACGCGGGAAGGGGACGACTATGAGGATCGTCATCTTTTCCTGTCCCAGGATCTTCGAGGCTATTCCGAGGATAGTAGGCCCCGTTTCTGCGAGCACCATTCCGTGTACTCTGACGACGCAAAATAACTTTAGATCCTGGTGAACTCTCTGAGCTGGCATCCATACGGAGTACTGAATTCTTCGGCTTCAGGATCTGTGGGACAGTCCGCGCTATGGTTTGACCGATGAACTGGCCTTCTGGCTGTGGACTCCACACTATCACTGTGTCGTGATGTCCCAACAATGGAAAGCTTTCTGGTCTGGGATACTGACAGAGGACTGGAACTGAGAGATGTATCAACGTGCTTTGACGATGTTGCAATCGGAATTGGACGAGATGGGTTTGGAGCTTGCGCCTGGAAAGCGTCCAGAAAATCGTCGGGCCATTTGCCCTTACCGAGCCGCACACGGCTCTGCGCTTCTGTTTCCCGCTCTTGCAAGGGTTCTCTCGGCCGTAAACTCTCACTCTTGTGGTCCTTGAAGCTCGACCCACAGGCACTATTACTGTTCTCCTCTTCCTCTGCAAGGCTAACCAGATCAGGTACACCTGGCTCGCTCGGGTGTCGCTCTCTCAACCGAGATGTAGGTTCTCCACTACCCCGCCTCCTGCTCATCTCTTCTGCCATGGAGGCTGCAACCGAGCTGGCCTCCGTCTGAGTGAACGAGGGCACCTCAGAGCAAGAGGTTGCGTCTGTTGTGAAAGTCCTGATGGTCCCAAACTTGTTCTGGTTAGTGCTGCTCGCCCGTCTGATGTCAAAGATGCTGGAGAAGTTGGTGTTTTCTGTGAGATTGCTCGACGTTCTTGACTGTCGTGGTGGATAGTCGGCATCATAGCCCGTCGTCGACGGACTGGACACTTGCGATATCGGGTCTTGAGGAAAGGGAATCTCAAGTGGTTGAAGGCTGGAGAGGGGGCTAACGCTATTATCATCTGGAAGTCCAGTTTGGGAGTGCGCATGAAAGGGAGATCTAGGGTTTTGAGATGGACGTGTTATAGAAGGGACCTCGTCGGCTTCATGATCGCTATTGCTGGCCGGTGTTGTGCTTCCATCTACGGTTGAAACTCCCTTAGCTGTACCAGCAGATGTTCCCGACTGGGGACTATCAGAGCGCACTGGGGGAAGCGATCGCTCATTGAGGACTCCGCATTCCGCGAGTCGGACCGGAAGGAGAAATAGGAGAGACCGATCGTGGCCGCAGATTTGGCGTGGAAGAAGCAGCGCGAGAAGATGCCGGAGAGTAGGGGCCGTTACTTGAAGCCATGATGGCACCCTTCTTGCCTTGACCGGTAATGACCTTGACACGGTCGACTCCAGGGTTTTCAAAAAGCTTGATCGACGAAATGATAGTACGTGCCACGCGGCAAAGGGTTTCTGGAGTCGCCTGGATGAGATCGTCACGATAGAAGATGTCGTCGGAAGGGACGTTGTGTTGCGAGCACGCAGCAATGAACCTAGTGATGTTGCTGGTGTGCTTGAAACCATCTTCACGGTAGTCGATGCGAGTTATGGTCCCAGGACAGTGCTTGTTCATCAACCTGAGAAGATGCGACATTAATCAGCACACTAATTGGAGAGGCTGTAAAGACATACTGGCAGAGAACAACGCCGTCACGAAGAGCCTCGCAGAAGAGCTTTCTCTCTCTTTCCTCCCCAGCAGGGTTAAGCACGATGGAACCAACACCGCCCGCGGCAACCTGGCTAGCGCTAGCACCGCCACTCTTCCCCCAAACGCGTTCAAGCCTGATTAAGGGCTGCAAGCGCACCTCTACTTCCGCCCACTCCTTCTGCGTATCACTGCGTGCAAGATGCGGTGGCGCCTTCCTCAATTCTTTACACAGAAGGGACGTTGCAGCGCGGATAACCTCACGCTGCTCTGGAGTGGAGGGAGAGATAAGGGAAGTAGTGGAGATATTGAAATGCCGATTCTGGGCGTTTGCAAGCGTGCGCTGAGAAGGTGACGTTGCACGTGGACGCACGGTGGACTGAGGGGAACATGCTCTAGGCACAAGGGAGGCCGTGGTTCGCCGCTGCACTTCAACGGAGGCTCTCCGAGAGGTTTCACCAGATGCCTTTCGCATCACTTCTGCAGACGGTCTTCGGGGGGTATCAAAAGAGGGCCTCTGCGGGACATCAATAGGACCTCTCCGTGGCGCATCGACTGAGGGTCTCCTTGGTGCATCTACAGAAGGCCTGCGGGCTGGAGTTGATGATGACGTTGGTGGACTGTAGGAGTTTAAGGGAAGATCAGATGCAGATGCAGAAGTAAGCCCCTGATATGATGCGGGAGTCACGACCTTGGGAGGGGTCCTTGCTCGTGAACTCATTGCACGGTTCGGAGGAGGAGAGGAAGGTGGGCTGCCGCCATGGGGCAGGTGAGTTGCACCCGCAGCCACAGGCGTTCTGGACAGGTCGCCCATCTGCCTTCGGGAGTTGGACAGGGGTTTCGGGGTGTCGGGCGGACTTGGCGAATCATGGCTCAGCCTAGGTGTGTCCAATGACGAACGTCCCCTGGGGGTAGAGAATATTGGAGGTGGACGAGATTTACTTGCCCGTGGGGAGGCCGCACCAGAGCGGTCAGGCATTGCAAGCGCCACTGCGGTGGTCATGGCGCGATCCTAATGGCTGAGGACCGCTAATTTCCTTGGACTTAATGGGCTGAACACTCGCGCGCCGCGGGCGATCGCGTGCAGGTGTGACAGTGCCTGCATTTGTTGGTGGCGCCATAGCTCCAGGCTGCGACGGATGCGACGTCAAATTTTGGGAAGAGAGATGGAGAGCAGGCGAAGACACAGATGCCTGCCGCAGGGACGGGGTAGCAAAACTCGTGAATCCAGCCTGGCGTGACTGGGTGACTACATCCGCGTTATTGACAGCATGCGCTCCAGTCGCGTTGGTGTGACTTGCGTCATGGGGGATCGATGTCGATGTCGATACCCGTGCAGCCCTGTGAAGTCCTACCCTTGATTCCAATCGCCTCAGCATGCCGAACTTGATCTTATCCTTCTCCTGCCCTTTCACAGCAACGTGTTCTTCAGGTGCTTTCTCCTTGCCTTTACCCATCTCGGTGATGGTCGCAAAGTCATCAACAGGTGGTAGGAATTTCGCCCTGGAGCGTGTGGCGGTCTTCAAACTCTGCTCCAATGATGATCGGAGTCGCTTGAAAGTCATATGTGTGGTCTCAGGCATGTCTTGAGCAGAGACATATGACGACGAGGATGACTCTGGAGTACGGGGCAGCGCCTTCGGTGGCGGGTCACGCCTCGTGTTACCACGCTGAAGAGAGACCATATGGAATGGGTTGGGTATCTGCGACTTTGGAGCGCTCGAGAGGGTGGTTGTTGCCATGTGTGAGCCGCATGCAATGCCGAAATGTCAACTAAACTATATTACTAACGTCTTGTGTGACCGCGTACGTTTCGCTTCGAGGGAGGGCGTTGATGCTTGAAGTGCAACGTGCACGATCCTGTAGGAGAGTGGCCCTGCAGATATAGAGATTCCGAAGTCAGTAAGTGCTTGTTGTAAGTGGTGGATACAAACTGATACAGTCACATAACGGCAGGTATGATTTCACATACTCCACCTCGCAATTATGCGGCAAGAAGCCACGAAAGTGACCAGGATATTTAGGAAGGCAGACCCACCAAGGACTTGACCTTGACAGTGCACGCTGCAAATCCTGTCACTCTGTAGCCGGTGCACAGCAAGTACTGGATGGCTTGTCACTGCAAAATGCTGACAGACAAGGTGGCGACCGAAGAGAGTGGCAGTGATTACTTGTGATAAAGAACAATGTTTCCCCTAAGATTAGACGGAAAGGACCTGTTGCCAGTAATAGATTGAGATCTATCCGGGAGAAGCAACGCGTGCGCTCCGGGAACAGAAACGTCCAATGATAAGCAGTGGTGAAATGAAATGAAATGATGCACGGATTAAAGGTGGTGATCCCAGAAAGAGACGAGAGCTAAGACTACTAGTTCGCATAGTAAACGACTTCCAACCTCGCAGTTAGTAGTATTAACGAGTACAGAGGGTTCGAGTTAAACTTGGCAACAACAAGCCAAAACAGACATTCACTTACACGTCGAATTTGTACTAGGTATCCCTTGGGTAGATTCGTCCGTGCGACTTCATATGACACTCGTCTCGATATGTCGCTGATACCCGTCGCTAGTTCCTCAGACCCGGCTCGTGAATCACGAATGATGCTGTGTCCCGCTTATGAACGATACGCAGATGACGCACCTCGCACCTTGAAGAAGGTATCAGATATGATCAAACATGCGGCACTTCTTACAGTGCCACGCCAACTGACGGGAGTTGACTGATTATCGAACAGGAGGTTCCAAGAATGAAGATCGCCACCACCACCAGCCAACAACCAAGACGCCGCATCGCTGAATGCGGGCTGGCCAAAAGAGAGCGGCTGTATCCCTAGTGCCGCGGCATCTTTTCTTGGCCAATGATGATACTGTCAGGTATCGGACCAGTGTCCGCTACAATGGAACTTGGTTCTTCCCAAGATAATGAGCCGGGGAGACCACATGGTTTAAATTAGATTGATGCTTCGCGAAGTTCACGTGTATTAACGGGATACTTACCAATGCTTCCCAGACCCACGCACGACAGAGCAGGACAAAAATGTACTGAATTCAATAAGAGACTGCTTCTGGCGAGGCCTGGAGAGGCCCATCAATGAAGCTTGAGAAAGGGACTTGCCGAGGGTATTGTGTCGTCGAAGAGTACTGAACGTGTGAGCGCGTGGTTCCCTCGACTCCCGACGGCGGGAATCCATGAGAGTGCAACCAGCGCTTACCTTCTACCGGTGATGATGTCATGTTCGAAGTCTCAAGGGTCTTCACATGAGCGAGCGCTTGGTATGTCATAGAATGACATTCGCGCCGCTGTTCACATCTAAACTTGGATGTACAGTTTCAAGGCTTTGCACGAACCAGCCGATGGTCAACAGCTCTTGGTTCTCAACGAGCCAGCGTTCAAGGATTGATTAAGTTCGGAAGGAGTCACGTTCATTTTTGTGCCACAATGTCGGAATGTCGGAGTTTCAAAGTCGTTCTGTTCACAACTAAATCTTACCAACGGGCTCACCGACGCCAACGATGTCGACCCGCTCAAGAACAAAATCGGCGTCAGCTACAAATAATGTCAAGTCACAATCAGGCAAGGATAATCAACCAAAATCCTATTAGGGCGCGCGCGAGATCCTTGAAGAGCGAGGACCATATGAGCGAGATGGAAAAGGAGACCAAGATTGGTCGTGGGAAGGCAAAGACACCTGTGAACGCTACCCACAACGCCCAGGACAGCCAGCCGAAGGAGAAATCTACATTTTGTCTTTGCCATCAACCGGATGATGGCACGCCCATGGTCTGTTGTTCCGTCTGTGATGAGTGGTGCGTATATGCGCGCAGATTTCCGTTACATGACCTCACTCAAACATCGGTATGCGTAGGTATCATTTTCACTGTGTGATGCTCGGCGAGGGGGAGGCTTCAGAACTTCGTAAGTTTTCCCTTATCGCATCCTTGCCATCGATCGCTGATTATTCATCGATCTTACAGAGATTTATGTATGTCCTACATGCAATGAATTAACTGGTCGGCGTACAGTCAGTGAGTGTTACCGGTCTTTGTCTCTGTGGGCTCTCGTATCCTTCTCCATGTACATCCATCATATGAGTCTTGTCCTGCAAGTACTTCGCTATCGTCTATCGTTAGTGGCATATCTGTTCCTGTTTGCCACACCCTGTTGCAGTCAATTGCGTGCCGCTGTGATGGTTGTACTCTTGCATCCAACGGTACCTTTGGCCTTACGTTATAGGCGCGCGACTATTCCTCTTGAGTCAATTTCTGTCTGAAGAGGTTTTGATGTGAGCGATTGCTTGAGCACGCTGGTCAACGGGCGCTAGAGGGCACAACCTGTGCCGTAGTGACGTCCTGTTCGCACGCAGGGAAAAAAGAATAGTGTACTCTTTTTATTTATTTTATTTTAGTCGTGTTCGATCCCAGGCATGAGGTGCTGATTATTATTCGCGTTTTCAGAGAAGTGGGAAGGACCTGATGCAGCAGAAGAACACGTCGACGCCGAGCATGACGAGACCAAAGTTGCTACCACTGCCAGGCTCCCGACGCCCCCTCCGGCTATTCTCCAATCAGAATCGGAGGACGATACAGACAGCGAGGATGAATACATTGCGGAGCCAGAGAAGTTCAAAAGGAAAGGATCCTCATCTGCCAAGGTACGTGCATGCGTGTTACCCTCTTCAATATTGTCGCTTAATCGGCTTCGTACTCCATTCGCCAGCGTCGACGCAGAGTTTCCAGTTCCAGCGAGTCTGACACACTTTCCAACGTTCTCGAAAGCACCGCTGCCCGAGAATCTTCCCAAAAGGCTGGCCCATCAGGATCATCAGCTAGGAAGGCGTCTCCCATCCCAGGTTCTGGTCTCAAGCGAAAGGCGACGAGTGTCACCCAGCCTCCTATTCCAAAACGCAGGAGATCCAGCGATGCCACAGCTGAAGAGGATCCAGCAAGAAAGTACTGTCTTGGAAAACTCCAACAGCTGTTTTGTTCGATTTTTTTAAGGTACCCGCATGCTGCTGCGACGGAGGATGGCAGTAAGGTCGAGCTCAATGAGGGTGAATTAAGTGAGGAAGATAAGACGCGCTTAGAGGAAGAGGCGAAGGCGTTTGCGACGGAGATTGAGCAATGCGTATTTGATATGTACTGCGAGCCGGACAAACACGGCAAAGCTCAGCGTTGGGCCGAAGTATAAGTGAGCCGTACTTCGTCTTGGTCGTTTGTGCACGCACTGATTGACATTCACAGGGAGAGATTCCGTATGCTTGACTTTAACCTTAGCAAACCAGATCGTGTGGTCATTCACAAGCGCATTAGCTCGTCCTCTATCACACCAAAGGAACTTGCCGTCATGAGCTCGACTGACTTAGCGAACGAAGAGACGAAACAGTCAATCAAAATACTGGAGAAAGAGTCTCTGGAACATTCAATCCTGCAGAAGTCAACTGTTCCTCGTGCGAAAATCACTCATAAGGGCCTGCAGGACATTGAGGATGTGAACGGCGATGTTGTGATGCGCGAGCGCGAGCGTGAGAGGGAGCGTGAGAGAGAGGATGAAGAGAGACGAGAAAGAGAGCGACAGGCGCGTCTGAGGGCCGCCGAGGAGCAGCAGAAGCAGCGTGCGTCTACAGCTGCTCAGGGATCAGCACCACCTGAGTCGCCAGTCGTACCTCATACGTCGAGTTGGGGTAGGCCTCCGCCCGGGCCCATGCATTCAGTCAATCAATTTCCGACAGGCGATGACAGACCATCTGTGCATCCCTTATTCGCACCTTCCGCATCTGATTTTCAAACGATGCTTCCAGAGCCTGAGCTTGATATCGCGGATCTCATCAACCTAGATGATGAGCCAGGCCCACAAGATTTGGGTGCGGAGATGCTGGAGACTCCAGCGCCGGAGGCTCCTATGCTTGCTACAGACAGTGCACCTGCTGCAGCCCCAGAGCCTGCACCTGCCGCGGCCCCAGAGTCTGCCCCTCCACCCTCCCAACCTCCTGGGTCCCCTCCTTCTACTCAGTCGGCTACATCTACACCCGCCCCCTCGCTCACGCCGAAGCCGGACACGCCTGCTCGCACATCTTTCGACCTCAACACTTTATGGTCAGCTCCGCCAGTAGCACCTCCTGAGTCCGCGTCAGACCCTGGAGTTTCACGAGAGCCCCACATGGACATGGATCTCGTTGCTACAGAAGCTAACGATCAAGATTTCGATATGTTCCTTGAGAAAGAACAAGATTCGGAGTCCTCGCAGATGGGTCAGCCTTCTCAAGATCCTGAATTGGTTTTCAACGCTGTCCCTCTTGTTTGGAATGGCAAGGTTGGTGTATTTGATCATTGTGTTGTTAACTATAACTAATTGGCACTAGATATCTATGCCTCTAGATTCGACAACTATCCAGGAAGCACCTGTGGTTGCGCGCCAAGTTGGAGGACGAATCTTAGGCCACGACTCTGACTTATGGAAGACCCTCTTCCCCTCTGATGTTCTCCGCATTGATGGTCGTGTTCCTACGGAGAATTCTTCGCACTTCCTCCTCCAAATGCGAATGAATTCGCAGAAGGAGCTCATCGCATGTGCATTTTCTGCAGTGGAAGGGAACCCAGTGCTGCAGACGTTCACCGAGTTTCTTCTCAACAAAAAGTATGTTCTATATTCTCTGACGTGCAATGTCAGCTAGATTTCTGACAATCATCTTCAGTCGCCATGGACTGGTGTTTCCGTGGGGCAACCGACCGAAAGATTACCACCCCGGCAAGGAATTATACATGGTCCCACTGCTCGCAAGCCATCCTTTGCCTGACTTCATCGAGCTTATGGATAATTTATGCCTGCCCAAGACCCGCAAGTCGAATTATGTCGTCGGTATTTGGGTTTTAACGAAAGGGAAACTCGCCCCACCAGCCGCTACCACCATCTACGCCCCAAAATCCCACTCAGGTCATCCCACCGCTGCTGCCTCACGTGCCTGCTGCTGCCAATCATCTTATTGGCCAACCGGGCCCTTCCACAGCCCCTTCTGTACCACATATGTCTGCGCCTGCACCCTTGCCCATACAGGCAACCATCAATGCGCCTGTACTTCCCGCTGCCCTACAGCAAGCATATCCTCAGCTTGCTAACACGTCTCTTGCAGCAGAGGTAGCTCTCCTCACGCCAGAACAGATCCAAATCGTGTTAAGAACGCTATCTGCGGATTACGGCATGAGTGTTGGCAGTCATACCACCGCACCAACCGCACCCACCTCCATAGTACCCACACCACATCAGCTATGGAACAACACTACCCCATATGCAGGAGGTGTTCCTCCTGTTGGCCTACCACAGCCAGCCGCGGTCCCATCACCTATTCGCCCTAATCCCATGTCACCACCAACGGGTCCTGCGCGTGGGTCTTTCAATAATGGGCCGTACAATCGTCAAGATCGTGACCGAGAGTTCCGTCCTGGACCGGGTTCCCATCATGACGGACCAGAGCGTGGAGGACTCCCGAACGGTGCACGTGGACGGGGTAGGGGCCGGGGACGAGGGAGAGGGGATGCACCACACCGCCCTCAGGATTCAGGATGGCAAAGAAGTCGGACTCGTAGCGGACCAGACTATGAAGGTCATTCACCTCAACGAAGCCAATGGGATGGTCTGCCTCATCCTAGATGGTGATGTGCGCTACGTGATTACCGCGCATTAAGTTATTACTTTCGATATGGATCGCTTCGTTCAATTATATTACTCGTTTTGTACGCATGTAACTTGTAAAGCGGCTATGTGCTGGCGATTGTGAAAGTCTGTCTTGGTCGGGCGCTGCAGGGCCTTCTAACTGAGACGTTTATAATATTGGTGAAATGTGCTCGGCGGACATGAGCTTGCTCGATCACAATAGATAACGATGTGCCTACTTACTTGCGGCCCGGCCCGCGCAGTCTAACTTAGTTCGTACTCATGAACGTTATGACATTATGTAACTCGAAGTCCCCACTCACCAAACCAACACCGACTCGGAACCATGTAAGTATATGCAGCTAAGTACTGCTTCAGACTTGTCACTTATCCGAGGTCGGCAAATGTCTGAGGTCATCAAAATCCATGCTAGTCACTACAACCTGTGTCGCCAGCCGCATCTGCATACCTAAGGTCTGACTACGAGAGACTACATATGCATGTCATTCAATGACTCTCGCCAGCAGAAAGACTGGATCACCCTCAGCGGCACCGCACCGGGATCACGTTCAACTTCTTATTCGTAACAGTATCTCAGGAGCCAATGATGATCATAGGGTCAGCCCCTTGATCCCCATAGACCCCCGCAACACTATATCCCTTGTCCCATCAAACTCTACATTGGCAGGAACTGAGCAATGATGAAGTTCCTCCATGGCCAACTAGGGCTGCTTGGTACTTCCGTGTCGCTACTTCTTATTACCGCCCTCACGCCACCCAACTTGAAGCTGTCAAACTTTATGTTTGAACTTTGCGCGGCGGCAAGGTAGCACACAGAAGCACAGATATTGAGTATTGTGCTGCTCTCAGTCACACGCCATACATTTGGTTGCCATCAGATCTAAGCTTCTTGTGCGGCTTGGGCTGAGTCAGTAGGTTACTTGACTCAAGTCCTGATTTGAATACGTAAAGCTAGCGCTATAAATGCAGGATTTCGTTCATCTGTTCATATCAAGGCGGTTCGCTGTATCTGCATTCCCCCCCCCCCCTCTGAACTCGCATAACTCTCCCTGGAGTATTTTCAGTCATGACGGACACTGCCGATCGTCCTCGTACAGCGAGCGAGACCACACCTCTGATCCCTGCTAGAGCCTCGAAAAAGCCCAAAACGCCTCTTCCAAAACTCCAGATGGGCATACTTATGATGCTGCAGGTCACAGAACCTATCGCTTCGATGTCCATATTCCCGTACATCAATCAGGTATGACTCTACAATGAGATCGCATTTTTCTGGAACATTAATTTTTGACCCTGTTTTGCCCCTATCAGCTCATTATAGAACTTGGCATCACTGGAGGCGACGAGGCGGCTGTAGGATATTATGCTGGAATACTCGTAGGTTATCGAGATTACGGCTTGCGATAATCGTAATTCACTCATACTTATCGGACATGATTGACAGGAATCTCTGTTTTTCGTCATGCAGGCATTGACGGTGCTAAAGTGGAGTCGGTTGTCTGACCACATTGGACGCAAACCAGTGTTGTCTATCGGACTATTAGGAACTTGCGTTTCGATGCTATGTTTCGGACTCTCCTACGACCTTCTGGAGTCTTGTCGTGAGGTATGCATTCATCGAAGAAAGAAATACAACCTTGACATGGTTTCTTGGTTTCTCTAGCCGTTGCGTGTGCGGTGTACTGAACGGCAACATAGGAGTCCTGAGAACTATGGTTGCTGAATTGACAGACTCTACTAACATGGCTCAGGGGTTTGCTTTGATGCCGATCTCCTGGAAGATTGGAACCGTTGTTGGGTAGGTGGATGCGTTAACTTCGGAAATGGGGAATGTTGAATCAGTATGCTAGCCCTTTAATTGGCGGCATGCTCGCGCGTCCACAAGATAGCTGGCCCGGATTATTCGCCAATTCATTTTGGAGAAAATATCCATACTTTCTGCCTTGTGGAGTGGCTGCTTATTTCGTCGTCGTAGCCTATCTCATGTTGTTGTTTTTCTTAGAAGAAGTAGGTCTTAAATACCTGTCTCATCATACACGTCACTCAAAGTCAGCAGACATTATCAACGAAGCGTCGACAAAAGTTGACATCAACTACGCTCGGCGTTCCAAGTAGATCCGACATTGACGATGGAGAAGTACTTGCGCAGAAGGTCATGGCAGATATGCCCATGCGATCTCTGCTCACGCCCACCATTGTCATTCCAATTGCAAACTACGCCATGCTCTCTTTCCTTGACATTTCGCTCAGGACTCTGATGCCACTGTTCTTTTCGACGCCGATGTATCTCGGCGGTCTTGGTTTTTCCCCTTCTTACATTGGCTCGTGGCTGGCGTTATTTGGGCTGGCGGAAGGTGTCTTTCAGGCTCTGTTCTTCGCCAAAATTGTTGATTGGCTGGGACCGAAACGTCTATTCTGTGTGTCAGCCTCGTGCTTCGCACCGGTCATGCTTATGTTTCCGATCATGTCGTGGCTTGTACACACAAGGGGGATAGTTGATTATGCAGTCACCTTTGCACTGCTTGGCCAACTAGTTCTGACAGTAATATGGAGTATGGTATATGGTGCGCGTTATGATGAAACTGACTTGTCATCACAAGTAACCAACTTTATCATTATCATAGCGACCAGCTTCATGTTTATCACAGCCTCTGCCCCTGCAAAGAACGTCCTTGGCGTTATCAATGGTCTTGCCCAAACCTCCTCATCAGTGGCTCGTGCTGTCGGGCCCGCCTTAGCGACCTCGCTCTTTGCATTTTCAACGGAACACAATCTTCTCAATGGAAACGTCGTATTTGTCCTCTTGATCATGCTTGCTGGTGTACAGAGCTGGCTGGCATCGCAGTTGCCAGATGAACTACAAGATAGGGATGAGTGAAGGTCAGCTCTGTCGAAATTTGATATCTAATGTACGAAAAGTTCAATGGGCACGTCAGTTATCATACAGTTACTACTTATATCGAACAGAGAACATGGCATCTTAGTCTTCGAGCAGGAAGACAGTAGTTCCTTCTTTATTATACCAAATCAGCCTTGAGACCGATCGCTGTGAACGATGGTACTTCGGGTTCCCCAAAGCATTCTGTGCATTATGATCTGACTGCGGAAGACCTGAAGATTTACTTTCAATTGAAAATGTCTTTGTTGCGTGTAATACTGATAATATCGGCGTTGGATGCAGAGGATGGCTTTGAGAACTAATAGACCCAAGCAAGCTGTCCTATAGGCTAATGTCATATGCATGAGACAGGTCCGTAAACTTAAGGACCACGCAGAACATAGGACCACGCAGAACATATGTGGTCTAAGTATAGGCAGACTCTTTATCACTGTTAGAAGGAACGACCAGTTCCTGCTTCTATAGGTGGGAACCTAAGATCAAAGTAATTACTTACCTTGCCTGATAATTTAAGGTTTGCCAATCTGATAACTTGCTAACGTACTTTATTGTAAGCAAGGTTTCTGCCGACACAGTCGGCGGTTCCCGAGTGAAAGGAAGACACCTTGCCGCAACCCAACCACAACCGCCCCAGTTGCTTTCGATGAACGTTATGTAACTTTCTCCCGCTCGTTGTTCACCGTTATGCTCTGATCGTGACCTCTCTAGTGTCTCAGCCTTTCGATTACTTGCTTGTGCAGCTCTGCGTCTTCGCTACATCATCTGCATATCATTGAGTGACTCTGTCTTAGCCAGCAGAGAGACTGGTACTCACTGAATTCTCGACTCCCCGATTTGAGCAGCGGCACCAATTCGTCACGGTATCTTAGGATCCAGTGATTACGGACAGCTTCCTGATTATCATAGACCCCTGTGACACCGTGTCCCGCATCCCATGAAACTCTGATCTTGGTCCTCCGAGGTCTTTAATCTCAACGCTCCAGGTTTCGGCTGACCGAGGACTACTTAGTGCTTCCTGTCGTACTTCCTGGCTGCTTCCGTCACCACCCTCGCGTCATCCGAGCTATTGAACTTCGGCGGCAAGGTAGCACAGAAGAAGGGTATTGAGAGTTGTGCTGCTGTGACCTGTCAGTCACACGCCATACATCTGATTGCAATCTCGATCTGCCCTGTGAAAAAGGGTGTGAAGCTTCTTGTTCTACTAACTTCACCCTCTTTTGGATCCATCATCAACAGGGGACGCATCGATGATGGTTGTCGAACCGGCCGGCGCTCGAGTCCTTCAATGGCCCGGACCGGGTCAGTATGTTGCTTCACAAAGTCTTGTTTTTAACAGTCAGCTGACCATGATCAATACTGCTGTAATACGGTAGGCTATAAAGGGAGTGCTTCGTCCATCTCCTCATATCAAGGCGGTTCGCTGTATCTGCATCTGCCTCCGTCTCCCTCTAGACTCCCAATACTCTTCTTCAAGTATTTTCAGTTCTCCCAACTCGCCATGATGGATACTGCCAATTCTCCACGTACAGAAAGCGAGACCACGCCTCTGATCCCTGCTGGAGTCTCGAAAAGGCCTAAAACGCCTCTTCCAAAATTTCAGATAGGCATACTCATGATGCTACATGTTACAGAACCTATCGCTTCGATGTCCATATTCCCGTACATCAATCAGGTATGACTTTACAATGAGGTCGAACTTTTACATTCATTTTTGACACCATTTCGCTTTTATCAGCTCATCAGAGAACTTGGTATCACTGGAGGTGACGAGGCGGCTGTAGGATATTATGCTGGAATAATCGTAGGTCGTCGAGATTACGGCTTGCGAGATCCGAGTACTTATCGGGTGTGATCGACAGGAATCTCTATTTTTCGTCATGCAGGCACTGACGGTACTGAAGTGGAGTCGGTTGTCCGATCGCATTGGACGCAAACCAGTGTTATCTATCGGGCTATTTGGAACTTGCATTTCGATGCTATGTTTCGGACTCTCCACGACCTTCTGGAGTCTTGTCGTTAGGTATGTCTTCATTTGAGAAAGCAATACAATCCTAACCTGATTTCTTGATTTATCTAGCCGCTGCATGTGCGGTGCACTGAATGGCAATATTGGAGTCCTGAAAACTACAATTGCTGAATTGACGGACTCTACAAATATTGCTCAGGGATTTGCTTTGATTCACGTCTTCTGGAAGATTGGAACATTTGTTGGGTAAGTGAAACGTTAGCTATGGAGATGAGGAATGCTGAAATCAGCGGGCTAGCCCTTTAATAGGCGGAATGCTCGCGCGTCCACAAGATAACTGGCCCAGATTATTCGCCCATTCATTTTGGAGCAAATACCCATACTTTCTGCCGTGTGCAGTGGCTGCTTGTCTCGTTGTCCTAGCCTATCTCATGCTGTTATTTTTCTTCGAAGAGGTAGGTCTTAAGTACCTATCCCATACGTTACTCAAAGTCAGCAGACGTTATCAACGAAGCGTCGACCAAAGTTGACATCAACTACCTCCAGCATTATAAGCAGAGCCAACGTTGACGATCGAGAAGTACTTGCGCAAGAGTCCATGGCAGATATGCCCATGCGATCTCTGCTCACGCCTACTATTGTCATTCCAATTGCAAATTACTCCATGCTCTCTTTGCTTGACCTGTCGCTCAGAACTGTGATGCCGCTATTCTTTTCAACGCCTATGTATCTCGGCGGTCTGGGTTTGACTCCCTCTTCCATTGGCTCATGGATGGCATTGTTTGGGCTCGTGGAAGGTGTCTTCCAAGTTCTGTTCTTCGCCAAAATTATCGATTGGCTTGGTCCAAAGCGTCTCTTTCTGCGTGTCGGTGTCGTGCTTCGCACCAATCATGCTTGTGTTTCCGATCATGTCGTGGCTTGTACACGCACGGGGGATGGTCGATCATGCGATCACGTTTGTATTACTTGGCCAACTAGTTTTGACAATCATATGGGGTATGGGATTTGGTGCGTGTTACGACGACACTGACTTATCATTACAAGTAACCAGCTTTATTACAGGGACTATCTTCGTGTTCATCGCAGGCCTCTGCTCCTGCAAAGAATGTCCTTGGCGCTATCAACGGTCTTGGCCAAACCTCATCATCAGTGGCTCGTGCCGTTGGGCCCGCGTTAGCGACTTCGCTCTTTGCATTTTCGAAGGAACGCAATCTTCTCAACGGAAACGCCGTCTTTGTCGTGTTGATCATGCTGGCTGGTGTATTGAGGTGGCTGGCGTCGCAGTTGCCAGATGAATTAAAAGATAGGGATGAGTAAAGGTCAGTTCTGTCGCGATTTGATATTCAATGGGCACATCATTTATGATACAGTACTGTCGAAAAGAGACAATGGCACATTAGCCTTCCAGAAGGAAGACAGACATTCCTTCTTTGTTAGAACCGTGACGCGTACTTCGTGATGCGTCTCGCTCGGCGGTCCAACCATATGTCTAAGTACTCGCTCGCTCTCACTCGATAACAGTCGTTTGCAATGACTTTTTATTAGCCCAAGAAAAATACCTTATTTTGGCTATGTTTTCCACTTTCGTACCATGGACAATATGTACAAACACATGTTGCGCGTTTTCGCAACTGAAAAGTCATACGCACTGTACTCACTTGAGGCTTGAACCTTCTACTTGCGAGCTTGCAGATGGCAAACTATGCAGACGGCAGACTATTCAGACATTTATTTTCTACAGAACCCTCTCGTGGCCACTAAAGTGAGTGTTGGGGATATATACAGTAGTGCAACTCTCCAATCCGCATCCACAATACAGACACCCCTTCAAACAACTCATTACCATACTCGAAAAATTTGTATCACCCCCCATGTATAACTGAGCATTGACAGGAAGAACTGAACTGATTCAACCTGCAGGTATGGGTATGTTGTGTAGTCCGCTTCCCTAACACTTACCTCCAGCAGCTCTTCATTCAATGAATTGGTGAGAATGCGCATCCGATCCAGACCTACCATGTCGGTGAGTCAGGGGTTAAATACAGGACACAAACTACTCATACTCACGCAGTAACTCCCATAAATGCAGCTTGTGCACTTTTTATCATGGAAGCACATGAAAGGACAGTGTTCACTCTCAGGGTCAGTGGCAGGTATTGATGCTGCAGATATTGATGCTGTCAAAGCAGCAACAACCGCGAGGACAAAGGATAAACGCATTGCAATGTTTGTGAGGATGTGATACGAGAGTAAATGATCTGAAGGGGACAGTAAGGAGACGGCTTGCTTTTATACGATGAATATTGTTATTTATGGCGATGTAGGACCTACCTACGGCCATCCTTTCGAACAGATGATATCTGCAATGCCAGCAGATTGCCACCTGGGATCTCCAAAATACCAGCTCGAATCCGCATGACGCCATAGCTTGTTGGGCGCACATCACTGCCGGATTGTATACTTCCTAACATCTCGTATCGCCTCTGCATGCTGTCACGTAGGACACATCTGCTTATACGTCAGCCCTACGTACCTCAGCAGGCACGAAGGAACGACTATCTTCCCTCGATTAGTCTGGCTAGGGGAGACTACAGCAGGCAAGGACTTTGAGAAGCCGCTGTTCCGACCTCTGCGCGGATATCCAGGTTGTACTGTATCGACCAGTATTTGATCTGACAGATTGCTGTAGTTGCGTACGGATGAACTCAGAAGCTACGTTCAACATGCCTTTTACGATCGCGCCGCAGCGTGCTGTCTTGACTGGCGATATTGGGAGGTGATCAATTTTGTCGCTCCCACATTTGTCCAGCTTGCTCCATGATTTTCCGTGGACAGCTGATTACCAGCACACCCGTCTAATTCCCGCCCTCTGAGCTTCCCACTTTCTCGCCCGCCCGCCCCCTTTGTGCCCGCCGAACTTTTCGCCTGCTCACCAGTTAGTATTCAATATTCAATCGTTATTTACCTCGACTTTCATGATTTCCTGATTGAACTCGACTGTCACGTGTATTACTACACCTCGCACTTTAGAATACCGATTCAAATGGTAACGGTACTGGCACTGCTGTTAACATCAGCCAATATTGACATCCAGACAGCGGATTCGAGCTGACATTGGCTTTGCTTCGCAAGGAGGTATTTTGTTCCACGTCAAATTACCAATAGACCTTGCTTCACAAGGTAAGTAAGTTATGATCGGACCGTCTGTATGAACTAAGTTCTCCAGATCTTAGGTGGCATTCTGCTGGCATCGCAGATATCGAAAGCGGATTTCAGGTGGCTAGGTTCTTTCTACTGTCCCCTTGAGATTTAATTGATCCCATTCACAAATAATGCGTTTATCCTTTGTCCTCGCCGGTATTGCTGCTTTGGGAGCGTCAATATCTGCAGCACCAGCACCTGCCAGTGATGCTACAAGTGACCAATGTCCTTTGTTTTGCGATTATACTTCAGAGTGTTGCATAGGGGAGACATGCGAATGGTTTGTGAGTATGAGTAGTTTGCGTGCTGGATTTAACCACATGACTCACCGGCGTGGTAGTTCGTCTTTGCTTTATGCGGCACTGAATAAGTGGGTGGCATGTCGCGACAGTGAACTACAGTGAGTCGTGTTTCTGCGTTCGCATCGGTGCAGTATAGTTTGTTTTTTTTGTTTCCAATTTCTGTCCATTGGGGTAAAGTACCCTATGTCGGACAGTACTAACTAGTCGGTGCAGTATAGTTGATAGCACGATGCGTAGATTACTAGTAGTTTGCTGCTTAGTTGATTAACGCGCTTGCTTTTCGCTGCCGCTCGAGGGAGATTTTGGAATAGAGAAAATCTCAAACATTGAATACATAAAAAATGACTATCCGTGGGTTGTCGGCAGTCTCACCCACCCGCAGGTATACCCAAACCCCCGCTGCGGGTGTTTGAAGAGATATGCGCTGTGTATACGAAACGTCATACCTTGAAACCTGCAGACAACTCACAACCTCGTCGTCAATGGTATACATCTGGGCGCCTCTATTTCGTTACTTAACACGATGATGCTCGACGTTATCAATACGTAGCCTAAGTGTTTCCTGTAAAACCCACGCAGAAATGACCCTTGGGAACTGCGAGTTTCTAGATGGCGTCCCAGGAGGAAGTTCCTCCCTCGCATATGAATCACTGAACAGCATCAGTAAAACCTCACATTCCTTTTCCGTCCTTTTCGGACTTAATTCAACCTTTTCTTGCTTATCAATATTTGCTTCAATTAAGGTGACAGTCATATTCACAAGGGGGATTAGAGCATTTTACAGCATCTGAGAAAAAAAAGTAGAACAAGGGCGATAAAGATGAGCTGGCTCATTACCTTAAATATGTAGATATATAAGCCTTAAGACCGATCGCTGTGAACGATGGTGCTTCGGGCTCTCCAAAGTATTCTGTGCTTTTATCGTAAGGTAGGACGTGAGTAACTGCGAAACATTTACATACTTTCGATTGACACTGTCTTTGTGACATGTAATATGTATACAAATATTATCGACGTCCTGGGCTTCTTGGAGACAAACCTACGCAAGACCTATGTGAGACAGGCCCGTGAACTTAAGTACCAGATTCTCGCAGAACCTATGTAAGTAGTCCCTATATAGGCGAACCAAATCTAGGTCTGGCTATCAGCGGCTACCCCGATAATTTAAGGTTTAATCTGATAACAATCAAATATGTACTGCAATCTGCCGACGCAGTCGGCGGTCCCCGAGTAGAAGACACCGCAACCACCCGCAACTTACAAGCTTCTTATTTCGAACATCAATATGTGACTTTCCCGCTCGATATTCACTGGTGCACCACTTATGCTCTGATCACCCCCTCGAGGTTGGCAATCTCTCCAGTGTCTCAGCCTATCGATTACATGCTTGTGCAGCTGCGCCTTTCGCTACAGCATCTGCATATCATTAATATTGGCCGACTCGGTCTTAGCCAGCAGAGAGACTGAGTACTGAATTCCTGACTCCCAATCGAGCAGCGGCGCCAATTCGTAAAGGTATCTCAAGGGCCAGTGATGATTATGGACAGCTTCTTGATTATTATAGACTTTTGCGACACCATGTCCCGCATCCCATGAAACTCTAACCTTGGTCCGAGATCTTTAATCTCAATGCTCTAGGCATCGGCTGACCGAGCACCATCCTGCTAATCATACAAGGAGGGGTGTCCCCACAGGGTCGAGGGCTGCTTAGTGCTTCCATGTCATACTTCTTGGCTGCTTCCATCACCGCCCTCGCGTCATCCAAGCTGTTGAACTTCGGCGGCAGGGTAGCACAGAAGAAGGGTATTGAGTGTCGTTTTGCTCTCAGTCACACGTCATATATCTAATTGCGATCTCGATCTGCCCTGTGGAAAAGGGTGTGAAGCTTCTGGTTCTACTTGCTCCACCCTCTTTCGGATTCATCATCAACAGGGGACACATCGATGATGGTTGTCGAACCAACCGGCACTTGAGGGCTTCAATGGCCCGGGCCGAGCCAGGATGTTGCTTCACAAAGTCCTGATTTAACAGCCAGCAGACCATGATCAATACTGCTGTAATACGGTGGACTATAAAGGTAGTACTTCGTCTATATCTGCATCTGCCTCCGTCTCCCTCTAGACTCCCAATACTCTTCTTGAAGTGTTTTCGGCCCAACTCGCCCTCATGGATACTACCGATTCTCCACGTACAGCAAGCGAGATCACGCCTCTGATCCCTGCTGAGGTTTCGAAAAGACCTAAAACGCCTCTTCCAAAATTCCAGATAGGCATACTTATGATGTTACACGTTACAGAACCTATCGCTTCGATGTCTATATTCCCGTACATCAATCAGGTATGTCTCTACAATGAGATCGCATTTTTCTGGAACATTCATATTTGTTGTTTCGCCCATATTAGCTCATTATAGAACTTGGCATGACTGGAGGGGATGATGCGGCTGTAGGCTATTATGCTGGAATAATTGTAGGTCGTCGAGATTACGGCCTGCGAGACTCGTAATTCACTCATACTTATCGGATGTGATCGACAGGAATCTCTGTTTTTCGTCATGCAGGCACTGACAGTACTAAAGTGGAGCCGGTTGTCCGACCGCATTGGACGCAAACCGGTGTTATCCATCGGGCTATTAGGAACTTGCATTTCAATGCTATGTTTCGGCCTCTCCACTACCTTCTGGAGCCTTGTCATCAGGTATATCTTCAGTTGAAGCAACAAATACACCTGACACAATTTTCCTAGCCGCTGCATGTGCGGAGTACTGAACGGCAACATTGGAGTCTTGAAGACCATGATGGCTGAATTAACGGACTCTACAAATATGGCTCAGGGATTTGCCTTGATTCAGATCTTCTGGAGGATTGGAACTTTTGCTGGGTAGGTGGAAGCATTAATTACGCGGATGCCAATGATGAAATCTGCATGCCACTAGCCCTCTAATGGGCGGAATGCTCGCGCGTCCACAAGATAGCTGGCCCATATTATTCGCCCATTCATTTTGGAGCGAATACCCATACTTCCTACCTTGTGCAGTGGCTGCTTGTCTCGTTGTCATCGCCTATCTCATGATGTTATTTTTCTTAGAAGAGGTAGGTCTTCAATACTCGTCCCATAACACACGTTGTTCAAATCAGCAGACATTGTCAACCAAGCGTCGATCAAAGTTGACATCGACTGCCCTCAGTGTTCCAAACGGAGCCGGCATTGACGATCGAGAAGTACTTGCGCAAAAATCCATGGCAGATATGCCCATGCGGTCTCTGCTCACGCGTCCCATTGTCATTCCAATTGCAAACTACGCCATGCTCTCCTTCCTTGACATTTCCCTCCGGACTCTGATGCCGTTGTTCTTTTCGACGCCTATGTATCTCGGCGGTCTTGGCTTGGCTCCTTCTTCCATTGGCTCATGGCTGGCGTTGTTTGGGATTGCGGATGGTGTCTTTCAGGCATTTTTCTTCGCAAAAATAGTCGATTGGCTCGGGCCAAAGCGTCTCTTCTGCGTGTCTGTGTCGTGCTTTGCACCAGTCATGCTTATGTTTCCTATCATGTCGTGGCTTGTACACGCAAGGGGGGTGGTTGATCATGCAATCACGTTTGCATTGCTTTGCCAACTAGTTCTAGCAGTAATATGGGGTATGGTATTTGGTGCGCATTACGATGAAACCCGTCCTGTCGTGACATGTAACCAACTCTATTACAGGGACTGTCTTCATGTTTATCACGGCCTCTGCTCCTGCAAAGAACGTCCTCGGCGCTGTCAATGGTCTTGGCCAAACCTCCGCGTCTGTGGCTCGTGCCGTCGGGCCCGCATTAGCGACCTCGCTCTTTGCGTTTTCAAAGGAACACAATCTTCTCAACGGAAACGCCGTATTTGTCGTCTTGGTCATGCTGACTGGTGTATTGGGGTGGCTGGGATTGCAGTTGTCAGATGAAATACAAGATAGGGATGACTGAAGGTCTGCGTATTTTTCTATTTTATATGGCGCGGATACCTGAACCTTCGATAGCAATAGACACCTCAATTCTTGCAGCAGATTGTAACGGATAGCATAAATATCATGTCAATGTATCGCAATCGTGAGATCACTGGGTTTGGTGAGCGATGGTCTGAGGTTTAACAATGAACGACTGTTGTCTTTCTACTCGGTCTGCTTAAAGGAGCTACGTGAAGCTCCTAATATCTCAAAGACGTAGTCCAGACTAGCTCACGAGTCTACCTTCAAGGCCTCAGATGGAGAACGTGTTTCAAATATAGATTCACCTTAACATGTAGAGACGCGAATGCGTACAGGCCCATAAAGCACCGCATACTGCCAGAAAGATAACTTAGAAGCGTAGCCAGCCAATGAGTGTCGCTTATGGTGTAATTCGTGGAATGATTTCTTGCATATCATGCCTACTTATTACTTGAACAGCCTACATAACACGATGGTGGCTACTCTACATAGTGGGAGGCTTTGCACCAGGCTGGAAGGTGTAGGTCATGTGGCACTTGCCACAGTATTGGCGATCTTTGTGGAAAGCCATCTGGGACGCATCATCAGCCTCACGAAGAAGGAAATTACATTAACGCTTACGAAGACACCAGCACCGCACTCAGCATTGGGACACTCGCGGCGGAGGCGCTTGATCTTGCCGTCCGAGTCCACCTTGTAGTATTTCAAGATGGACATCTTGACCTTCTTGCGCTTGTGCTTGATCTTCTTGGGAGTCTATTATAGCATGACGGTAAGCCCAAAATATCCAAACAACGATATGGAATAGTACGAACGTTGTAGGTCTTCTTCTTGCGCTTCTTGGCGCCACCGCGGAGACGGAGAACCAAGTGAAGGGTGGACTCCTTTTGGATGTTGTAGTCGCTAAGAGTACGGCCATCCTCGAGCTGCTTTCCTGCGAAGATCAGGCGCTGCTGGTCAGGGGGAATGCTAAACGTTGATGAGCATCGAATATACGCGTGTGCAATAAAACCTTACCCCTCCTTGTCCTGGATCTTGGCCTTGACATTGTCGATGGTGTCCGAAGACTCGACTTCGAGAGTGATAGTTTTGCCCGTGAGGCTGATAATATGAGGGAACGTCAGGTGAAACTACAAAAATCAGCTCTGAATCGCACGCACGTCTTTACGAAGATCTGCATTTTACCGGACGCCTCTGTCTGTCCAACGAACTAGCGATGGAGTCGTTGACAAAAGCAAGAGCCGCGATGGTGGTAGCAATTTGTAAGATGGAAAAGATGATTAAGGCCTGAAAACCTTAATCAATCCGTTGATGGTCTGTGCGTGAGAATACATTGTGCTGACTCATCATATTGCCAATCTGAATTCTACGCGACGCGTTCAGAGCGCGTCAATCTCGTCGCGAAGAACGCGCTCAACGCGAGCTTGCAGCTGTATCGAATTCATAAATTTCATTGCTTCGGAACCCGCCATGGCTAGTGACGACGAAATGGATATTGACACCGTACCATTGTCTGGCAAGGGTAAAGGAAAGGCTAAGGAGAGAAATGAGCCACACGAGGACGAGACTTTGCCCTGGTTGCGTCTTCCACCTTCCCCTCTCAGCGTTTTTGCTCACGCATAGTGACCTGACAGGGTAGAGAAGTATCGACCAGTCACCTTGGATGACGTTGTTTCACACAAGGATATTACAACGACAAGTTGAGTCCTCATAGCTCGAGCATTGCACACGCTGAGGGATTCACTCAGTCGTGAAATTCATCGAGAAGAATCGCTTGCCTCACCTTCTCTTCTATGGTCCACCTGGAACTGGGAAAACATCGACAATTCTTGCGGTCGCAAGACGAATTTATGGAGCAGAATACAAGAAACAGATACTTGAGGTGAAGCCCCTCGGATCTGCCTAGAGCAATGCTGATTTTCTTCAGCTCAATGCATCCGACGACAGAGGCATAGATGTAGTGCGCGAACAGATCAAGCAATTTGCTGAGACCCGAACATTGTTTTCGAAAGGCTTCAAGCTCATCATTCTCGATGAAGCCGACATGATGACACAGCAAGCTCAGGCTGCGCTGCGTCGTGTCATCGAACAATACACCAAGAATGTGCGGTTTTGCATCATCTGCAATTATGTGAACAAGATTGCCCCGGCAATCCAGAGTCGATGCACGAGATTCCGTTTTTCGCCACTCCCGATTCCAGAGGTGGAGAAGCGCGTTAATAGTGTCGTGGAAGCTGAGAAGTGTGTAAGGTCATTTCTGAAGTTGCTACGAAATACTCAGCTTTGCAATAGCGTGAATCTGACTGAGGACGGCAAAAAGGCCCTTTTGAAACTCTCAAAAGGTGATATGCGTCGAGCGCTCAATGTCCTACAAGCATGTCATGCAGCGTATAGCTCTATCGGAGAGACTGAAATTTATAACTGCACTGGAAACCCTCACCCGTCAGATATTGAAACCATCGTGAATTCCATGCTTTCCGATGAATTTACCACTTCTTACCAAAGTAAGTTCATTCATATCATGTTGTTTGCGCCCCACACAACTTCTTTGTCAGTGATCTCGGCCATGAAAACGGAACGTGGACTCGCACTGCAAGACTTAATCTCGGGTACATATGAGTACGTGGAGACGATTGAATTCAAGCCGCAGGCCCGAGTATATTTACTTGACTTCCTGGCTACCACAGAGTATGTCTCGTCTACGTTTAGTTTGATCAAAACCTGATGTCTTTCTTATCAGACATAGATTATCAACCGGCGCAAGTGAGAAGATGCAATTATCTGCTCTACTTGGAGCATTCAAAAATGCGGTGGAGCTTTCTGCGAATTGATACTCTATGCTCGAAGCGCCTGACAGAAACTTCCCACAAGGTCTTGCGTTCCTCCCCCCAATCTAGCCTCTCGAATTGTATTGTAGTCTTTTTGTAGTATTTCATTTGATGTGAATCCTGCCAACGTTAGTCAGTGAAACAGTAAACTGCAAATGCTTAGACGTGACAAGTCACGTGGTGAAGGTCAGTCACCTGACTCTTTAGCCCTCGTGGATACCGGCGTGTCAGTGTGTGCAATAACTTAGCCTCCTGACATTGACGTCGTTGGACGTATGGCCTTTCCTATCCCTGATCACCTCCCGCGGCAGCTTGATGTTTCATCGAACGTTCTCTCCAAGATCGATTCTGCAACACTACAGTCTTTGAATTCGTCTGTTGCATCCTCGTGTAGGGCGGAGCTTGACGAATCCATTCAATTGACCAAGGTATTCACGTGTAATTGGTATAACCATCATCTGTAATAATCATTGGGAGTAGAAACGAATTCACGACAGAATACGTGCAGACTCTTCTAGCTTCCAAAGACAGTTGTCTTCGGCGAAGTCTGTTAAAGAACGACTGGATACGCTTTCTGGACATGTCCAAGCCCTAAGTGTCGCACTTTCGGACTCTAAGGCGTGTGTTTGCTCTGCTAGGTGTTATATGACGTTTCACTAACACTTCACTAGTCCGGTCTAGTCCCAGTCTTGCTTGAGGCTTTGGAAGCTCACCAATTACTTGCCCAAGAGTCCTGCAATACAGATGTCTTGAGTGATTCTCTTTCGCACCTTTCGGAATGCAGAGCACAGCTGGATGCGCTGCAGAAGCTCATTGACACAGGAGATCTACCTCAGGCTGTAGTCGCGTGCCATACATTGAGTTCCTTGCTGACCGTCGTTCCCGGACCACTGAAAGATGCATCTGTAGTGTCTGAAATGCAGGTACGAAAGCAATTTCCTTTCATTCTGTCTCAACTCACTTGCTTGTAGAGTCGACTGCGTGTACTCAGCAATCGTGTGGAGGAGCTGCTCAGCAATGCTTACACGGAAAGTGTTGTCGTAAACGCGTCTGAAGTTATTATCAAACCATTTGTGCTTGGTGAGTGAAGGAACATCGTCGTGTAGGGGTATCTCAAGTAGTTTTTTAGTGCCTCGGTCACTAGAGCCCTTACCCCTTTCGTCTGTCTTCTTATCGATCAGCTCCGCATCGCTGGCATCGCATCTCTCAACCCTAAGGAGGGATATTCTAACGCAGCACGTCGAGTATTCTTTCGACCAGCCGACGTCACTTACGGTCAGCAGCACGAAAGACACGTCTGGTGCTTTGATGCACGTCCTCAGCCGATTCCCATTGTCCCCGAATAGCATCGACACTGCTTCCCCGCTTGCCAACGTATCCACGACCCTCGATTTCTTACGCATACAACTATTTCCTGCCCTCCCACCGACGCACAAACATAGTTTTCCGCGAAGTCTTAGCAAACCCATATCCACTGCAGTGCTGGCGCGTTTGCTTATTCCTGGTCTGCCCACACAGCTTGAAGCTCTTCCTGCTTTTTTAAAACTTGCAAACAAGGCAGTGGAATTGGAAGACAAGTACATCGTCGGAATGCTCGACGCGTCTAGCGAGTGCGAAATCAAAGCTTGGGTTAACAATGTCTGCACTCATTACGAGCGACAGCGGCGGTCATGCATTCTTGATTCCGCTCGCAAACTTATTATCCAAAGTGCATCTTCATCTGAGTCAGCATTCCACGCCCAGCTACCACTCTCACAGGAAATCTCTGATCAAGCTGGACTCGCACCTACAGATGAGGGCGATGCATGGGGCTTTGATGACGATGGCCAGAGTCTCAAGTCAGGATCTTTCAAGTCCGCCACGGAGCCAGAGGAGGAGGACGTCTGGGGCTTTGATGACGATTTGAGGGAGGAAACTGAAACTCGACAGGCCGATCCTACACAAGTGGAAGAAGACCCAGGAGATGCTTGGGGCTGGAATGACGAGGAGCCGGCACCTGAAGAAGCAGTACAACCGGAAGACAATACATGGGATGATCCATGGGGTGACGAATCTTTCGCGACCCCTGCCGTGCGGCCAACAACTATGTCATCGCAACGCCCTTCTGCAAATTCTGCACCTACGACGCAAAAGGTCTCTACCAAGAGCAAGCAAGCATCCGTTGCTGATGGTCGCCCCACGAACGGTACCATCGATGCATCGAGCCGTGCCATTGCTCCCTCTCGTCATCCTCTAAAGTCAGGGCCCCTAACAGAGCCTTATCTGGTATCTACTCTTGCAAAGTCAATCATCCATAAGGTCGAGGACGCGTTGTACGAAGGAAAGGGACTAGCATCATCGGGTATCTTTCCCCCCTCACCGACATCCACAACAACGCCTGGGACGCTCGTCATGCAGTCAGGAGCACTTGTTTTAGATTTGTATCGTGCAGTGTATCCTATCGTCGCTGCTGGACGTCTCGCTCGCCCTGGTGATGTTATGAAGTTCTCCAACGACTGCTTTTGGCTTGCAGAGGAGGTCGGCCGCTTGGTTACATCCGAGCGAGGATTGCTTTTTGTGAAGGACAAGTTAGATGAATGCAAGGGCGTGTTGCGGGTGTTAGCAGACAGTTGGTATCAAGATGGCATTGTGAGTTCTCGACTGTTCATTATCGCTGTTCTTTAAGCAGGGACTCATGCATTAGACAGAATAGACAACGGACAGCATTGTGTGATATTCTAGCGAGTGCGAAGGGCTTCACAGATACGTCAGACCAGGACCGATATGATGATTGCGAGATGGCCATATCCCGTGTCGTTCGCGAAATTCGAAGCGTTGCGAATACGTGGAAGGTGCGAATGATGCGCATCTTGTGATGTCGAACACGGCTGACTATACTCCCCTAGCCCGTGCTCCCTAAGAGCAAGTATTACACTGCCGTGGGAGCAATAGTCGAGGTTTCCTTGCAGCGAATCCTTGAGAACATACTTGCGATTCCAGATATCCCCGAGGTAGAGTCGCACAAACTGAGTGAGTTGTGCAGGATATTGGCCGCTCTCGAAGGGCTCTTCGTTGAAGACTTTAGCGAGGTACGTTCGCTACGCTTTTTCAAGATAGTTAACTAATGAACACCCAGTCATCTTTTGTGGTATCATATGTTCCGTCGTGGTTGAAATTCTCATATCTGTCTGAACTCATGGTATGTCTATCCGAAGTCATTTTTTTCGATGGATATGTCATTGCGCTCATTTTCCAGGAAGCGTCTATGGCTGATCTCACATATCTTTTCGAGGAAGGAGCTTTGGTGGACTTTGAGGTGGATGAATTGGTTAAACTTGTGCGTGCCTTGTTTGCAGACACACCGCTGAGGACAAAGACTCTGGACAAAATCATGGGTGGACACCCAGTCCGGTGATGTATGAGTATTTATACTCACTGCGGATGATCGGATATATATAGCGGCAGAGGTTAGTACGTAGTACCTCATATCAGACTGAAACCCATTCAATTATACGCACTACATACACGTGCACGCGAATACTGTTTCCTGGGGCGTGCAAGTGGACCAAAAAGACCCCACGATGGACAGGGATGCATATACATCTGCTGCTAGTCGCTTGGCCAACGAGGCCAATCTGACAGGCACTATCACAAATACTTCAATCAAAGTACGACCGACGAGATCCTGACGCATGGATTACGATGGACCTGCATGATGTCTAACCGTTGCTCACCAAACTCATCAATGGGTCTCACGATTGCGATATATTGATATGGCATATGCTCTTTCGAAATGTAGGTGTCTACCGAAAGTTCGGAGTGTTCGTGATTTAAATCTCATGCTAACCTTCACTCGACATTCACTCATCCCTATCTTGTATTTCATCTGGCAACTGCGAGCCCAGCCACCTCAATACACCAGCCAGCATAATCAAGATGACATAGACTGCATTCCCGTTGAGGATATTGTGTTCCTTTGAGAGCGCAAAGAGCGAGGTTGCTAAGGCGGGCCCAATGACACGAGCCATTGACGCGGAGGTTTGGCCAAGACCATTGACAGCGCCGAGGACGTTCTTTGCAGGAGCAGAGGCCGTGACAAACATGAAGACAGTCCCTGTAATTAAGTGGATTTTAGTTTTAATCTCAGGACGGGTCTCATGGTAGCACACACCATATGCCATGTCCCATATAACTGTCAGAACAAGTTGGCCAATCAAGGCAAACGTAATGGCATGATCAACTATTCCCCTTGTGTGTACGAGCCATGACATGAACGGAAATACTAGCATGACTGGTGCAAAGCACGACACGGACAAACAGAAGAGACGCTTTGGACCAAGCCAATCGACAATTCTGGCGAAGAACAGTGCCTGGAAGATACCATCCAAGATTGCAAACAACGCCATCCATGAGCCAATAGAAGAAGGGGTAAACCCAAGGCCCCCAAGATAGTTAGGAGTCGACAAGAACAGCGGCAAAAGAGCCATGAGAGAAATGTCAAGTAAAGCAAGCATAGCGTAGTTTGCAATTGGAATGACAATGGTAGGTGTGAGTAGAGATCGCAAGGGCATGTTCGCCATAGACTTTTGCGCGAGGGCTTCTCGATCATCATTGTCGGCACCGTTTGAAATACCTAGGGTAGTTGATTTTGATTTTGGTCGACGCTTGGTTGATAATGTCTGCTGATCGTGAGTAACTTGTGCGGTGATACAGTGGTATGGAGAACCTACTTCTTCTAAAAACACTAACAAGATGAAAAAGGCCAGTAAAATAAGACAAGCGGACACCGCACAAGGTAGGAAGTATGGGTATTTTGTCCAGAACGGATGAGCAAATACACCGGGCCAGTTATCTTGTGGACGCGCGAGCGTTCCGCCGATTAAAGGGCTAGTATGCGGACTTCATCGTTGGCCATTCAGATAGTCGACGATTCCACTTACCCAACAAAGCTTCCAATGCACCAGACGATCGGAATCAAGGCAAATCCCTGGGCCATATTTGTAGAGTCTGTCAATTCACCCACCATGGTCTTCATGACTCCAGCGTTGCCGTTTAGTATACCGCACATGCAGCGGCTAGAAAAACCATGTCAGTGTCGTTTTTTCTTCTTTCAACTGAAGACATGCCTAATGACTAGGCTCCAGAACGATGTCGAGAGACCAAAACATAGCATGGAGATGCAAGTTCCCGATAAACCCACTAATAACACTGGCTTGCGTCCAATACGGTCAGACAACCGACTCCACCTCAGCACTGTCAGTGTCTGCGCGACGAAAAACAAAGATTCCTGTGAAAGGGAATCATGATTCACGCAACTATATGATAAACTCGGCACATACAATTATTCCAGCATAATATCCTACAGCTGCATCGTCGCCTCCAGTGATGCCAAGTTCTCTGATCAGCTGAGAAGACGGAAACGGTATGAAAAATGGATGCTGCAAAAACGAGATGTCATTGTGAACTCATACCTGATTAATGTACGGGAATATCGACATCGAAGCAATAGGTTCCACAAGTTGCAGTATCATAAGTATACCTATCTGGAGTTTTGGAAGAGGCGTTTTAGGCTTTTTCGAGGCCCCTTCAGGGATCAGAGGCGTAGTCTCGCTTTCTACACGAGAAGAATTTGAGCTGTCCATTCTGGCGAGTTAACCTTGCGCACTGGGAGATGCAGCGAACTGCCATGATTGAATTGCATTTATGGCCTGCGCATCATTGGTTGTAGTCAGCTGTTTGACTCAGGACCGAGTCAGGACTCCTAGATTGTGGCATCATTAATTGGCAGACATTGCCACCCCGGATCAAACGGCCCTTGATTTGGAAACATCGTGAGTCGTGACTGGTCACCTGCGCACTCCTCGGAACGTTCAACGCACTCGTCGGCTAATACTTGTTTGGCAAAAGCGTTAGAAACAAACAACCCAGCCCACGTTGATCATTGTCTCTTGCAGTCTTACTTCCGTAAAAGGTCATGATTGGGAAGTTATTCCTTGCGTTGGCTACGCTTGCACTTCTTCACGGTATGGATGCTCTTCCCGACATCTCACGCTACTCACGTTATTCTATAGCTGCATATTCCACATACGAACGTGAGCCTCACGATGAAGCCTAGAGCCAGGATTCGAGTTCAAGTCTAAATTGATGTGTAGATTTGTCACTTCTGAAGGCTTTGGGCAAGCCTGAAGGATCATTACCTCTAGATGTAAGTCAACCCATCACGTCGAACAAAACCCTTTCAAGTGAAGCTGTAGATTGTGTATGAGAGCATTCTTGCACTTATTCTCGGGCTGCTTGGAGCATCCTTGAATGCTCCACCATTGAAGGATATCACTTGGGCAAGTGAAATGAAGAAGCGGTGGGTGATATTTTGAATCTTGATCTACTCGCTGACCACTTTTTAGCACAATTGATGGAATGGATTCACGATTGGGATTCGCGCACTACAAGTCTCGCGGAAAGTTTTTGTTTGCTAGTCCGCAGGATGGTAAAATATGAAGCTTTGAAGCTTTGTCCAAGCTTTGTCCATTAAATATCTATCACATGCATGGCAAATATCGCGCAGGTATATACCGACGTTATAACTAGCATCAGTCGTCGTCCTCCCCGGCAGATTTTTTCTTGTTGTTGCGTTTCTCTTTTCGGGCTTTCCTCTTTTCTTCTTTCTCAGCAGCTGCATCCATCGCAAGAAAGTCGCGGATTGAGGGTAATGCAGATGACTCTAATGGTCTAAGACGCAAAGATTCCTCTTCCTCTTCATCCACATGATGTGTAGGGTTTGATGGAGGCAACTGTGATGCAGCACTCTCTGTGGGTGCTGGTGGTTGAGTTAGTCCTTCGTCGTTTTGTTCATCTCCAAACCATCCTCTACCAGAACGAGCGTGTTCGGATGAAGGACGAATCAGATCGATAGCATGTTCCGATTCGGTCTTGTGAGCTGAATCCAAGCCATCTTCATCGCTGTCATCATCCCCAGCAAAACCTTGATAGTCACCAGCCTCTGCAAAGATATCCACATCGTCGTTGACTGGAGACGAAAGCCTTTGGTTGACTTGTGACGTTCCTTCCGCTGCAGAAGGTGGTAGTACCGTTGGGTGGTTGACTTCCGGGAGAGGATCGCTCTTTGTCGGTTTGGGTGAACCTGAGACTCCCTCCACTTTCCTTTTCTTCCTCCTCTTGTGGCGGCTTGCGCTCTCTTCTTTGCTACCTTTTTTGCTACCCTTGTCATCCTTCTGCACCCCAATTGGCTTGAAACCGATTGGTTTAAATTTTCCTGCCTTCTTTGCTTTCTCAAGGTTGTCGGCCCCATCTCCGGGCGGCTCCGCGGTGGTGTCGATAGTTTGTAAGCCCTCGCTGTTCCTTTTGGCCTTCAGCTCCTGGATGATGTCTTCGCGAGTCCTCTTCTTTGGTACCGTGGCTTCGGAGGAGACCTCAAGAAAAGCTTGCTCGAGCGTATCATCATCCTCGGTAGAAGCAGCTGCCCGCGCTTTGTTTTGCTCTAACAGGGACACATCTAGACCTTTCACTAAAATCGTATGCTCGCTGTCTCCGCCAAGATACTGGCGCTGCTCATCAACCTAGGGCATGTGAGTAGAAGTATGGAAATGTATGCAGTGGCACACACAATATCTCTATTGTCATTTGCTGTCCGCCGTTCGAAAACTTCGAGCACAGCTTCGACCTGTAGTCATTAACGAGTATCCTAAGCACAAGTACACGACAGACGTACTTGAGCATAGTCGCTTCTCCCGCCCTCGCGTCTCTCCGCGGCCCTATCACGGTATTTAGATTCATTCTTCTTTACTTTGCGTGGCTTGAACGTTGGCGCAGAAGATCCCGACGCTTTCCTGTGAATTGAGTTACAATACGCATTGTAAGTTAAGATATTGTACATGCTTAGATGCGCCTTGAGCTCCTTTGAGCTGTGGAGTCGCACTAATAGAAGTGGGCACTCGAGGTGTCTGAAGAAGCTGCCTGAAAGAATCCTGTATTGAGTATCAGAGATATGAGAGCTATATGATGGAGCTGTGGGTATCTATTGACTAACCTGATCCATGACAAGCGGAGCGGCGTGCTTTTCAATTAACGTGTATTCAACTAACGCGCGCTCAGTTTGGGAAGTTCCGAAGCAGTAACTCGCCAGAAAGATAGGCGTTATTTGTGCATGTTAGAATCAGAGGGTGTTCAAGTTGCCGTCGGTTACAAGCGCTTACTAATTAGCATCTCTTGTCAACTTTTAAAATATCGACAACTCGTGGGTGATCACTTGTCGTTCATTATTGACCGTCTCTAGACATTTTTTCTGTTCGGAAGGGGAGTCAGGAGGACAGGTGCCACTCCCGGATACCATTCCGAGGGTTCTAAACAATCAGCGAATTAGAACGAACCTAGGCCCTCCTCGAGATAATTAGACCGTCTTAGAGTTAAACACCGTGTCCTTTTCCGTATCGAAGGCAGGCTGGATTTGCCGTTTTCGCCGATTGAATCATTTGGCATGTTATCCTTTTATGTGGGACTCTTGGCACCCCCTGATCTGATTTAGATTAAAGCTGAGGTGGGCATCCAAATGCTCATCCTGGGTCTCCGCGCCTTTCGTCCCACAACTCGTGTTTATAAGCTCTTCAACTTTGTTTCACGCTCAAACCACACTAGGACAATGGCCACTCCCTGGACACCTAACCAATATCCAAAGGCTCGTCGGTCTGACCACGTCGACATCTACAAGAGCGAAAAACAAGGCGAAGTTCGCGTTTCTGATCCATACCAATGGCTTGAAGAACAATCCGAGGAGACTGATCAGTGGACCACGGCGCAAGATCAATTCACCAGAATTTACTTAAATAAAAATCCTGCTCGAACTAAACTAGAGCAGGAGATCAGGGCAAATACCGACTATGCCAAGGTTCGTCAAAATGGCAGTAGCTGGTTTTGATATTCATTTCTCCCAAGTTTTCAGCGCCGTCGCTCAAGTATGATGATCGTTGGTACTGGTACTACAACAGCGGTCTCCAGCCTCAGTCAGGTGGGTTGAGACACTATCAACATTTTCGCATGCCAAAACTCCCGGTTTTACAGTGGTTTACCGTTCTAAGGACTCCAATCTCCCCACCGAGTCGGGGGAGAAGGGGCCAGGGGGAGAAGTTTACTTTGATGTAAGAGTCGAAGACCCGGGCAGATTCGAGTAATGACACATTACTACATAGCCCAATTTGTTGTCCACTGACGGCACTGCGGCACTCTCTGTAACGGCATTCTCTCGCTCTGGCGAATACTTCGCATATGGCATCTCATTGTCGGTGCGTGATTATATGTCGTTCGGAACAGGACGTTAATCTCCAACGCACAGGGAAGCGATTTTTATACAGTTTATGTGCGCCGTACAAGCGAGCCTTTCGCCGCGATTGATGGGCAGCCTGACGATCACCATGCCAAAAGGCTCCCGGAAGAGATCCGCTTCGTCAAATTTTCGTCCATTACTTGGACTCACGATTCCAAAGGGTTTTTTTACCAGGTAGGTCCTGAGTAATTTACATTGCATCTAACACCGAGGGTACTCGCCAGCGATTTCCAAGCAGAGTGTCTCATGGTCTTGCAACGGAGGACAAAGCCGGCACGGAAACCACAGACGATAAGGATGCTATGCTTTATTACCACAAGATCGGAACTCCACAATGTTCGCTATCTACATTTGGTTCTGACATGGCTCTCTTGACTAATTCAATTATCCAGCACAAGATATCCTGGTCATGAAAGATGCCGAACACCCCGAATGGATGTGGGGTGCTTCGGTATCGGAGGTAGATGGGAGATATTTGTTTCTTGACATCGTCCAGGACACTGGAAAGGTCTGCGCTCGCTGTCCATTCTCGCTCACCGGTTCGCTTAACTATTCCGGGCCCAGAAAAACCTGCTCTGGGTGGCCGATTTGCAAGAAAATGAAATTGGCCAAAACATGAAATGGGACAAGATTGTGAACGAGTTCGAATCGGAATACACGGTGTCAGTTGTGTCATTAAACTCTGATGGAAACCACTTGAACCTGCTGACATCGCACACCATTCTCACATCAGCATTGCGAATGACGGGACTAAATTATACCTACGGACAAACGAGAACGCGCCTCAATACCAAGTTATCACAATTGACCTTGCGGACCCATCACGGCAGCACAAGGTCCTCATACCTGAAGTTAAAGATGCATACTTGGACGACATAACTGCTGTGGGAGGTGATAAATTGGCTGTCGTGTACAAGCGCAATGTGAGTGGAGCCGTACCACCCGCTCCAATTTGCATAAGCTGACACAAAAGAGGACTGCAGGTCATAGATGAAATATATCTCTACTCGATGGATGGCAAACAGCTTACCCGACTTGCTCCGGATTTTGTTGGTGCCACAGAAGTCGCCGGCCACCGAGCACAGTCACACTTCTTCGTTTTGCTGACTGGGTTTACCAATCCTGGGATTGTGGCACGATACAATTTCGATGAACCCAGTGAAGAGAAGCGTTGGAGCATATACCGTTCAACGCTAATGAAGGGGTTGGTGCCGGATGAGTTCAGCGCTGAGCAAGTCTGGTATGAGAGCAAGGATGGCACGAAGGTGCCGATGTTCATCGTGAAGCACAAGTCGACAAAGTCCGATGGAACTGCACCTGCCATTCAATACGGTAAGATACCACCATCCGTCACCATCAGCACTTGACGCTATGAATCAGGTTATGGCGGATTCAGTATATCAATAAACCCCTTCTTCAGTCCCACGATCCTAACTTTCATGAAGAGGTATGGTGCTGTCTTTGCTTTGCCTAACATTCGCGGAGGAGGCGAGTTTGGTGAGGAATGGCATCTTGCTGGCACCAAAGAACGGAAGGTGCAGTGCTTGACTACCGGTGAGGGCGATGTCTAATGTTGTCGTAGATCAATGTCTTCGATGACTTCATTGCTGCTACGTGAGTGAACACCTCTAGCTTCTTACTTGCAAGCTGAAAGCTTTTGTTTGCAGGGAGTATCTTGTTAAAAACAAGATTGCTGCTCCCGGTAAGGTCGCCATTAACGGTGGATCCAATGGAGGCAGGTTAATGTCACCCTCATATTTATAGTGATACTCAGGCATGATCTTAGGATTACTCGTCGCCGCTTGCGTGAACATCGCCCCAGAGGGCACATTCGGGGCTGGCGTGGCCGAAGTTGGCGTCCTTGACCTTCTGAAGGTGCGAGTCATTTTTCTGGCAACATCTATCCCTGCTCAATATAAATCATGTAGTTCGCTGATTTCACAATTGGTAAGGGCAGATTACCTTGCAGAGTCTGACGTCAATTCAATGACTGGTGTGCAGGCAAAGCGTGGACGTCTGATTATGGAAATCCGCACGACCCACACGACTTTGACTTCATCTATCCGATTTCGCCCCTGCATACTGTCCCAACGGACAAGATTCTACCTCCATTGTTGCTCATGACTGCCGATCGTGTGTTGTATCTTCTAAATCCTCGACCTTTGGCTGATTATGCCGCGTTAGATGATGATCGAGTTGTTCCGCTTCACTCGTTCAAGCATGCTGCGACGTTGCAACACACACTCGCCCATAACCCCCACCCCCTCCTTATTCGCATCGACAAAAAAGCAGGACACGGCGCAGGTAAGGCTACTGAGAAGAGGTGCGCACTCGCTCTTCCGGGAAATCTAAACATGTGACATATCAGTTTTGCAGGATCCAAGATGCGGCCGACAAGTGGGGTTTTGTTGCGCAGTCTCTTGGGCTAAAGTGGCAGGATGACCAGTGATCGCACTGGCGACGTGATATCCATACACTGTATTGAGAATGTCATTTAACTTTACGTAGTGTTATCCAGCTCTTAGATGTCGTAGTCCCGACCGCACCAGAATAAATTCCGCTGGTGTCGTAGCCCTGGACGGCCTTGTGAAAATCACATTTTCAAAAATGTGCGAGCATCGCCGCCGACTTCTCATGCTGACATTCAAACGTGTAGAACGTAATGTCATTGCGGGCTGCGTTCAGGTTTGAATCTCCGGGGGAATTTCTGTCTTGAGAACCCGAGCTGACTTTTGCTTTGGGACAGGAGCTGGAAAAAAAAAACGTCAGTGTGATGACCGATGATTGGGAATAACAGGACATGCCGTTCGTGTTTTCTGTCACATAAAACCGACGCAAAATCATTATGGCTTCTTCTCGGAGGTACCCTCCTGTAGCTTGGTAGGATGGATGAACTGGATGCCTCACACTGACGACTATTCGGACCCGGAATCAGAATATAGCAGTGAGATAACAGACCTTGTATTGACACCTAAAACGCTCCCACATCCGCCAAATTTATCATTCTGGCATCCGTAAAAGACTTCTTTGATGCCTAGCTGGCGAAGTGCAGAAGCGCACATGATGCATGGTTCCACTGTGACATACAGTACAGTGCCTGCCAGGGGATACTGAGTGGACTCTGGGGTCAGCTGCTTATCAGCAATGATAAGATCGATGGCTTCTAGCTCGGCATGTCTGGAAGCCTGTAGGGCAGGAATTAGACCAGCGAATGAGTGGGTGGCCTTATATTTACATTTCTTAGTTCATTGGTGCGATTCCTCGCACGGGCGATAATGCTGTGGTTCCGCACAAAGACACAGCCCACGGGGACTTCACTGTGTGTTAATGCTTCTTCCGCCTGAATCGTGTTATGAACAAACACCGCTCTGAACATGAATTCTCACCATCGACATTGCTTCTCGCATCCATTTTAGATGAATGGGCGCAACGGTAGTCTGGGTTTGTTTATCATGACTATCTTCTCCCTCCATGATCTTCGGGAATAAAAATTCTAAAGAGTCCTGGTCTTCATTTGATGATTTGGCCGCGCCTACAAATGATGATGGTCAGTGACAAATGACTGATAATAAGATTCGCTGGGTTTGAATTTTGCTAATCAAATCAAATACACCAACTTTGTAATATACGAAACTCAACCTTCTTACCGCATCGTCCGCAGACACCGTGGCTAAGCTGCGCAATCTCTAGTGATCTGTTTTGAAACATTAAGGCGTATATTGTTCGAGGTTGTGTTCATCTTAGGTGAGTCCGGTGATATCATTATCTATAGGCGTCACTGTTAACAGCTCATTACTTGCAGAAAGCAGCAGAGCTCAGATGCTTTCTGCTCCACTCCTCGACCAAGAAAATGTTTTCGGCGCTACGAAATACAAGGCACCACCATCGGCACGCCATGGTGTGCATGATTCTGGGTCCGTAGCAATGACTACCCGCACGGAGGATGGTACATTCGCAACGACGGAGGGCACACTACACGTCTCGAAGCCATTCCGGTCAAGATCGACGAAGAAACTCCGCGCAATGATTACATTTGAGCCTAGAAAGACGCATTTCGACACAACGAATGAAGCGTCGGGCACAAACGAGTTCCGCGTTCGTCTCTTCGTCGTGGGTGTATCCAGTTGAAACTAACACGTCACTGGCCAGGGTTTCTTTACGCTCTTCTGGATGTCGTTGTTTCTATTCACAGTACAGACTTATATCAGTAGCCTCGAAGCTAACGGTTATGCTCTGTCGTTCGCCTTTGCGACAATGTTTTCGCGGCACGCAGTCACGTTAGCACTAAGTGACTTGCTCCTGGTTTCTACCACTGTTTTATGCGTGCCATTTGCCAAAGCTATTAGCAAGGGCTGGATCAACTACTATTGGACAGGCGCCGTTCTACAGCACATCTTCCAGACATGTGTGCTACTCGTCACAGTCACATGGACATTTCATAGGTATGTGCTATCTCATCTCTTACACTCATGTCTTGAACGTCAAACACCCCAGACAATGGCCCTGGGTCCAGTCCGGCTTCCTCACTCTCCACTCATTCGTGCGCACGTTATTTAGTGCTCTATGCCCTTTACTAAGGGCGAGACACAAAGGTCATGATCATGAAGATGTACTCTTACGTGTCCGTGAACGGCTACCTGCAGTGGATTTCCAGGCGCTCGTTGGACGTCCTCGCAGAGCTCAAGTGTGCCACAGCCCGTGTTGGAGGAATGGAGCAGGCGTTACACGACGCAACTTCGAAGAGGGCAGAAGCAGAGGCGGCGCGGCGAGTAGCCGAGTCGCATGCTGATGACGTATTAACGCCGATGGAAACGTGCACCCCCGACGCGGAGGGAGCATTGATGAAGTCGTTCACTGACGTGAAGACGGCTGCTGCCCTGAGGCGAAGGCTTGCTGCCTTCTCCGAAAGTCCGGATGGGAGCCTTGAGACTGAGCGCGATGGAGTTAATGAAAATGGGGGCGGAACTGAGAAAGTTGAGGAGGCTTCGGTTGCATGTGTCCTTTCATACCACCCGGATGAACTCATTGCAGGTCTAGCAAAAGAATTCCTAGACTTGGACTCGGAACTAGTTAGTACAGGTCCAGAACAAGTGCGCTGGCCAGAGAACGTCACGTACTGGAACTTTGCGGTCTATCAGCTGATCCCGACGTTGGTATACGAGCTCGAATACCCAAGAACCGACCGGTAAGCTGCAATCCACTTCAACACTACAATATGAACTGATAAGAAATTGCAGAATACGGCCGGTGTATATTTTCGAAAAGACAGCTGCATTCATGGGCTCATTTGCACTGTTATACACAGTCGCAGAGTGTTTTATCATACCGCTCACACCTACACCGGATCAGTCGTTTTTTCGCTCCCTCCTAGATCTTGCGCTGCCGTTCATGATTGCGTTTCTGCTTCTGTTTTATATCATATTTGGTGAGTGTTGAGCTGTGAGAGAGTGGGTATTCAACTGATGGGACACCCAAGAATGCATTTGTAATGCGTTTGCTGAGCTTTCCTAGTAAGGTTACCGCCTTGTCGCCTTCTGATATAGCTGACGTGCGCTTTATAGCTTCGCCGATCGTCTGTTCTACGAAGACTGGGTAAGACGTCTTTGACCTAAGTGCACTCAAGAGTGACTCAACGTTGTCGTTGTATGCAGTGGAATTCCACTTCCTGGGAGGAATTTTCACGCAAATGGAACAAACCGGTGCATAGTTTCCTCCTGCGGCATGTGTATGCTTCGACACGCGCATCGTACGGCCTGTCGCGCACCACAGCAATGTTCGTCACATTCTTTCTCAGCGCCATTGCGCATGAGCTGGTCATGACGATTGTGACGAAGAAGATTCGGTAAGACGTTCCGTTTCTTTCGTTTCATAGTTATACTGAACAGTGTGGACAATGTAGCATGTACCTGTTCCTGATGCAACTCATCCAGATCCCATTGATCTTGGTGAGCAGGGCACCGGTGATCCAGCGCAACAAGCTCATGGGGAATGTGATATTTTGGGTGGGCCTCTATGCTGGCTTCCCTCTGCTTTGCGTTGCATATGTTGCATATTGAGAGGGTGACGTAGAAGATTTTGACAAACGATCAGAAGGATGGAAGGTATATATCTTGAGAATATCACGACAGATTCTTTCGGTACCCTACATTACCACATATCATTATTTTTGTCGTACCTATATGTAATTAATATATCGAGCATGCTCTGAAGAATCTGATAAGTTTTACCAATGAGTCAATAAGACACAAGCAGAAGGACTTCGAGAACGAAGTAGCCCAGGGTATACATATAGTCAAAGGGGTTGACGAGCTTCGTATGACTCAGACCATACTGAATCTTCTCTTCCGAAGACACGTGAATTGTCGGAACATGGAAGGACATACTGAATCTGGTGTCGCCGCCCCCATTCTGCTTGTGGAGGCGATAGTCTTGCCCTCGATATCAGCGGCCATCGGGTGCATGATAACATAAGTAGGATCCGAGGCGCTAGCGGAGATATGTCGTTGATTTTATGCGTCGCAATGCTGAGTACTTACTAGTCCCATTGCAGGAAATCAGCCGTGAGTTGCCGAGAGCAATCAACACTTACAGCGATCTTCAAGGCGTGGCATGTGTAATACTAGCCGGGAGGAGTTGTATTTTGTGTTGCAGTTGCCAAATGGTAATTTGAATCTGGAGCAGAAGCGGAAGTCGGAGCTTCGTCATCCTGCATCATGTTACTAGAAGCACCCTGAATTGTATTCGTCCAGCACTCAGTACTCGGTACGTGCAGCGACCGACCAGCCGTCACGTTACCGTTACTTATGTATGAGAAGCAGCTTATCATGTCCAAGAATGGAGTATTCAAGAACGTGTTAGATTTCGTTTGGATGCACACCTGGCAAACTAATACTTACTAGGTTCAATCAAATCTCCAAACTTGAACACAACCATACCACCATGTCACACCACGATTAGATTTGTTCGGTTCACGGCATCACATGCCTGATACATGAACGTCGGTCAACATACGATCGATCGAATGTCCAGGCCTCTGCGACCTGTCACGGCGCTATTGTCAGACGTGACGTATATGCCACAGGTCTTCGAGGACCGTAACATGAGCGGTGTCGGGATGTCGGTCGTTGCGTATGGGCGCTATTCCCATGGCTGTACATGGCTGTGAAAGGGCCAGGTGCTTCACTTCATGAGAAGAATTTTCAGAGTCCAGGGCGAACAATGTCATTTTTGAGGGACCTGTGACATGCATTAGTCCAATGCCAGGGTAATTTTTCACAAGAAAGAGTTCGCCCTCCGGGGAGGGGTGAGATCGCGGTAGATAGACAGGCGCTAGGGGCGTTCTGCGATGGGTAATGCTGCGTTAATATTACGGGACTCGTGGCAGATCGAGGCAACAAAGTGACCCCGAACCATTCCAGCTGACGGGCCAAGATATGGGTCCCTTTGGTGCCTCACGGCAAGGGTGAATTCCGACCGAGACAAAAGCGGATAAGTGTGAACGAAGCAACCGGAGTACCTTGCATTATTATTCGGGTTGCGAAACGTTCCGCGTCGGGTATAAGAAGGGTTGCGAGCTAGTACTTGTGTAGCATTTTGTATTATCGTGACTAGGAAGAACGTACATACCGAGTCTGCTGCTCTCGGACGACTTGGTGAGTCTGAGACATCCGATGGACCGTGGTGACATACTAATCAGGCGGCCACGCAGAGAACGCATTGTCAGCTGGTGTGTTTGCAGCGTGTAAAGCGGTTTTTTAGCTGGTATTAAAAGGTGAGCCTTCCGTCTTCCCATAAGGCCTTCCACCTAAATATTCTGCCCACAATCAGTGCAATATCTGTACCATCCAAGCTTAAAGCAAGAATATCCGCGACTATACTTTAGCATCACCCAGGTTGTCGACAATGCAGGTCAAGTCGGTAAAAGCGATCATAAAAGATGTGAAGAGAAGGCTATCCCACAAACATAAGAGGAAGTCGTCCTCAGCAACTGCTGCCACTACTACCACTACATCGAGTTCTTCCCCGCCATCCACACCTCCTGCAGCTCACCACACTCCCCTGTACGATCCATTCGCACCGAACACAATCATTACACCTACCAGCCCTCGCAGCAGGTCCAGTGAAACTCTGGGCTCTCGTCCGTCTTCAGACGTCATCGATATTAGCTCGCAGCACTCGAGAACTCGCTCAGAAGATATGATGTCTGCTGATACGCATGGATCCGATAACAGCGGTACCTTTGTCACCGCTGACTGGGGTCCATCTTCGTCCCCACGGTTCCGCGCTAAATCCCTCGGCCGAAATAGTTCGGTTGCACCAGCATCTATCGCAGAATCAGCCACTTCTTCCCACCCTTCTCAGAGTTCTCTCTACGCTTCTGCTCATTCCATGCCTCTGCCACTACCTCAGGAGGATTCCGTTATTCGCCCCTCGCAACTTCAGACGTTACCTGAGGATGGTGGGGAGGTCCCAGATACTCTTGACGCTCAAGTGTTGGAACCTGAGGTACCAGACCCGTTCATAGTTGACGACTCGGAAGGTGCCTCATCCGAGGTCGAAGGTGCCTCGTCTGAGGGTGAAGGTGCCTTGTCTGAGGGTGACACTGTTCCCCCCGCCGATGAAGAGATTGCGCTTGCACAATCAGCCGCTCTTTCACCACCTGAAGTTCCCCCCTCACTCCCTTCACCCAACGTCAACAAGGACGTACCTCCGCCTCCCACAAGCGAAGTCGAGTCTGAGGCACCCGAACTGTATATTCCCGGGCTTACCATGCCTACTATGTTCTTACCCATCCCAAACGTACGCCTCTCTTTATCTTATACTCTTACCTGGTGGTTCCATCAGCGCCCACCATTGATGTATCGCCCATGTACTATTAGACGGACCCTTTAAATATTCTCCTCACCAAATATGTATCTCCACCTGAGAAGCGACCTGTACGAGATGTTAGTGGCGAATGGCAGGATTCTGATTTTCACTCCATGGTTGTGAGTATGAGAGTACGCCTTGTGTTACGAGTTTGAGGATCTCAATGAGTGTGCCTTGGAAATTAGATGTCCAACAGTTGGCGTGCGCTTGCCAGAATGGCACGAGATCGTCTGATAACTTGCAATCCCGAGGACCTTACTCGTATTCTCGATGTAAGCATACATTGGTCATGTACTCTGTGACTTAGCCCCTTTCAACAGCTCTGGTCTCTGCGCCTATCAAGCCTTGCCCGCCTCCGACTTTACAACCAAACATCCGCTGAATGCACCAACCTCTTTGCAGTGCTCAATGCCACGGAGCCCTCATCAGCCCGGGCGTACCTATTCGACCATATCCTCCCCTTTGAGCTCGAGGTCATGCACGCACGCCTCAAATACTGGGCAGGTGACCCCATGGGCTACCTCGATGTCCTTTACGCTCTGCTCAAGAAGTGCAAGCTGCAAGCCAAGAGTTCAAAAGCCGAAGGCGATGACTCTAGCTTGTCGATGTGGCTTGAACGTGCCGCACGGATATGCCTGATCATTGCGTCGCAAATGATCGAGATGAAGGCATGTATATTTTTTCTGATTCTCGATAGTCGAGCATATACCGTTTGGCGCAGGACTTCACTGCAGCAACGAAACTCTTGGAGCCACTGTTCGCACGACATGGTACTGGGCAGCAGCCATCTCCTGCAATTCGGTCTGCCGTGGGTCGCATTTACCTGCAGAGTGGATACCTCACCCAGGCTGCGGCGCACTTTGCTGCCGTGGAGGGCGACGCCAGCGTCCCGCAGACACTCAAAGATATGAATGCTGCCTTGCTCGCGTGTGCTGAGGGAAACTGGGCGCGGGCGGATGAACTACTCCGAGCCCTCGTACAGGCAGAACCGGATAACTTTGTGGTGAGTAATACACTCGAGTTTTTTTGCGGGCGATTGATGATGACACACTTAGGCCATCAACAATCTGTCTGTGGCTCTTCTGAGTCAGGGGAAGTTGAAGGAGGTGACGATTCTCTGATGACTTTATGATGTTTCCGTGCTTGACAGCCTTTCCAGGGTATCGAAGTCCTTGAAGCTGCACTGCAGAGCTCTCCATCAGCTGTGGTAGTAACAGAACCGTACCTCTTCAATCTTTGTGCGTAGGCTCATTACGCTGTTGGAAATTTTCGAAGACTGATGCCTTCACAGCAACTCTCTACGAGCTTCACACAGCTACAGCTGTAGAGAAGAAACGCGACCTTTTGATCGAGGTGGCAAAGTGGAGTGGAGATGGGCTGAAGACGACATGCTTGAAAATGCCGTCCACTGGCGCATAGCTGGTTGTATGGTGATCTCTTGAGCTTGTACCATATGAGCGGAATAAACTGGTTTTGGTCCTGTCCACTGACTGTTAACGCAGGTGGAGAAGTGCGGTTGTTGAAACCAGGACGACTTTCCCGGGTCGCCACTTTGCATCGTCGATTTAATGGATTTGGTGTTAACCTTCGTGGGGGCGATCAGTACCGTGATTTTGAGTAGACGGTTTCGCAGCCCGTTTGTCACACTAACTTCTGAACACGGTAGCGATTTGGAGTTCTGGACCATCGACGTGCAGACCTTCGCGACCCTCCTGCTATTCACTCCGAACGCATGATATCAGTGTTCGCGCATATGTTTCGTATGTTATCGTTTGACTCAATGCGAGATCTGACACTTCGAGATAAAGTTACATGTTCATTATCACAGGCACCCACTAAACTGATTATTCTCTATTGATCGTCTCGTTTTATCCTCCCTTCGGCACTCTCGCCTTTTGACGCTTGGCGCCATGGGATGAAGGCTGGGATCTTACCACAACCGTGCTTGCAATATAACCGAAATATAGACAAACTCCTATTTTCAGCAGCGAATAGATTGATCGATAAACTTCTGTCTTGTCCACACAGCACGATTTATTTTGGCATTCATGTTAGAGACTCAGAAAACTTCCACTGCTCTGGCACCATTCAACGATCCAGACGGCGACATCATCCTGCGCTCCGCCGATGGTGTCGACTTTCATGATTTCAAGCTCGTCCTTTCGCTGATTTCACCCGTGATGTTCACCCTACCACAGCACGAATCGCAACTATGTGTACCTGTCATCCCTGTGATTGAGCACAGCACAATCCTTCACCCGCTACTTCTTCTTTCCTACCCTGGCGCTGACCCGACCTTCGACAGCTTTGATAATGCGAGGGCGGTGATGGAAGCAGCCAGGAAATATGACATGGAAGCAATTTCCGACCGTATTGGAGATCTCATCGTTGCCTAGTTCCTGCCAGCAAATTCACTCGATGTCTATGCTTTGTCTTGTTAGGTCGGATGGCAGCATCATGCTCGAACAGCCGCTACCCGGAGCCTCGAGATCGAAGATCTAGGACGACCAAGCCCCAGGTTCACTGGTATGTGGGACATCAGCGCCTGTCGATTACCACAAGGCTCTTCAAATACCAGTTATGAACGCGGCATCGCTGCTCAGGCAGTTAGAGAGTCTCTCGCCTGGCTACCGGCGACCCCAGCCACCTGTAGTATGCAAATGTGGAGCTACCTCGGCTGCAGAATCACATATGGCAGGCCTGCATTCTAAATAGCCAATTACAGTGGAAAGTGAACTATTACCCTGTGGTTTGAAGAATACCTAGTTTCGAGTGGGAAGGAGTTGGCCGCACGACCTTGCGAGTCGACTTTATTGGAGTTGGCATCTTACAATTTTGCCATTGTCAGAGCGTTCGACCGTTTTCATTGCCGACCCAAGGTTTTCCAGCATATGGACACAGTCCGTACCTTGTACGTCGCAGAAGTTAAAAAGGCCATTGCAACGGTGAGCTCACTGAACATTATCAATCCAAAGCTCACCTAGCTACCGTAGGTGAAACTGCCTTCTTGAACTATCGTGTTGCTGCTTTATGCTGCCTGCCATCAGAGCCAGTGGTGTTGTGTATGTTCTCGCTACTTACCGAATACTCGAGACGCCGCTAAATCACTCCCGCGAAGGATAACAAATCACGAATATGACTTGTTGGCCCAAAGACACTTATGGGACATTTGGAAAGAAGGTCGATGAAAACATTATTGGAGGACGAATGATCATGAGGGAAATTCCAATGTGCAGATGGCACTACGTATGTTTGAGGACCCAATTTTTTTCAAGGTTGAGGTTACACCATGGACAAGAATGTCCAGAGTCGTGAGTCACAATACTCTGCTCAGTCCCCCGGGGTTATTTATGAGACCCTGTCTAACCTCGGACATGTAGAACACCTGTTTAGCGTCCAAGAAAGCACCAATTCCTTTCTCTCTCTCTTTTTCCATAATCTAGAAGGAACGAATGTCTTCTGTCTACTTATAAGTATGATGACCAAAAGACGCAACTGGTGACCGGGCGTGGTCGTTAACGTGTCTTCTTCAAATTGGAACTTGGAGAATCCCGCCGATAAGAGAACCTGACAGTCAGTCCGTGTCTATTCGAAAGTTATTATTGACCGAAGGCTTCATCAGCGAGCTTATGGACAATGTAAACTCGGATGTCGAGCACGCCCCCGTCCGACGAGAGAGCACGTTTGTGTCGCGCGGAAGGATTTTACTCGCTTCCTCCTTTCCCCACCCTATCAGTGTCGTCAATTTCCTTAAGAACCCGTCTCTGAGCAGATCCTGTCGACTATTCATGAGTCGGGCCCGTGTGTCGTGATAAATGAGGGCGTACATTTTCCGGATTCATTCTGGTATTTCACAAGGCCGCAGATGCATCATGCACTGTCAGTGAAGTCTCGCTGTACTGTCATTAAGACATGGCCTGAGGTGCAATTTGAAACGGTACGTACGATGAGCAATAAGTTCATCCCATTCGTCGATATTCACAGCCTTGCATAAACATTCTTTCAGATCTTCGAAGTCGAGGCTATTTAACTGCTGGAGGCTCTCCATAAGATCAGGAATATTGAGCATACTTATATGAGGCTGCCTCAGCATCATGTCAGTAACACAATTGAAGAGTAAGGAGTCCCAGAATGTCGCGGACTACAGATGGCCAGTCATCATCATCAGTCCGAATTGTACTGATTCATTTTTTCCACTGAAAGTCACGCAAGAGCACGCTCACAAGTTCTGTAACAGCAGCAGGGAGCTTGACAGCGTTCCTCAAGGAAGAGCTACCTTGTATTGGTGTAGCTGCGGTATGTATTGTTGGAGTCGGAGGCGTAGGCGATGGTGTTAACGATGGCAGTTGAGGTAGTTGGTCGGGGTGACCGAGGGCAGTATGGATGGGGCAGCAATGCTTGCATTCGCATACCTGCTGACCTTGACCTGTGACCTCGACGGCTTGGGCAGTAGTAGCACAACTGAGTTGAGCGCCGGTACTCGTACCAGTTCTAGCACACGCAGTGGGAGTACCTATGACAATGTCGTCAATTACATGCATCCCTTCGTCGCACTATATTTGCAGTTTGTGTCTTTTGCAAGCCCAAGTTTAGGACAGCAGTTGTAAACACCAGTATTTTGATAGGCAAGAAGTTCTCACTCACCTGAGACAGATGGGGCGGTAATGATCTGATAGCTAATCTGACTGTGCGAGTGCGATTGAAGGAGAAGTGATTGTTTGGATAGGGGCCTTCAGACTGCGGCATCACAATCTCGCCAAATAATTGGACACACGGTGTAACTAGCGAGCAACAGACTTGAATAAGACACTAACCTCCTGTGCACACTAACCGTCATCAGTCTATCACCTAGTCATAGGTTTAGTCTGTCAGCTCGTCTAACATGAAACTCAGCTGCTGCACTACTCGTTCAGTACCTTTCATTCCTCCGTCTTCTCTCTTGTACTAAGTCACTGTATTCGTATTCGCCGTTGTAGACTATTAGAAGATGTTCGACTTGACATTTGGATTCAAGGAGCCTTTGTCGCTCTCGCTCTGGCAGGCAAGGTCCTCCGCGCTAAGATACGCCCAAAGCCACGCCTGCCTCCTCCTCCTCCTGGTCCCCCTGGACACTGGTTGTCCGGAACTCCCCCACCAAGAGCCAAGTGAGTACATAAAATAAAATAATCCATGCGGTAAACGCATCATAGCCAATATCAGCAGTTTGCAGAATGGATCAATACCTATGGACACGTCATCTCGCTTCGGATCGGGCCTAAGATCATGGTCATCATCGGCAGACATCAGGTAAGATCATTCAATTTCTAATACTGGTCGCTGAGTACATACTCACTTGAATAGGAATCTGTTGACATGATGAGGAAACAAGGCGGTCTGCTAGCAGGCCGTCCTTGTGCAGTTGCTGCAGGAGAGATCTTGTCGCGCGGGCTGCGTTCACACAAGGCAAGTCTCCCGTAGCAGACCAAATACAAGGAACATGGTTATTATGATACAAGACGCTGTGTTCTTGGCGATCGAACTGAGTTGCCCCATATATATTCGTGACCGGAGGCTCTTTAACAGGCGAGGATACATCGCGTGCTCGGGCTTTATGAGACCAGTGAGCTTATCTATTGATTGAACCATAAACATAACGACGAGCCTGAGCTCATGATAGTCGTACTTTACATTCCAACTTCCACGGACCGACCATGGTAGACAACCTGAATCTAGGGAGTACTTATAGCAACAATTGGATTGCAGTACGGCAAGGCATATAGCAAATATATAATGTTTGGCGGGAGCGAAGGCGTGAATGAAATCCTTGTGCAGGCCCAAAATGACATTGAGACTCAGTGCAGTAGAGGAAATACAAGTGAAGGCCGTGGATCAAGAAATCGCAAATATATAGTGTACAAGTTCTGCGGAGACTATAGATCTGTGTTGTACTTCTATTAGTCATGACACGCACATATGTTGTCGCTACATACCGGAGATGATCACGAAGACAGGGAAACCTTCTGCTCCCGACACTTGTGCCATGACGTGCCGTGGGCGAAACAACTTAAATCGAGCTGCGAGGCTTGATTGTGTATCACCAGCCTGTTGTCTGGAAAATGTATAGCTGGGTATAAGTGGATTGGGATCCAAAAGAGGAGCCGTCCGTCGGGCCCTACAACCCATCCTTTCTCGGTCAGGGCGAGAGAGGCAGAGGTGTAAGAATGTTGGAGGAAGGAGGAGGAGGAACAAAGAGCGTGGGTCTGGTTGGACGAAAAACATATTGCAGGTGCTTCGAAGGCTTGGCGCCGGTTGAGATTGTCTAGATCCCATACCCGAATGGTGTTATCAGATGAACCAGACACGACATGTTTGCCGTTCGGCGAGATTGCGATAGAAGAAACACGTGCAGTGTGCCCTCGGAGAGGGGCACCCACTGCCCTCCCAGTCTCCATATCCCACACCCGGATGGTCCTGTCATCTGAACCGGATACGATGCATTTTCCATCTGGCGAAATTACAACAGAGTTAACAGGTTGTGTGTGGCCTCGGAGAACCACACCCAATGCCTTGCTAGTTCCCATATCCCACACCCGGATGGTCTTATCAGCCGAGCCAGACACGATGCGACGCCCATCCGACGATATTGCGACAGAGCAGACGGTGTTGGTATGACCTCGGAGAGGGGCGCCCAATGCCTTGCCCAACCCCATTCCCCACACCCGAATTGTGTCGTCCCTTGAACCAGAAACTATGCAGTTTCCGTCTGGCGAGATTGTGACAGACGAAACCCAGTCAAGGTGGCCTTCGAGAGGGACACCCGATGCCACTCCAGTCTGCACCTCCCACACCCGGACTGTGCAGTCATCTGAACCAGACATGATGTGTCTCCCATCCTGTGAGATTGCGACAGACTGAACACGGCGAGTGTGCCCTTGGAGAGGGGAACCCAATTTCTCGCCAGTTTCCATATCCCACATCCGGATGGTCTTGTCAGATGAGCCAGACACAACGCGGTGTCCATCTGGCGAAATTACGACGGACAGAACAGAGTCAGTGTGCCCTTGGAGAGGGGAAACCAATGCTTTGCCAGTCTCTATATCCCACACCCGGATCATCTCGTCGTCTGAACCAGATACAATGCGACGTCCATCAGGCGAGATCACAAGAGAGTTGATGGCGGCAGTGTGACCACGGAGAGCGGCACCCAATGCCTCGCTAGTGCTTGTGTCGGCATCCCACACCCGAATCGTCCCGTCATATGAACCAGAAACTAAGTGATTTCCATCCGGCGAGATGACGACAGACGTAACAGCATCAGTGTGGCCTTGGAAAGGGGATCCTAATGCCTTTCTAGTCTCCATATCCCACACCCGGATGGTCATGTCCTCTGAACTAGACATGATGCGATTTCCACCCGACGAGATTGCGACGGACGAAACAGTGCTAGTGTGGCCTTGGAGTGGGGCACCAAATGCCTCGCCAGTTTCCAAATCCCATACCCGGATCATTTTGTCCCCTGAACCAGACACAATGAGATGTCCGTTCGACGAGATTGCGATGGACCAAACGGCGCCAGTGTGGCCTTGGAGTGGGGCACCACATGCTTCGCCAGTCTCTAAATCCCATACCCGGATCGTTTTATCATAGGAACCGGATACAATGCGCTTTCCATCCCGCGAAATTGCGACAGACAAAACACCATCAGTGTGCCCTTTGAGACGGGGACCCAATGCCTTGCCGGTTTCTGCATCCCATACCCCGATTGTCATGTCCAATGAACCAGATACAATGTGCTTTCCATCTAACGAGATTGCGACAGACTGAACATTGCTAGTGTGCCCTCGGAGTGGGGCACCCAATGCCCTGCCAGTCGCCGCATCCCAAACCCGAACTGTCTTGTCTTCTGAACCTGACACGATACACTTTCGCTCCAGCGAGAATGTGAGAGACAAAACACAGTCAGTGTGGCCTTGGAGAGGGACACCCGATGCCTCGCCCGTCTCCATATTCCACATCTGGATCATTCCGTTGTCTGCACCACACGCGATGTGTTTTCCGTCTGGTGACATCGCAACCGAATTCACCCTGGAATGCCCGTAGAGTATCTTTTCAACGGGAGGCCAATTTGCGACGTGACCAGCGTCAATGCGAGGGGTGCAAGGGAACTTTGCGGCGAACTTTTTAAATATCTTCGACTGAGTTGGAGCGAACGGCAGAGCGGATAAGTATAAATGAGGAGTGGAATGTAAAATGGCGACCGCGAAAGTTCGAACGAAGCGCTGGGTGTCCCTGGCAGTGTCATCGACGTGAGCATATTCGGCGTGATCCTATAACCATTACACTTCTTGTAAGAATCTATCGGCCCTAAGCATGAGCGCGAGCTACGCACTTTAAACCAATGTGTGATAGACGAGAGGCACCCCACCGAGCCGCCAAGGCTTCTCATCAGGCATAGTGCTTCCAACCACCAAAGGAGGCGCTCCCCGTCGAAGAAAGCTGCGATTTCTTTAGCGAGCAATGGCTCGAAGGACGTAGCTCCCAAATGAGCCCCCCAAAATCGACATGAATATGATAGCACAGTCGGAATGGACTCTTTCACTCGTTTCCCCAAGTTAGGGACAGCAAAATTGGGTAAGTAAGAATTCTCTAAAGCGCAGATGTTGAAGCGAAGTCCGCGCTCCATGACACGAAACGAGGCAAAGGCAAGGTCGCTTTGTACCGACGACACGTCGATGAAGAAGTCTTGGCTCCGTGATTTGTCTGTGAGGAAGTCGTAGAAGGATGCGTGGAGGGGTCGTATGGGAGTTTGGGAGTCCATGGTCCCGGCCAACAGCGACCCTAGTGGCCCAATAACCCGCTGCACTTTGTAACGGCAAGTACCGGGTGAAAAATGCAGTCGCATGGCGGTCAATGCAGTCATGGGGAGTGGTTCCAGCAATGCAAGGATTTGCCCCATCACTGAGCGAAACACGGGGATAGCCTCCCCGCGCTCATCCGAAGGCAGTGTCTCTTCCAAGATGCGTGCATACATAAAATCCAACAGACGTGTTCCTTTTTCAGATGTTCCAGCAACCACAGCTTCGAACTTATCCGTAGGATCCAGGCCAACCCTGTTCGTACCCTTGATATACTCGCATATAAGACGAGCCCATTCAAACATGCCATCGGATTTCAGAGCGAGTCTCTTGAAGTGCTCATCATTGAACTCGCGTAGACCTCCCAGTCTATTGGCGATATAAAGCTGGATGTCGTGTTCTGTGGACGCGGACGAAATATCATCTAAGGAGACATGGCGAACATGTGGCGCGGTGTGCAGAGCGTTGCTAATGTCTTCCAATGGACGGGAAGTGACAAGAATACGGATGTTTGGTGGGATGTCGGATGGTGTGGAGGAAGAACTGTTCTCGCCAGCGAGCAAACGAAGAATCTGTTCCCGGGAACTCGCATCGCCACTCTCGTCCAACGCCTCGATGACGATCAGGACTGGTGCGGCGATGGCTTTCGAGACTTTGCTTGTTGGTCCCACGATCAATTCCTGCCATTGTCTTGTGAGATCTGAAGTGCGCTTGAGTCCATTATTATCATGAACCGCTTGCACCAAGGCTCGCCGCATGATAGGATTGCAGTCCGCTAAGTCGTTTGCGATGGTAGTGAAAACTCTGTCCTCGCCGCGATCTGCTTGTCGCGTGCGGTCGAAGCAGAAGCATGAGCCAAGACCACCGTGCTCAGTGTACCAGTTGGCTATGGTATGTGCGACGGCAGATTTACCCTTGCCTGCTGTGCCGGAGAGCCACAAGATGCGTGAAGCACCCTCATCGGTGCTGCTGATCCAACTCTTGATATCTGTCAGGAGTTCTTGCCGAGTATTTGGCAGACAACATTTAGACGTATTGACTCCGGCACCCGCTGCACAGTCCAATAAGTCGACGAGGTCCAGAGTCTCGGCTATTTCACAGGTCGTAGAATGTCAGCTAAGGCTCAACGAGACCTGAAGGCCGACTCTTACCCATATGGTGGACAATCACAAGTGTGTCACGAGCGGCTCTGTCTCGGAATTGCTGCATGAGACTGTCGAGAACCTCGTTGTAACTTTGAATCACGGCCTGTGTTTCTTTGAAGACGTGCATACCAAGTCTTTTCCCTGTACAAAGATGTAACAGTGAGTCATAGGTAGCGCAGTGGTGAGATCAACTCACAGGCGCTCGTCGTCTGAGAGTAATGAGTGATAAAATCAGCGCACACAAGCGTCTGTCGCGCTATCTTCCCATAGATTGCTGGCATGGATGTGGCGAGCGCCTCTTCTTCCGTGATGAAAGTATAGACCTCAGAGATCTTCGAGAGCAAACCAGAGACAGCAGCATCGCGGTCTGCCTGATCGAGAATCATCTATCACCAGACATTCTTAGTAGCTTGCAAGCTTGAACATATGAAACAAATGTACCTGGGACGCGTAAGTGAAGATGCTCAATGCCACCTTTGCATAGGGATGGGCCTATGCACGAAGATCAGTGACGTAAAAGATAGAAATAGAGGCCCGTACATCTGCAAGCACATTAGCGATTGAGTTGAATGCTTTCAAGGGTTTAAGTATCGCGGAGAACGTGTCGATCGTGTCGGGAATGGATTGCAAGTTGTTCGTTTGCAAAGCAGTATTTTGGGCCATTACAGGGACGGATTTCATGCTTGCGACGCCTTCTATGGCATCGGCGATGCGCTCATTCACAAACTTCGGGTCAGGTTGCTCGGCCTGATTACGAATGTTAGTACATTATCGAAAGAGACGGATAACAATGATCCGAGTTGCAATGATCGAGTTCACCTTCGGAATGCCTGAATTGGAAGGCTGGTCAGGATTTGGTTCGGGAGTGGGAGTGGGAGCAGTGAGTGGTGAAGGATCCTGCAGAAGTTGGTAGCAATCAGCGCACGTGGAACGTGCCAAGTGTTGTACATACCTGAGTGGCCTGAGCGGGTAGGAAATCCGGTGCGCTGGAACTTGCAGCTGCGGGTTCAGGGTTTGGGGACTGTCGAGCGCTTTGAGCGGAACGCTTGGTCACCTTGCCCCACAACTTTCGAACCGGCCCTGGAGGTTTTCCGGGGGATTCATCCCGTGAAGGCGGGAAAGAGGACGTCTAGAACGAGATCGTTGAACACAACCAGTACTTATATATAAGTGGAATGTTTGATACCTCAATTTCACTGGCTCCACTCTCCACTGGGGAATGAGGATTTGAGGGGCTTCGCCTTAGCCACGCGGTCCCAAAGGTCTTCTTCTTCCGAGGAGGATTCATCGTGTAAGGTTGAAAGCACCGCTGAGTCTCTGAGTCTAAAGAGGTCACTATGTGTAAACTTGGTAGTGGATGGCAAAGCCTAAAGGGTAAACAGACGCCTGTGCGCGTAATCGGTGACGTGCGTTTGGAAGCGCCCATCACTGGCAACTGCCGCAGTGACTATCATGTACCACTGGACTGGATGATCGATTGGCAAGGTGGAATCTTATCCAAAACCGTCACAGAGCTGCTCACGCGAGTGAAGGATAAAGTTTATTTAATCCTGGTAGCTACCAGCACATAACCGATTGCAGGCGAGCACATCATGATATCAGTAGATAATTGAATAATATTTCGGTGATGCGCCGTGCCTGCACCTTTATTTGTACATGCTTGCCAGTTCTTCGTGACGCACGCGCCGACGTCGAACACGATGATCTAGTATTGTTAGTAACTTTGCAGCGCCCATGACTGCGGCGCGCCCATCGACCTTTGCTGCAAGCACTAAGTAGGTCCTGGTAAGTGATTTCCTGCCCTTCACCCAACAAGTGCTTATGTTGCTCTTCCCCTCCTCCGTTAAACAATGTTCTGTCAACGTCCAGCAAGCTATCCGTTTTCTCGACATGCACCAAATTCCTCTAGATTTGGCACAACCCTTTCGGAGATCCTGCGGCAGCATGGCCAGTACGAACATTAATTGATTTCCGTACCTCTCTTCTGGTGGTGCAGATATTTACATCGGCTCTGTCACGTCCCATTACAGCCCCCCTCGCATCGGTCTTGAAAATTTCACGCTCTACGGCCATGAATGGTACTGGTGCCCTCCTAACCCTTGTAGGAAGTGATCGAACCAGTTGGGCATATTTGAGCTGTATGAATTTGGGTGAGTTTGTCGCATATAGATGGCCGGAGGGTAAGGCGATGGGCGTTGTGAACGTAGTTATTTCCTCGACGCTTGGGATGACATCCAGCGACTGAAAAACACCGTTTTGCACTTCTACTAGTAAGTCTACTACGTATGACCGGTTAATTATAGCTGGCTTCGCATCCCTTGCCATACCAGCCCCGGGGGCCTGGCTACCCCGTCCACAGACTTAGTCGTAGAATCCACGGAGCAACGTGTGCAAAAAGTGCACCGAGTACAACAAGGGTAAGGTGCTGCGCAAGGACCAGGAGGGGCAATGCAAAGAAAGCCCGCCACCCACTGTCAACACGCTCCGGTTCACCTTCCCTCGAGCGCTGACGAGCTCCTCACGCACAATCCATCATTAAAGAACGCTCAGGCTACACGCATCAGATAACTTGAAGGTGTTCTCGTTCCATGGCGGCCGCGGCGACCTGGAGTCCTGGACCGTTCAGATCAACGCCGACTGGTAGGCCTTCACAGCCCTGCCTCCTACTACTCACACAGAATGCATGATATCAATGGCTCCAACACTTGTTCGAGCATACTTATGTTTCGTGTCAGTGTTTTTCGATCAATACGAGATCTGACAATTACTACTACTTAGTACGCGTTACAGGTGCATTACACTTACAGGTACTCGGTTCCAGATTCTGGTGCAAATGATGCTTGTGTCAAAGGTCTTTGTCGTGCCCTCAGGCAGAACGTCGGGAACGAGACTGAGTACAATTCATGGTACAGATATACAGTAGATCACACAATGCGTGCCTGATTTACAACGCATATTTGGTCGAAACGTAGAGTCAAACTAGTCGAAGGAGTAATTGCAATCTCAACAGTATTGTTTCTGGTGCGACACTTCGCTATATGTTTGAGATGACCACGATGGCATCCATCTAGAATGAGGCACTGTTGATTTTTTCTGCGCGGAGCAGCTGGGCTCAGATCGCCGGCGGGTATATGATAGTGCTTAAGCGCGGCACCTCGACTATTTGATGTGCAGAACGCTGCAACATAACCCTCGGGCGCGGGTCCATTCGCACCGAGGAAGGGATCAGGACAAGCCGTTGACACGCATCGATCGTGTAGCCTGCCTCCCATGAACCTTGGTGAGACTTTGAACACCGCGTGATGTGTAGTGAACACTGAAGCAAACTCCTTGTTCATTAACCAAGGTAGCGCGCCTGCAATAAAATAAGCTAAATGATGTGATGCCTCTGTTGAGGACTCACCGATTTCTCTGAGTTTATCTGCCCTGGTCACAATGCTATCCTGGATGTCCTCGGTATTGCCAGCCAAGGGTTTGAATTTTGAGCTGGGTTCGGGAGTCGATGAGCCGGGATCGACGCTCGACTGATGGTTACCTGCCTGCCTGATCAATACACGGCAACGAGCTAGGATTTGTGATGGAAGCCGACGAGCTGGAGACAACTTGCTCAGGTTGGGGGCAGTGGAAACCTTGCGATGAGCTGGACTTGTTCTCGTCGTACCTCATCGTGATGTTATCAATGGCTGCGGCAAGCCCAGCTTTTGGCGACAACTCTGGTAAGCGTGTAACATTTGGCAACCTCACAGACTGGCTATCTACGTCCTTGTCCTTGTCCTCATCTTCATCCCCTTCATCTGCTTCCGTGCCGATATACAGATTTTTCGGCTACATTTTCTATTTAGTAATAGGAAGTCGTCACAATGTTATTTCACTTACTTCAGTGGCTCGTCTACGTGTGCTCGACAAGCGCCTGTCCACCCTCGATGCAGACGTGGACACGGAAGAATCTTTCAGTGCACAGGAGGCGTCAGGTACGTGCCTGGCTTTCACTAGCTTGACTTACCTTGATCAGTTCTAATGCGCTTTGGTGTACTGTTCAATATCGCTGGATGCGGTGCGTTTCGACATGAATTTCTCTGTAGTGTAAGTCTGCTACGACACACGCAACGATAACTATGCGAGAGTCTGAGGGGGAAAAGTACGATCAAGGTAGATAAAGTTGTGTAGAACAGAAAAGACCAGCTAATAGAATCAAGAGACTTGAAGCGCGTCTAACCGGTTGCGTTGGATCAGAAAACAGGTGGATTTCGATAGTGAATACGAGATACATGCCAGCCCAAGTACGAGTCCGAGTGGCTCAAGTATCATGATAATCAAAGGATCAAAGAGATAGCAAAATTCAAAGGAAAGATTGGAAATCATACCTGTCAAAGCGTGTGCAATGAGCCACAATGAGGTGTAACATGTGTGGTGATAGTGTGAACCTGTTGGTCGATCGGTGCAGTAGAGGAGTGCGACTCCTTACAGTAGTCTACTTGATCAATCTCGGATTATCGCGAAATCAAAACCTCACATACTATGCAGTTCAATTCGACAGTATGAAGCATCGTAGTCGAGGCTTAGTTGAACCTGTTAATGCGCAACATTTGCTATTTTAGAAGCTTATTAGCTAATAGATAATGCTTACACTCACGCTCATGCCGATCAGCATGGATATACGCCCGAAATTTGATTTTTTTGATAGCCTTGCAGTGACTGTTCACAACTCACATCTCCCCAAAATCATTGTGGAGCAGGATGAATATCTCCGAGATCCAGAGCTCTGAGACGCCAAATGAAACAACCACTCTTCTGAGTCAGACGAGGCAAAAGACTCCCCTCCCAAAACTGCAGATTGGCATATTGATGCTTGTTCAAATGGCGGAACCCATTGCCTCCATGTCAATATACCCGTACATAAATCCAGGTAAAATATCAAAAGCATCGTCATGAGGTTAAATTTGAATGTTTTCTCGTAGCTGATTCGAGAGCTAGGTATTACTGGTGGCAATGATGCAGCGGTCGGTTATTACGCTGGAATTATAGTATGTCGCGTCCTTTGAACACAACGGTCACAGACGCTGATGTGATTCCGATGTGGTGGTAACAGGAGTCACTTTTCTTCATCACAGAATCACTGACGGTATTGCAGTGGAGCCGTCTTTCTGATCGCATTGGACGTAAACCAGTCCTCTTGGTAGGTTTATTTGGAGTTGGCGTCTCAATTCTTTGCTTCGGTCTTTCGACTTCCTTCTGGAGTCTTGTTGTCAGGTCGGTCGATCTCGTTCGTCCGCGGGTTTGAATTGTCTCATTCGGTGGTCCAAACAGTCGTTGTATTTGTGGAATGCTAAATGGAAGTAGCGGGGTCATGAGGAGCATGATGGGCGAGCTTACAGATTCGACTAACATGGCACAAGGATTTGCTCTCATACCTATCACATGGTGCTTGGGGAGCTTTGTCGGGTGAGCCTTTCTCTCTGCGGCTATTGAATCCTCGTTCCTAGGGTGTTATATGTAGCTCCATCATGGGGGGATCTCTAGCGCGCCCTCAAGACCGTTGGCCCAATCTCTTTCCCGGACGATTCTGGGAAAAGTATCCGTATTTCTTGCCTTGCGCTACTGCTGCATCAGTTGTTTTCGCGTCATTCATGCTCGTTTTTCTCCTGAAAGAGGAATGTTAACCCTAAGTCATAATACAAGCTACAGTCATTGACCCTCATTTCAGACACTAGCGAGCAAGCACGATATACCTAGCGATACCGTAGACCATCCAGCCCCGGAAGAACCCAGGAGCAATGAATCACCCTCAGAGAGTATGGCCAACATACCTTTACGTTCGCTGCTCATTCCAAGCATCATGATCCCGCTCGCAAATCAAACTTTGTTCGCTTTTCTCGACATCTGTATCTTCGCTCTCATGCCCTTATTTTATTCCACCCCTAACTACCTCGGCGGTCTTGGATTCGCACCCCCTGCGATCGGTTTATGGATGGGGCTGTTTGGCGTCATGGACGGTTTATTCCAGACGCTGTTCTTCGCTAAGATCGTCGACCGTCTGGGTCCCAAACGCACCTTCTACATTGGTGTATCGTGTTTTATACCCATCATGATCAGTTTTCCAGTCATGTCATTGATCATATTCTCCCGAGGCGTTGATTACATAGTCACGATCGCACTGTTGTGCCAGCTCTCTCTGATAGTTATGTGGGACATGTCTCTAGGTGAGCGGTTTATCGCATATGCGCAGTCTGGATCTCATGCTCGCTTGTAATTCAGGGAGCATATTCATGTTTGTCACCGCATCAGCACCTGCTAAAAATGTTCTCGGCGCGGTCAATGGCATGGGGCAAACGACAGTTTCAATCGGACATGCAGTCGGACCCATGTTTGCTGCGTCCATTTTCGCATACTCGAAGGAACACAATATTTTGGGTGGGCACGCGGTATTTGTTGTTCTGTGCATACCCGCGATTGGAATGTTGTGGTTGGCGTCTTACCTACCCAAGGAGTTGCAGAATAGGGATGAGGATGCATGAAGCTCTTTGGCTTGCTCGCTTCGTGCAGTTATACCGAAGAGGAATGAACATGTATATACCTATGCTCTTATTTCCATCCATGAATGTACATAAATGATCCAAGCCCTTGTCGTTGATTACTTATTTTTTCATCTCATTCTACACGAGTCTTTTTCTGTCGAGAACATGATGCATCGATCAAGTATGGCGCTCACTGCAAATTCCTTCTCTCTTTTCCATAATCAAGAAGGACCGAATGTCTTCCCTCTACTTATAAGTATGGCCTGGCTGAATCACAGGGAATGATGATGACCGAGAGACATAGCTGACCAGGCGTGCTCCGAGCTCGAGTCACTAATGCGTCTTCCTCAAGTTGGAACTTGGAGAATCCCGCCGATATAAAGAACCTGACAGTAAGTCTATGGCTGTATCTATTCTGGATTTATTGTTGACCGAAGGCTTCATCAACAAGCTTATGGACAATGTAAATTTGTATACCGCTCGCGCGCCCGTCTGATGAGAGCGCATGTTTGTGCCGCGCGGAAGGATTTTACTTGCTTCCTCCTTTCCCCACCTATCCAGTGTCGTTAATTTCTTTAACCTTTCCTGAGCAAGTCCAGTCGACTATTCATGAGTCAGGCCCTCACCCTGCTGCCAACTTGAAGTCATGAACGTGAATATGTTTGTTTAGATCGCGACGACGAAAACTTCGACGTGATACCCCCTGACTTCCTAAGGTGTGCTTGTCACATCGATAAACCTACCAGCCCCTTTGTTGTATCCACAGGATAACGTCTTGAGCACTTCGCACTGGGATCGATTTTATGAAGATCATGCTAAAGCTAATGGACAAGGTCCATATGTACAAGGTGAAATCTGAAATACAATTGAGGCGTCAAAACATCATTCTGTAGGTTTTCCAATGTCATGAAACAAATGCCTGCTGAAACTCGTACTAGCTTTTAAGGCCACTCAACCTTTCATGGCAAGGCGCTGAAGCACTGAAAACCAGCTACCCTTTGGTATGAAGGGACCTAACCAACTGTGCAACCACGCAGCAACTGAGCCTACAAAATGCCATATTAATGATGGGCTGCTCAGCATTACAGTCATAAAAAAACGTGCCTTTCATTGGTCCCTGTGGTCCGAATCCAACTTTTAAAAGAACCCGACGAAGAATCCATGACCCCCCACCCCGAGGTAAGAAGACCGCCGCAATCTCAGGTAATAAGGGTGCCATCGCAGCAATCAAGAGGGTATTGGCTAGGTTGGGATGCTGTTCAATAAGGTCTCCTGTATCATTCAATTTTAGATCGTCAGCGTTCCAAGTTAAATACTCATGACGTACCCATGGTCACGGCAATGTGTTGAACACTGAACTTGAGAGAGCTGGTGTAACTTGTCAGAAGTTCTTCATTCCCTCCGTGCACGATAGCGACCTGTAAGAACTTCTCCTCCATACGGTCAAGGACCGTGCTGAACATGACTGTACGGTTTTCGTGACCGGGAGCCTGCTCAGGCGGCGGAAACACCTCTTTAAGCTCTTCAAATAGGATATCTACAGAGTCTTCGAATATGGACATGTCGAGGGGTCTGCCACTTTGTTCTGCGGCTGCAAGGACGACTTGATGAAGCGCAATAGCTGTGCTGGTGACGGTACCCACAGACTCCTTGAACTCTGTTATCTTTGCGGATGGATAGAGCTCCATGGCACGATGGAAGGCTTCATCGGTATTCAGACTGATCTGTATGACTTTGTTCCAGAAGGACTCTCCAATGTGTGAAGGCCTGTCGAGAATTGCTGTCGATAATGTCTGACATCAGGAAATAATTTTAAAACAATACATAGTCTCGGTTGTACTCACACTTCGCTGCTTCCCATCCTCTTCCTAGGATGTTCATGGTAAAAAGGATAAGAATGCGACATATATTCGCTTAGAATCAGCATTGTGGTATAACGACAAGGACAGACGAGTGGTGGTGTTGATTCAGTGGTTCAAGTTGGACCTACAAGGACCTACATTCACCAAGTTTAACTTATGTAAGTAACGAGCCTTTTGGAAGCATGAGGTTGCCTTGAGGCTACATGCGGCGCGCGCGTTGCGTGTTCAATCTAGATTCTATATTCGAGAGTACACAATTGAGCGATTTCAACGTAGCGCGTAGTAGTGGTAGGTAGAAATTGCTGCAGGGATGTAGAGAAGATAATATGATTGTCAATTCAAATTTAAACTTCAATTTGAAAATGTCCGATTGATAGAAGGACCGACTATCTTCGGGGAAACCAGCCATTGGAGTACAACAACAGACTCCCCAAAAAGAACGTGTGACGGGGTCTAAAAAGAGTACAGCAGTTCAGACGCGGTTGGGAGATGTCCCCCACTAACGTGAGAGTCGGGAACCCATGTTCTTATTTCCATCCACGAATGACTACATATATAAATGATACAAGCCCTTGTAATTGATTACTTCTTCTTTCATCTCATTCTACACGAGTCTTTTCTGTCGAGAACATGATGTACGTGGTGATGGGGGGATATGTAAGGTGCGCGTGAGGGGGGGAGGGAAGGAGGGGGGCCCAAGGATGAAGAACAAGTCCCGAAAACACAAACAGGGTAATACGCAGTTGTACGTGGTATCTAGTTCGTATCGTAAGCAAGATGGATAAAAACGAGCGCACACGGTAATATGGTAGTGTAGTGTAAGAATGAGTCCGTGCGTAATACGGTGTCTCGGGCGCTTGTACACTGCTGACTTGCCCTCTCTATGGGGGCGGGGGGGTGGAGATACCTATGCTGCGCTATACAAGAACAGGTTGTTCGTTGCAGCGATCTGATATGAAAGGATCAGTACATAGACCAAGGCGCAGAGGAACAATTAGGCAGCGCAAAAGATGACGGTGCCAAGGCCGAATCATGGTTTTAGTATGCAAAATAGCAATCAGCAAGACCAGCACTCACAGCAATCGTGTTCTCTCGTGGATGCCAGCTGGCATGCAAGATCTTCTTGTTAAAGTCCTAGCGTGTCTGTTTGCATCGCGTCCCGCAGTCCGCCGGGCCGCGGGCCGTTCTTGAGCCCGTTCTTGCCGGCAGGCACGCCGATCTTCTTGGCCTTGAAAGCAGACTTGTCCGCCTGCAGCACCACATCATTCGGCGAGTCCGTGTCAAATATGCGGAAGAAGTTGTGGTACGACCCCGTTAGCACGTGCCTACGTCGCATCAGTTAGTATTGTATCAGAAGATATCAAAGGATCGGTTGGATAGAAAAAGGCATAAAGGATAGGACAGAAGGCAGAGGAGCAAAGGCACGAGAAGAGTAAACACGCACTTATCATCTCCACTCCATACACACTCAAACTTATCAAAGATGCAGTCGTTCTCATACAGATCGCAAAGCTTGCCGCGGAGGTGGTCGTGGATAGGAATCGTCTTCACAGGGCGCGACTCCATATTAATGTCCCAGATCTTGAGGGAGAGATAATCGCGCGACAAGATATACCGCCCGTCATGACTGAACTTGACATCAGATATAGAAGAGATTATCTCGGAGAAGAAGGATCGGGATGTTGGGTCCTCTTCTTCTTCGAAGCCTGCACGTGATTTGATGTAAGGGGCTAAAGGGTTACGGATTCAAATCAGGCACACACATTTTGCATGTCGGTCGCACAGTGCAGAGTCACGCATGTCTGCAAGCTTGATATTGCTTTTTGAGCTCGAGTACATGAATTGGTTGCAGTGCTGCGGGTGGAATTCTGCTGCGGTGATAACTTCTGTGAGTTCTTCCATATTCACGGGTTTGATATCCACGATATCTGATGGTCATGAGCGTCTTATCCAGATAACGGCAGTAGAGAAGACTTACTAAAGCTCTGATCACTGATGCTGAGGTTCCAGAGATTAATGCGTAGATCGTCTGCAGAGATGTAGGTTTCCTGATCGGAGTTGACGGATATGGAGTGGATATGGTAGGCATGAGCATTGGCGTATACTTTGCGCGGAACTGCAGCGATAATGTTGTCCTGTGGTTGCATGCGGGGAAGCTTGAGATGGGAGGCAAGGCTTGGCGGTGGAAGGGCACGATGGCCATCGAGGTGGTTTGACTCGGAGACAACGCGGATGCTCTTCTCAAATATCTTCCAGAGTTTTATGGTCTTGTCTGTGCGTGAAATTAGTCAGGAGTGTAAGGAGGGAAAGGCGAGGCGGACCGTTGGTAGAAAGTAAGAAATGGGCGGTATTCTGTCGTCTACACCACTTGATCTTGTTGATCTTCTCCTCGATTTCAAGAGACTTTAGATAGTCAAACTCGGGTTCGTGTGACTGAAACTCTGTGTAAAACTTGTACTCGCAGCCTCTTTTCTATCGATCGCGTGGCGTAATCAGGGTTAGGATATGGGATCGATGGAATATGGATGATACTCACGGACTCATTGCGCTCGAAGAGAACTACACGGCCACCCTTGTCACCAGTGGCGAGGTAATTTCCTGTTGCATCGAACTCGACTGTGGATATGATGTCGGCTGCGGTGTCCCATCGATGCGGGTCAGTTGAACCAGAGAGTCGATCAGAGTGGGTGCACGGACCTTCTGTGATGTCGTCCACTTCACCCTTGTCACCGAAGCATTGTGCAAAGCGCCAGCTACCAGAGCCTGATGGGTCGATGTCCATGATTGTGGGGTGGCTAGAGGGGGTTCGCTGGTTTGTGGTAAGAGTAATGAAGACTTGATTTTTGATCTAATTCTGATTTGAATACCGCAGATAAAAGATGGATGATGAGACTGTAGAAGGGTTAGGGTGATACTGCTCTTTAATGCGGTGTCCAAGTACGCTCGCCCTCATGGATGAGGCCTTTTGTTGTGCTCTTGTTTGGCCATATCCACTCCCGGCTTGCACCGTAACACTCAACTCAACGTTCTCTAAGCTCTTTTTATACAACAATGCCTATTGCACCTATCACTGGCAGACTTAGGAAGAGACTTTGGCTCGACCTCTCCGTCGCCCTTGGTCTCGGCGTCACTTCTGCTTATGCATTCTGGTAAGTAGAGTGCTTTATTCGGCTTCTCAAAATATGCTCACACATACGAATAGGTACGGCACACACCTTAAGGCTGGTATGTCTGGGTAGTTAAGGCTTTTTGTTCGTCAACACTGACTTGTTACAGTGCAAAAACAGGAGGAGTTCTATCTGAGGTTGGAGCGGGCAAGAACGCAGGCACAATGATGAGCTGGTGGTGTGCATGGTCGAATCATTTCGCGCATTAGTGTATTACGCCGAATGCAAAACCTCTATCCCCGCATAAATAGACTGTCCTTTGGAATCCTTGTCACCCGTGTCTATCCGTCGATATAAGCTCCCTGGGTTTTATACCCGCATCCACATAGAAGGAACGACCACATCTTCATTCTACCTACGGGAGACTCGTATGTACATGAATACAAAGAAAGTCGGACGAAAAAGTTGTATTTCGCGATGCCATCTACATACTACAACAAAATGTCTGGCGCGATCAAAACATCCCCCGATAAAAATGACAGGCAGATGATCTGTTGCGCCAAGATACGATGTATCTCGTTTTCGCCGTGTTGTTTAACGCCAGTGCCACGAGAGAGAAATGTGCAAAGACGTAGATAATCACGGCAGTTCATATACACACCAGGAGACAATGCAGCAAGATGGCCACGTCGTAAAGCAGTCTGAAGAGTCCGTCTTCGAAAGCTTAAACGACGGGGACGTCAAGACGGTCAAAGTAATCGAGGTCTTGATGATACCGGCCGCAAAGTTTGAAGTAGACCAACATTGTTTACATCTATTTGTTCTGCTCATATAACAATCTATTGGTCCAGCAGGTTCCAACTACTTGCTAGCAAAGTACAGCGCGCTTCAACTTGAAGGGCAGGATGAGTGCTAGGAGCCATAAAGGGTTCAGCTCATCGCATGCCATCCCTCCCAATCCCACCTTTCTCGACTTTCCAAGATCTGACGGTGACCCCAGCAACTGGCCTACAAACACTACCTTTGCTGTCGACAGCGAGGGCCATGTAAACTACATGCGTGTGGCTGCCCTCGATGAATCGTTATCGATCAAATGGCGGGTCGAAGTCGGTGCATCCCTCGCCACAAAGCTCAACATGGCCCGTGAGTACTAGCTTCTTATGACCTGGGCCACCGATCATTCATCTCGTTCTTTCTACACCAGAGGGCAACTATGTTTTGCAGGGATGGCCACAGGGCTATCAGATGTACGACCACAACAAGGGCCCCAAAGATAACCCTCGTCACGATGCTTATCTTATAGGTGAGCCGCTCTTCTCCCATCAACGCAATTAGTTGGCTAGCGTTAACCTACCGAAACGCTAGGTTCCTACCCATGCCAAACGCTTCCGTTCTGTCCCAGAATTTATTCCACACGCCCTATGGCTGCTTACAGACCCCACACTTGACCGCAGTAACTGCAACTGCAAATATTGCAATAAAAAACCCCAACGTGAAATCACTGCCTCTATGGGCCTCCTCCCCAGGCGCGGCGGCTCCACGCCCTCTGCCGCAAACACGCCCCACACGAACAGTTCCTCCAGTCCCTAGATTGAAACGGCAGCCCCAGCCACTCAAGGAAAAACCAGCTCGGGATCAAGAGAAAAGCACTCGCGACAAGGAGAGATTTAGACCATATTTCGGTGTGCGTCGCGCACCAAAACCTGTCAAGCAGCCCGCACCAAAGCAGAGCATGCTCAGGGAGCGTCACGCCGACTTGAGCTGCGCCTACGGCCCCGAAGTCAAAGTTCGCCGATGGTTCCGTGACGGTGAACTCCTCTGGTGTGCATTGGACACCCCGATCGAGGGTCCCAGCGGCCCGGGCGGAGAAGATTCCATCTTTTTCTGGCCAGGAATTGTCGAAGAGACGAGAATGAAGCCTACACCCATTCCAAAGGATATAGAGATGGGTGCTCTTGGCGGACCATCTAATGTACCAAACCCCAACTCATCCAACTCCGACGAGGAAGTGCCTTGGATCATCCGACACGATCTTTCTTATAAGATGAAGCTCCTTGGTATTTCCCATACCGTGTATATTTCAGATCAATGTGTTCTTCCATACCAATCAGTCGCCCCTTCAGAGGAGCTTATACAAGCTATCCATGAGGTATCTTATGCTGGACCTCGACCCAGACCCCGTACGCACTTCCACATTCAACCCTTACGCCACCTCTCGGGAAAAAATCCCCTTTGCAAAAGCAGCAGCTCCGTACGGCATTGCGCTCCAGATCGGCGCAAATATCTCTGGGTATTGGGCACCTACGGATGACTGGGAATTCAAATTCACCCTCGATCACCCCAACACCGGTCCGCCAAGATCAGCCAGCATACACCAAAGCCTCGATTCAGTGATGAACTTGAGTATGGCCTATAACGCTAACCTTGCATCCATGGTGGCGCCCTCTGGCTCCGGCTCTCACACGCCGAGTATCTCTGCACCAATGCCTCCGCTGGTACTGGGTCAGACGATCGTGCAGACGCGCTACCAGGGCTTGTGGTGGGGCGCAGAGCGCATTTGGACAGACGAGCTCGTTCGGCTCAAATTCTCGCGAGGGCAGGTCGCTCCCAAAGGAAATGACTGCATCAATGCGCCCGCTGGTCCAAGCAGGAAGGCGCGAGCGTACGCGGAAGCTACGAGCGGCCAAGTCGGCGGTGCCGAGGGGCGGGGCGTATTCATGCGCATTGAAGGTTTGTTCGTCGCGGATCCGCCGAGTGGCAGGGGATCCAAAGTCTGCCATGCAGTGGGGACGCTGTACGAACTCGTAGATGAAGACTGGGATGAAAACCTGGACAGTTTAGAGATGGTGGTTGGGAAGGGTAAGGGTAAGGCGGCCGAAAATGGCAGTGCAAGCTTTGATGGGACACCTGCGATGGATGGTGTACCAGATGAACTCTTATTCATGACTGGTCCATCCCCACTGAGACCGCCGCCACTCGCAAACCCAGATCCAGCGGTGCCCATTGAAGGCACGACAACAGACGTTCTCTCACACAGTAATATGGCTGGCGCGCAGTCTGTCTCCGCCTCTTCCGCACCAAAACGTGATGCGAATAGCGCACTCTCGCATCCAGTCCTGAGTTCCTTCGTATTGCCTAAGGCGCCCGATGGGTTCAAGTTCCGCCCCATCATGAAGCCAGGCACTGAGATTGTCGTGGATCTGACGTGGATCGCGGGGCGGTACTACCCAGGCCTGCTCGAGCACCGGCTGCTTGACAGGCACGTCGAACGAGCGCTTGCCGCGGGCGGGACGCAGTTGTGGGCGCTTGAGGGTCTGACGGCAGGGTGCTATAATGCAATGGACCCGACGAAATGGAAGCCTACGCGCACGGCGATGGTGCGGGAGGCGGATAGTGGTGCGCGGGTGGCGCTAGAGGCGCACTGGAAGAACAAGGAGAAGGAGCGTCAGGAGGCGAAGCTACTGGAGGATACGCATTTGCCGCCGGTGGTGCTGTCGGGAATGGATGATGGTGCAGGGGGATCAGGATCTAATGGTGTTGGGGCTACTGCGCCGGGATCAAGCGGTGATGGGCAGGGTTATGTAAACGGCAACGAGGAGAGAATTGAGTGGAAAGCCCTTGCGAATGGGATGCTGGAGGACAATGCGATGTCTGTTGATTAGTGAGCTGGTGACTGTACATCTTTATGTTCCTTACTTGCCATACAAGTACCACTGATAATTTGTTTTCACTGTGCTATCGTAGGCTATCATGGAATGTACCATACGTGGAGAGTCCGAAGTTACCCACAATGAGTGCACCGCATTGGATTTCGTCAAGAGCAAGGGTTGTCGTTTATTCATCATTGACCGACTGGCAAGCACCGCTTGGCGTTCCTTCCGAAAGCTATGTTCGTAGTTGTATGCTTGAGACCCTGACAAACCCCCTTTCACCGCAACTTCGCCGTGTCTTGACTCTGTACACACGCGCCCTCAGATGACCGCAGCGCTAATTTTCATTTGTACAATTACAGGTAGGTATGTCTTCTGTTCGCATCAGCTTTCTTGACTACTTACATTTGGTATGTTTCCAAGTATTTGGTGGTTATTGTGGCGCAGTCTGAAAGGCCCCTATCTCGCTTCTTTCAAGTCACAGCTCCCACATAGCTCCTTGAAACTTGAGCTTTCCAATACACTGTGTGATATTTTAGTGTTCAAGAGTCTGACTGACATGCAAGATGCTGAAGCGCAGCTTACAGTCCAAGTCCTGAATATCTTGACATCGACATTAGCACCTCATTGTCATCTGGTTCTCAATGTAGATGCTGAAGTTATTGCTTACAGCAAATTGAAAAGCTTCACGGCTGCTTTGACCAATGGTCATACGTGGCATTTCTTCACAGCTTATGGTGGTGGAGATCAACTTCGAGTCTACAAATCTCAGAAATGCGAAGCAGACAGGCACAGTGGTCTCATCATTGAACTTTTGAAGGACACGGTGATTCGAGTTTTTGTGCCTGAGGCTGGCCATCCTGCTGATACAATGTTTAAAGATTCTCTACCCCATGTCTCCTATGTGTACAACCGATTTTACCAATTCCCTAGCACATCGAGAAACAGTGCATTAGGTCGTTTAGGTTGAAGATTGGTGATGGCAAGTTGCCTGCCTTATGTACCCTATAGTTGCATATTGGGCCCTGACTGAATTCGTTTATTTTGGATTACTAGTGAGCTTCGAGTGCTTTTTATCCGTCACCAGCTTGTTGGCAACTAGATACCCACTAGTCCACATCAGCACACTCGCGACTGTTACTGAAGCCATTGATATCGTCATACAAGATACCATGAGGTCGGTTCAATTCGCCGCTTCACCATCCTTGCCGCTGTCGCTGGAGTAAAAGTGCCAGTCTGCAATAATGTGCGCTGCTTGCGCACCAGTGACTGCAGAGACAGGACTGTACCTGTCTCCGACGGTGGATGCTGGACATGCTGGACGAGCAATGTCACAGATTTCCTACCTTCATTTCGATATAAAAATTGCACAAGAAATCTGTTCGCCTTCGGACGTGTGTATGGTGATTGGAGCACTACGTCGGCGGTCTTCTTTGCCTGTCCACATCAGAATAGTCAATACCCGTTTTCTTAAAAATAGGCGTTCAGTCAACTACTCATGCGTCGGGTCCATGCAACGTGATAAATCAGGGCGTACATGTTTCAGATGCATTGGACTTGGGATGGATTCTTGCATTTCACCTTAACGATGCGTATGCCTGGTCAGGTCACCTATATCTCGTAGTATGGCCTAGGTATGCGACCATCGACCCGATATCGACATCATCATTTTCATAATCCTTGGCGACATGTGCTTGGGTTGGCTGCGACGAGCGTTGACCTGGGTGAATGTGGCACTCGACGGTACCAATTCCATGCAGATACAAGATTTTTCCAGAGTAGCGGCGGGTTATCGCACGGCCCTACTAGTACTGCCAGGAAGTTACCCCCCTCAAAGCCCTATAGACCTCACGATGAATTATAGTTCGAGGGTGTTCACCGAGAGTAGATAAAGCAATTGAGGAGACCTCACAGTTGCTGATCTTCTAGAGTCCCGAGGCGTTGACGTGGATGTTCATCTTAACTATTGAGGAGAACACGCCCATCAAGACAAGGAGTCGTCCTAGCGCGCTGGCACTTTACTTTGATAGGCCTTATTAAGGGAGACAAGAAGAGCACAGAGTTGAGTTACAAAGTGTATAGGCTACTAAGCTAGCCTAGTAGGCTAGTAGTAGCGCTTACTTGCGAAGCTTAGCCTAATAGGCTATTATTGATATTATCATTTATCAATGATTGTTTACCTACATAAATATTGATTACTCTACGGAACACTACGATTAGTACTTACGCTGCCTACACGCTATTCACGAAATTTCAGAGGACAAGAAACGCCAAAGTTAACGTCCGTAACGTCGTCAAGCTTCAAATTTCGAGGCTGTTTGTTGTTCGCTTTGTGGTTGGATCCATTGACCGTGGCGTTCATCTGGCACGGCGGATCCTCAAACCGCGGCATCAGCTAACAGCCAGCAGCTGCAATTCACAATAGCCGTTCATAGTGGACTGTTCACGGTAACGAACGTTCATGATGGCCACTCTTCTTTCACCAGCCGTGTCCATGAACACTACCGACTCAACCCCGCTCTCCCACTACCATTCTCTCCGACCGTCCCCAACACCATCCTCAAGTGCTTCATCATCAAGTGGCTCTTTGAATCGCGCAGATGAAGGTCCGTCATTCCGTCCTTCTTTCCGCTGCCTCGAGGCAGGTGTTTACGGCAGGATAGAAAATCTCACCATCACCGCGTCGCGCTCGTTGCTCGCGAGAAACAAGGGGAAGCGAAAGAGCAACGAGTAAGTTCTCTTTCAATAGACTTTAGTCAGGGTCGTGACATGACACGCGCACAGGGACATCCGTCTCCTCGCCATCTCTACACATATCACCGAACTTTCCTACAGTATATCAGACATCCAGACGCGTATATTTGGTACGCGACTTCTAATCCTCATAATCCGTTTCTTACTCACAAATCCACAGAAATACAGGAACTACGACACAAGTCTCAATCCTCAGGCGATGCAGCAGCCACGACCATTGTCATCGACAAAGCTCTTGTGACTCTTGACGAACGCCTTGAGGCTGTTGCCCATGGCATGAAATCAGTGTCTGAATCTGTCGCCCCCCTTTCAGAACCAGGCCAATGATACCCCGGACTCCGAACAAGCTATACTGATCCGCAAGCATGCAGTACTCGTCACCGAGTGGGAATCCGTGCAGAGCGAGACAGATGTTCTCAGGGAAGAGTTGAAAGAGGATAAATGGCTCACTGTATTCAGAACCGTCACTGAACAGGCGGACGGAATGATGGGGAGCTTGGAGAAGGCAGTCAATCGTTGCCAGGTGTGTTCACGTCTTATTGAAGTTTGTATTACTACGCTAATACGGCCCAGGATTTTATTTGGCAAGTACACCGGGGAGGTGCAGACGATTCACACTCCCAGTCATCATACAGGGGCTCACTTAGCTCTGACAAGAATCCCCTCGGCATCGAGGTATTCAACGAGTTGCTCAGCTCGTTCGAAGCGAAGAAAAAGTGAAGTTTCTCCTTTCGCATTATACTCCGTCACTCACGCTTTTTTAGGCACTACGTCCCAGCCACGTCCAAGGTCCTTGCGATCATTGACAATGGCGTGCAGAATCGTGTCACAAAGAATGGGGAGACGCTCCGGCGGCATGGAGAATCTGCTAAGAGGTGGCGTACACTCAAGGAGCGGATGGCCAAGACGGAGAAGGAGATGGAAACCGTGCGAAAGATCCTCATGGGTGGTGATATGGCTGTAAGTGAAACGACTTCGACGGCATCCGGGTACACAGCGAATGGGTATCTTGCAACGCCTTCGAATCGCGCTTCGAAAGACCGTGCACCGAGCCGAGCTACAAGTTCTACGGGCGCTCTTTCGCGGAGCATATCACCACTGAGGAAGTTTGCAAGGAAAATCGCGGGTCATGTACGCTCGCCTCCAGCTCCCGTCACTCCCTTGCCTGTATCACGGGAATTGTCGTCGGTGTCAAGGGACTCTTCACAATCACAGGGTCCTTCATCAGAGCCAGTTAAGACGCTACGACGACAACGTACCTCAATATTCTCATTCAATCGCAATGCCAGTGGTGCCCCACTTACACCAGAGAAGGGACACAAATATAGCCAGAGCCTCACTCCCGAATCCTCACCGGCCTTCAAACGCCTTGACCGTATTGACGACCCGAATTCAACCATGAAACCGAAAAATTCGAAGCAGCCGTGGAACAGCTCAACGAAGGTGGAGTCGCCAGACCCTGTGGCGACCATTAAGCCCACTCCTCCAAAGCGGCCGGATGTCAAGTCTGTCCTCACCCCTGGATATGGACCTCTTGTACCGAGCACGCCATCACGAAGGAGCCTCAGCCGTAGTTCAAATGCGTCTTCACGACCTTGGTCTCCTGTTACTTCCTCTGTATCCACAAACCCTTCTATACCTCCTCTTCCATCTCTACATCCACCATCACGAGCTCAAACACCCAGTCTTGGGACGATACCACGTCCAAGACCTAAGACCCCAAGTCATATCCCCGCCCCCGCACTACACTGGCGTTCCGTATCTGCACGGCAGCCTGATGATGACGAGGAGGAGCTCACGACACTGATGCAGCGCGCATTTTCGCCTCCACATAATACCTCTCCAAGCGCCGCACGTTCGTACACCCCAAGCGGCGTACGCATACCCCCACCTCGCCCTCCAAGCCGATCACAGATACCCCTTCCCAGCGTGCATGTCTCCTTCGAATCCCGTCCCTCATCAACAATGTCGCACTATCGCTCCCAGAGCCCCCTGACCCCAGGGTCCCTCTTCAGGGCGCAGACGCCCGAATCGACACTGAAAGCAAAAGCCCAGCAGCTCTCGTTCTACACAGGCGCAGGAAACAACGGGATGCGTGCATCCGCGCGGCAGGTTGTCTCAGGGAAGCTCCCGCCCTCGTCATTCCGCGATTCGTCGACGACTCGGACGCCCAGCTCGCGTCCGGGGTCGCGGTCAGGGTCATACACGCCTATGGAGCGCGAACCGATGCACTTGTACGTCCCTGCGAGTGACAAGGACCCACTTGACGTGGAGGTGGCGGCGATCGTGAATGCGATCCCGCACGGGCTACTTATTGAGCGTGTAGACCCACCGCTGAAGGCGTCGCCGAAGGAGGGGGAGGAGATTAGGGCGTCGTATGCGTTTTCGAATAGTTTGAGTCGCAAAGTGGTGACGTGTAAACTGACGACGCTGTCGCGTTCTGGGGCGAGGGGGAGTGGGATGACGAAGAAGGTTATGTGTCGAGTTGGAGGCGGTGAGTGTTTGGTTTGGTCCCTTTACCGGTGTAAGGTGTTAACATGGATCTTTGCAGGCTGGCAAGATTTGCAGCTCTACATGCTCAACCGTCAGGCCGGCATATAGACATGATACGAGGAACGGTTACTCATGCATCAGACCTGAATTATTTCTTCACTTTTTCATTTCATCAATTACGATCACAGAACGGTCGCACGTAGAGAATCGCTAGTTGCACAACAAGTTTATTGTATTGCATCATGATTATATCCTCATGTTCTTTAACGTTTGTGCAGTTTCATCTTTCTTGTTATCTTGGGGTTTAGTCACAGCTTGCTATTGAATTGCTATGATGTCTAGTTTACGCAACGTTTACTTATGTGACGATGTTGGGTTCCCACCTATGGTCGACTTCGCGAAACGTTCATTGTCAGAATTCAAGTGCATGCACTCCGACTGACTTCGAGAATCGACTGCATTGAAGTCTCCTTCGATTTTCTTCGGTTCACGGCAACACTAGAATCACGCTATTCGATTGTTGGTTGCCTTGACTTCAGCTTCTTCACGTACATCGCGCGTCACTTCCGGCACAGAAATTCGACGTTCTCAGTGAGAACCTTCACAATACGCGGTTTGTGCTGATGGTCGCTGGTCCCTAGTAGGGTTGCCATTATGGCCGCGAAGCCTCTCGCGTGCCGAAACGGCTGTACGAGCATGGGTAACAGTACTAGTGACTCACTTGCCTGTAAGTATCGTCGTTCCAAGGCAAGAGTGGCTTAATCATGTTTGAAGTTTGAAGCACTAATTATATGTAGTACTTAAATGCACTGATTCAAGCCAGAGATTCAAGCATACCGTGAATTCGATGTCCCAGGCTTTGGACCCGGAGTGGTCAATTCCCGGATGTCCTCAATCTGGACATACTTTTGGTTTTCATCCTACCCGCCTAGCATAAAAACCACGCGTTTCAACGTTTCAACCCAAAAAGTGAACCCCCAAGAAAATTAACCTCTGTCCAACCACCCCCTTACATGTACTACTGGCGTGCGACGTCGTCTACGATGAAAAACTAGTGAATGCTATAGTAGGCATAAATTAATTTTTCATCGTACGTACGGTCTCCACTCACGTCTTGGGTCATTGATACTTTGGCTGAATCATCACGTCCAAGAGAATACACTGAGTCGAAGACTCTGACGGTAAGTACATTTATCTGCTCAAAGTTTGCCGTCGAGTTGACCATCGACCACAAGGAATTTGCAGCGCAAGGTAGGTGTAGTATTGACGCCTCCTGGTCATAGGCTAAATCACGTTCACAGCGACGCAGGCTGCGTTCAATTGTCACTACAAGAGGGATGCTCACCGCACCCGTCAACGCTCCATCGACCAGGTGTACGAAGAACACAATGTACAGATATTCAGACGCGTTCAATGCCAACAATAGACGCATCCGCGGCCTTGCCGAAACGCGTGAAATGCTACTCACTTCGCCAAGGCCGCGGATGCACTGTCCATCGTTGACGATGAGTGTGCCTGGTCAGCTATGTCTCCTGGTATGGCTTGGATGCCGAGTTCCGACCATCAGCCTGACATTGACATCATCACTCCAATCATTCTTGGCGACAAGTGCTTGGGTCGCCCAGTGATGAGTGCCACATTCATTCAAGTGAGGATTCGACGGAAAAACGCTCGAGCGGTGAGCTAAAGTTCTTTTCCGACGACAGAGTCGATGCCCATTGTTTACACTTCATTGTCAGCATAGTAGGTTTGTGGGCAGCCGGCCAGATATTACTCCGGCAACGAATCTCGGCTATCCGGAGAGCATGGAGTGTTACCATCGTTCGCGAGAAAGTCCCCTCGCCCAACACTCAAAATATCTCATCCTCATAAACTGTTTCATTGATGGTTGCTCATCGAACGTATGTGGCGTGATAGAACCAGATGAGAAGAATCTCTTCGCTGGTTTTCTGGGATTGATGGGGATGTTAATCAATAAGACTCAAAACCTTACAACATCAGGAAATCATAAGTTTAAAAGTAAGGTGAGCTGGTGCGCCAGAATAATTTGAAGCCGTTCTGGCGCGTTGACTCACTCTGCCCTGACCCAGAAGGAGCCACTATCTGCCTTCTATTGGATCTGACTATCGGAGACTCACCCTGACAGGGAAACCCATTGGTGTATGTATGAAGACAAGCGCCCAACCAGAAAGTCGGAAAATCACATAAGAATATTTTCAAGTCGCAGAATGTGATTCACGCACCGATGTAAGAAGAGGAGATTAGGGAATTTTATCGAAGGAAGGTTGTGTGTTGGGTTGGTGAGCATTTGATGTCGCTCTGTATTATTGGAAATGTCAACAAGCATGAAGTTCGATAGACTTGGTAAAGCACGTTTATGGCATACTCAATTGCGAGTACGACATTCGCGGAGTTAGACTTCGTCACCGCGGCATGAGATGTCTTTCGTATGATTATTAGCATGTTGCTTCCAAATCAGCGAAGAAAAGTTCGGGGTGTGCGGGGCCGCTTCAATCAGCCTATAGTGTTTGTTACGGTTATCCTTTTCCCCTAAACCTCGTCACTGTCACACCATGTCACACTCTTCACATTTCACATCTTCACACCTTCACATGCTCACTCTTCTAATACGTGTACTTCTAGAACATTCTATCGTACGATTCCTTTTCTCTTTTTCTCATTGGCTCATTACTATTAAAGCTCCGCTTCTATTATTCATTCGCCGACTCAATACCTTTATATATACCTCGTCTCTACCGCTTGTACTCTTTAACTTGACCTACGCAGACCAGGACCTGCAATACTACTGCTTTACTCGCACGACTCTAACACTAGGGTGTTAGCTAGAACTTTCGACTACTTTTGATTACTGCTAAGACGTCTGACGACGCTGAGCGTAACAAAAGGTCAAGTTTCTTTTCAGACCGCCTGTCCTACGACCTCGGCGACCATCCACGAACCTTGAACTAAGCATCCGCGGTATCATACTGCTGTTGCTGACCGACTAGCCAAGACGGCTACTCGAGGGAAACATTATCCCGGCTTTAACTGGGACGAATCATTAGGAACCTGGACTGCTCCAGACGTTGACAACAACTACTTCACTATCCACCAGTGGAGGACGTTTAGAAACAAGACCGCGAAGAAAGGAACGCACTGGGACTTCGACACCCAATCGTACGTTGATAACGACTTCCCCGAGACCCCACTCGTATCCCCCACTCCCGCACAAGCACCACTTCCCCCTGTTAAAGAACCTCTTCCCCCAGCTCTACAACCTCCCCTAGACGACTCAGACTCCGAACCAGAACCAGACTCTGACGACGACGACATGGCCAAACTCATCGGCAATGTTCCCCCTCCCTTTAACGGCGACACTCGCGCCGCAAAAGGATGGCTACTACAGGTAGAAGCCTACCTCGACATCAACGACTCCGTCTACACGATCGACAAACAGAAGATCGTCTTTATCCTGTCACTCATGACCAAGGGAGAAGCCGCTAAATGGGCGGAAGGGCAGTTCAAGAACGCCAACGCCTCCAAAGCATACGGCACTTACGAGAACTTTCTCGAACAGTTCAAGAAGACGTTCCACCCAAAGAACGTCGTGGACACAGCGATCCGTCGCATCTCCACTTTGAGACAAACGGGAAGCGTCCCCGCCTACACTTCCATATTCCGTACCATATTAGCTGACACAGGTATTACTGAAGAAAGTATGAAGATCATGTTCTTTAGGAACGGTCTCAAGAAAGAAATAGTCAACACGATACTTAACTTCGAGAACGTACCCGCTACCATAGATGACTGGCTTGAAAAAGCCCTAGAAGTAGAGTCTCGTCGTAGCCTTACCGCACCTACTAACTACAAGTCCCGCGATCCTTACGCTATGGACATAGATAGGGCAGAAGTAGAAGAAGAGGATGGGGAAAGACACGCGAGGAAGGCTTACCTAACCCCACAGGAGAGAGAGCGCAGACGCAAGAGAAGGCCATGAACGATTTTATCGACGAGAACCTTGCTAAAGGTACCATCATCCCCTCCGAATCCCCTCAATCATCTCCATTCTTCTTCGTCGGGAAGAAAGACGGTTCACTCCGACCCTGCCAGGATTATCGTTATCTGAACGAACACACGGTTAAGAATAACTACCCACTTCCGCTGATATCCGATCTTATAGATAAGCTCAAGAACGCGAAGATCTTCACCAAGATGGACATCCGATGGGGATACAACAACGTCCGACTCAAGAAAACCGATCAATGGAAAGCGGCCTTCGCAACGGCAAGAGGACTCTTCGAACCCACGGTAATGTTTTTTGGCATGTGTAATTCGCCAGCCACCTTCCAATCAATGATGAACGATACGTTCGGAGATATGCTCCAAGAAGGATGGCTAATCATCTATATGGACGATATACTGATCTTCTCAGACGACTTCGAAACCCACCAGAAACGAACTCATCGCGTACTAGAAAGACTCCGCGAACACCGCCTTTATCTCAAGCCGGAGAAGTGTACGTTCAACGTAGAAGAAATAGAATACCTCGGCATGATTATCAAACCGGGATCGGTAGCTATGGACCCGGCTAAACTGAAGGGAATCTCCGAATGGGAAACCCCGAAGAAAGTCAAAGAAGTCCGATCATTCCTCGGATTCGCTAACTTCTACCGTCGTTTTATTGCTGACTACTCTACCATCGCACGTCCACTTATAGATCTCACGAAGAAAGATATGCCGTTCGAATGGAACGAAGAACGCGACTCCGCTTTCCGAAAACTGAAAACCATCTTCACGTCCGCTCCTATCCTCCAAATCCCCGATAGACACGCTCCATTCGCCATCGCTACTGACGCGTCCCTATATGCCACCGGCGCAGTACTCCTTCAAAAAGACTCAAATGGCGAATGGCTCCCCTGCTCTTACCTCTCCCAATCATTCGCCCCCGCCGAACGAAACTACCAGATCTACGACCGAGAGCTCCTCGCCGTCATCAGAGCACTCAAAGCATGGCGACACTACCTCCTAGGCTCCCCATTTCCCGTAGAGGTTCAAACTGATCATAAGAACCTCACTTACTTTAGAGACGTGCAAGATCTCAATAGACGCCAAGCACGCTGGCAAACATTCCTATCTCAGTTCGATATCCGTTTCAAATTCGTACCCGGCAAAGACTTAACTATCCCTGACGCACTCTCCCGTAGACCGGATCACCTTCCTGACGATAACGTCGAAAAGGACAATACTAGTATACAACTTCTTCCTGACTTTATGTTCATCAATTCCGCTTCCCTTTCCGAACAATTACGTATATCTTCCTCCATCGATCCAGTAGTACAAATAGCGCTTGACGCGCTTCAGAATCCCTCCATTCCCCCTCCT